CGGTTGACCGTCTGGTGACGACATCACAATCCCGGGTTGGAGCCTGCTGACAGTCTCGGCCGTCTTGTCACGGGACGTGTCGTAGATTGTCAACCAGAGTGCCTCGTCAGGTCCACAGCAGCAGCAGTTTCACGAGACTACAAGAGCAATCAAACTTGGCAGTTTCGCCATCATTTTTGCTCCTCGTCTGATCTCGACGTATTGGGCCAGACGGTCTAGACGGTCTAGACGGTCCCAAGACACAGGCACTGTCTCCGCCAGCCCTTCTCTGCGGCGGCTGGCATCGTCTTTCTCCTGAGCGCTGCAGCACTAGGGCCAGAGAAGTGTTGTCATCGACGCCGTCGTCTTTGATGGTTTTGTGAGCCGACCGACGGCATACGCTGGTGGCTGAGAGTAGGGGTAAATCCAAAAGGTCCAAAATACGTTCCTGGTTCCTGTGGCACTCGCTTGTATACGAGTCTATTCCGAGGCATCACGTCACACGTCGTCCATTGTCCCATTGTCTCTCCACACGTCGGGGCGCACGTTTTTGTGTGTGTGTGTGTGTGTGTTGTTTTCCTTCTCGCTCTTCTGCCGGTGGCGCCGTCGCATCTGCTTGGCGAGGGACAAATTGACCACCAGACTCGAGTATCAAGACGTTGGTGGCTGCCGTGGGATTTGAAGTGCAGAGGCAGCCCAGCCGTGATTGGCTGTGGAAGGCCGAGGCTAGCCCTCTACTGTAAATGCTGGAATCCACAGGTCAAAACCAAGACAACACTGCCGCATCGACACAGCTGGGACTGCCAAGTCACGAGACTCTGCCAACAGTCAACAATATGGAATACGATAGAATATAGACATTGGACGGCAATTTACTGTATCCTGCTCGATCAATGCACAGTCCAGAATTGCGTTCTGCTCATGTGACGTAGGGAGACGGCACAAAGAGGGAAGGTGCGAGGGTGGGATGGCGGAGGGAAAGAAAAAGGAAGGAGGGGAGCGAGGCTGCCTAAACAGGACATACGTCACTGCTACGGCAAGGCAGCACGCAGTTGATGTTGCCAAAAATGGAATACGGCATCGCATCGTCAACAGATCTTTACAATCACACATTAATTCCACGCCAACTTTTACAACATGTCTACAAACACCCCCATCGACTTCGCCAACATCCCTCGGCCCACTCGGTCGGTCCAGCCCAACTGCCTGACCTACAACGACGACCACGGCGTCCAGCACAGCATCTACCTACCACAGGGTTCGTTGGAGCGGGCATCCCAGCTCCTCATGGAGAAGAACTGGGATGAACTGGCCAAATATGAGCCGTACAGTACGTTCTGGGGCATACCATGTTGTTTTGCTGCCACCGCTAACGTCCCAGCAAACCAGGGCTACAAGGAATCGGACTACAAGACGATCGAGGAGACCCAATAGCAGACGAAGAAGAAAAGGTCACAGCATGGTTGATATCAAAGAAAGCAAAGCGATCTAGTTGAGAATCACGTTCAGAAAGGAAAATAGCAAGTCCCAACACAGAATCATTACATTTCGTCTTGCCGCCCGACCGTATTCGTCATGTAATATGCACTCCCGTTGGCACCTGTCCACGCTCCTCGTCTGTGGCGCAGCTTCTACGTCAACAACCCCCGTTTCAAAACAAGGACAATGCAAGAAAAGAAAAAACGATTCCTCGTCATCGCCTCCAAGGGCTCCGTTTTGGTTTCGAGAACAAGGGCACATCGATGCACGGATGTGAATTACGATACGCACTCCAAAACTGTGGTGGGAGGCGCACAGCGACAAAGTGTCGCCAGAAATAGACCACGGCGCTTCACGAAACGGGCAGCCAGCCGCGAAGGGCCTGTCCCCCCATGTGAACCATTGTCGTGAAACGGCCATAACGTGGCCAGCATCACCAGAAGAACAATTCTCATAGCTCACATCCTTTCCGTCTTAGGCGCGCCTGGCAAGCGCCAGGAAGCACTGAAAAGAAAACAATGGAATACATTTCAAAATAGATGCCTCCCAAAGAATGGTCAGCAAGGGCCAAATGAGAACGGAGTGCCAAGGCACAGCGCCAAAGGAAAACAGCAGGCGCCAGCGGCAGTGATCGCGTGGCGGGCAGGCCCTCTCATTGGCGACAGCTGCCGCATCGTGCTGCCGCTCACATTTCCTTTGTCTTTGCCCAGCGTACACTGTGGCATGTGCGAGCGAGTTTATTTTTGGGACACATAGGATACAGCGAAATGGTCAACAGCCTTTCATTGTACACTTTCTTTAACAGTCCCGCCAATTTCGGGAGGCGCTGCGGGAGAGTCTGCCGTTGCCGGAAATAAACAAATGTCCTGAAAATATCCCACAGCGACCTTCAAACGACCCTGAACACGGCCTTCCAAGGTAAAATGGTGTCTCGGTACGGAGTACGACGGACTCGTCTCGACAAACCAGATCGGTTCCACGGTAAACCGCTCGGGCAACCAACTGCATCCTTGTTCCTTTCTTTGGTGATCTAAAAATACAGACGTTTCCAGACAGTCTACAGACAAACAGAGTACAAGGAAAGACATAACAAACAGGGGCAGGGTATGGTCGGCACTGAAAGACGACACATCAGCAACCCGCCTGCAATCTCTGAAATCAGAAGCACAAACCCTGTTGTTGTTGGGGGCTCATGGTCTTGTTTGGTGTGTTCTGTCGTATGCCGACATGTGGCACAGGTTTTTGTCGTAGATGAAAGAAAGATGTAATTAACGGTGTTGATGTAGGGCGTAGGGTCAGCAGGCGGCACATCCCGTGCGGCGTGGAGGAGTGAGTAGGTTCTATAAAAAGACAAAATTTGTTTGTTTACCACCTACCTGTTTGGGCGACGCATCAAAGGTCGAGATACGGAGATACAGTCTCATTTGTCAAATGTTGATATCGTGAGCTATTACATCGACAAATAGAGATATTATAGGGACCCGCTCGATATTTCAGCATAATGAAATGCGAGAGTCTTTCTAATCGCATTTAAAATAAGTCGAAAGGAAGACGTTAATAATGTAAAAATTTTAAAAAAAAAAAAAAAGAAAAAAAAGAAACAAGAAAGAAAGGAAAACGAAACCCACTATTTTCTGATTACAGTATAATTTTCTTGAGAAATTCAAACTATGAAAACAAAAGAGCGTAACACAATCAATTTTTTTAAACCATAAATGAGAACCTTACACTTGGGCGTACGATCTCGACTCCAGACTGCTGGACCCCAGATGTTGTCTCGGTATATTCAATAAATCAAAAAAGAGGTAAACCGCGGTCATTGATCGTTCATGCCTCGCAAATATTCAAGAAACACGAGGTCGCAAAGTGTAGCAAGCACAACCTGCTCTCTACAGGGAATATCCTGTCTTCGAGGCTGGCCTTCGGCCGACAAAGTCAACAAATACAGAATCTACGAACCACACGAATGCCACACTGCATTGTGAACAGGGTTGATTCCTGCACTGTCTCGCGTATTTTGGATAAGAGGAAGGGCCATCCCGGCTGCCGTCAAGGCGATTCTGTGCATCGGCCATCTATTCCCACGTTGCATTTCTCTCGTCTCTCGCCCCTACGTCTGTCCTCCGCAGTCGTCCGGCTGTCGGTCTTTACCGCTATTCCTTCAGTTAATCAAGATCTTGCATCGTGATGTTGTGCATGTGTCGATGAACAGCAAAAAACTATGCACAACTCAATCTCGAAAACTGTGGTCTAGCCGACGTGAATTGCCTCCGTACACACCAGACACCCACCCCCCATACGAAGAACGTTTTCGTCGCTTTGCCACCCCCCCAGCTCCACCCTCTCTAAGGAATGCTGGTTTCTGTAGCTGTCTCTAGTTGCCCGCCACCCACCTCCCACGCACAAGTTTAGCTCTTGGTAAAAATGATGTGGCGGGTGAGACAGCGTGTGCAAAAGGTCAACATTCCTCAGGCATGGTGGAGAGGAGGAGGTTTTGTGGCCTTCTGTAGCCCCTTTGCAGCCCCAACTGGATATGGTGCGCGCCATTTTTCTTTCGATACGCGACAGCTACGGCTGGTTCAATCTATCGTGCTATCCGTAACGTCCCGTAACTTCCTTTAACTTCCTGTAACTTCCAAGGCTGCTGTGGCTGCCGTGTATGTCGTGTGCAGTAACAGCCGCTCCCGACGGCTCGCTCTTTTCTTTGACGTTCGCCTATGCTGGTGTCTGTGGAGAGACATTGGCGTATGTTCGTCTCAGTTGAGGCGCCTTTTTGCTACTCTGAACAATTGCGCAAGGGTGAGGCCGGATGGAAGTGCAGACAAGCGGGTGTCATCGTCGTGAGATATCATGTAGCACAGTGCCTGTTGTCCCTTTGCCTGTCGCTACGAGACCAAAAAAAGGACAGGTGGAAGGTGGAGGTGGCACGGTTTTGTTTTCTTTCTATTTTGCTTTAATTCATTGGAACACCAGCCTGCAAAGAACCATCGCTACGGTCTCATGTATGCCCGTCCTCTACTGCAAGGTCGAGCACCGAAAGCCGCTTGCATTTTGTTGTCCTCCTTCGTCTTCTTTAATCTCTCTGGCACACAGGAAAGGCTCCACGTCGTGTCTAGCACATGTCGTGGCAAGCATGCAGTCCGAAGTTGTTACACGCACGCGGTTATCGGGCTGTGAGGTGCGCCTTGTTGTTTTGGTTTGCAAGATTTTTTTTTGTCAATTCATCTTCTACGACGTGCTCTCGATCCTTATCTCTCCAGCTCTTGAGGATTAAGTCGTCTGTCGCCCGCTCTGCCCACCCCTTCCCATGCCAAAGAAGAAAGAGAAGTAAAAACGCCGAATGCACCTCTTTCCAGAGTTGATAGTGAAGACAGAGTAAAAAGCAAGAAAAATACAAAACAAAACGAAGGAACAACAGGAAATAGTAAAGGGCAAGACAACACAATGGAACATGCAACAATGAAGATATATAAGCAAACAAGTCAGGGGGTTGACCGTGCGTCCGTTCTCTCGACTCGACGCTTTTAGCAGAGGACCCCTTGCTAGTGGTATCCGCTGCCGTTGTAGGCACCGCCTGCTGCGGCCGTCGTCGTGTGCTGGCGCGCGCCGGCAGCGGCCGTGCCGGGCAGCGCCTTTTCGAGATCGTCAAAGTACGGGTGGTTGCACGCCTGCTTGGCGGACAGGCGGCTGGCCGGGTCGTACACGAGCATCAGCTCCAGCAGTTCCTGGCCCATGGGATCCAGCGTCGGGCAGATGGGCGTCTCGGTGTCCTGCACCCAGCGCGGGAAGGAGGCCTTGAAGTCGGGATACGTCGTCACGCCGGGCCACACGTCCTCGGTGGGCGTGCCCAGCAGGCGGAAGATCTTGAAGATCTCGTCAATTTCCGAGTCGCCGGGGAAGAGCGGCTTGCGCATGGCCATCTCGGCAAAGATGCAGCCGACGGACCACATGTCGACGCCGGTCGAGTACTGGTGGCCGCCCAGCAGAATCTCGGGGGCGCGGTACCACAGCGTGACGACCTCGTGGGTGTAGGTGCGGAGGGGGACGCCAAAGGCGCGGGCGAGGCCGAAGTCGGCGAGCTTGAGGTTCCCCTCCTTGTTAATGAGCAGGTTCTGGGGCTTGAGATCGCGGTGCAGGATGCGGTGGCTGTGGCAGTAGCGGATGCCGGCACAGAGCTGGCTCATAAACTTCTTGATGATGTCGTCGCCGAGGCCCAGCGTGTGCAGCCGGGTGCCGGTGCCCTCGGGCAGGGCCTTGCCGCGACCGCCGTCGGACACGGGCAGGGAGTCCATGTATTTCTTGAGGTCGAGGTCCAGAAACTCAAAGACGAGGTACAGCTTGTGGCCTTCGGCGTGGACAATGTTGTAGAGGCGAACGATGTTGGGGTCGCGCATCTCCTTGAGCAGGCTGATCTCGCGGATGGCCGTCGATGGGACGCCCTCGTCCTCGGCCTCGAGCCGGATCTTCTTCAGCGCCACGATGCGTCCGCCGGCCGTCAGGTCGCGGGCCTTGTAGACAACACCGTACGTGCCTGTATGGAACGGTAGTCAGACGTCTGTTCTCTATCCCCACACCGTTCCGTCTTCGCCATTCTGAGGACTGTACTCACCCTCGCCGACCTTTTCCAGCTTCTGGTAATTATCCATGGCGGTGAGTGTTGTTGCGGGAGCGAAAAGAGAGGCGGTGCAACGAAGCAAGGGAGTACAATGGATACAAAAAGGTCTGCGGGATACGCTCTCTAGAGGCCAAGGGCCATGTCGTGATGGGTGTTCGGAAGGGATGAAATGTCGTGGCGTTAACAGTCGCTCGAGTTGTATGGTCTCTCACGGCGGCGTCGTCGGGAAGCAGGCGAGGAAGAAAGAAGAAAAGAAGAAAACGAGGGGACGCGCTGGGCCTTGGCGACTAACGGGGGACGGATAGAACGAGTGTGTCTCGGTGGCCGCGCTGCCGAGTGGAGGTGGTCGACGGTCGTTAAGGAGGATCGTGAGGCAGAATGGTCGAAAAAGTCCAGAAACGCTGGAGTCGTCGTGTCGTCGTCGTTTTGGGCGTGGAGAGGAAGGAGCAAGGGTCGCAGCATCTGAGAGTGGTCGAGATCGGAAGGCGTGGCACTCTGGGTCGTGGCTGCCAACTTATGGTGTACTATTTTTGCAGTGTTGTTTATTTATTTATTTACTCCCTTGCATGGCGGTGCTGGGTGGCACAGCAGTTCAGCGGTCGGTTTTAGCGGCATTCTGTGGCGGGGGAAAAGGGGCATGAAGCGCTGTAACGAATGAGAATTGGAGGGATCTGGCCCTGGCCCGACGCGTCGGGAGCGCGTTTTGGTGTGGCAGTCTCTCTATTAGGCTGTTTCTTATCTTATCGTGCCACGAGCGCCCCTCGCAAGTGAATGGCGGGGCAACTACGACCGGCGGCGGTCGAGAGCGGCATTAAAAAATAGGAATTAAATCATGCAACGAAAAGTCACAATCACAAAAATCAGGCGACCACCAACACACATTAGTTGTGAGCATTTTGACCCCCACAACCACAGAGACGATCCCCTCCCTCGACGATGCCTCCTGCCTACCCGTTATGACCATCGACATTACCTCGTTGGACGCGCACGAGCAGCCGTCCGAGTATCTGCGCAGCAAATGGAAGACGTACGCCAAGTCGACGGTCGCCGTCATCGAGGCGAGTAAGGACATTGACGAGATTCCGGCTGGGGATGATGGGGCACAAAGTGGCCGACCGTCCTTCCGTCCGGTGAGCACGCTCCCGGCCACACGTATCAAGGCAGCCTTTGCTGCGTTTCTGGCCGACAAGAGCCCCGTCGACGGCGACATGGAGGACAACGAAGAGGAGGACGGCAAGAACGGAGAATCCAATGCGGACTATCCTGTATACGCCCACCCTCTCCTCCCCGGCCTCCTGATTGTTCCCAAGCTCGTGCCCCTGCGCGTGCAGAAACGCCTGCTGGACCGCATGGTGCACCGCGACCTCGCCGACCGGCGCCACCAGACCAACATGCACCTCCACTACGAGCTGCCCTACCCGGCGGACGGGGCGTCCTTTTTTACATACCCACCACCGGCCAACGCACACAGCATCGATGTTTTGCAGGGACCGGGCACGTTCCCGCCCAAAGACCCGTCGGTGCACCGGCCGCTGTCGATCCAGCAGGTGCTGGACAAGCGGCTGCACTGGGTGACGCTGGGCGGACAGTACGACTGGACCAACCGGGTGTATCCAGAGACGGCGGGTGGAGACGACATGGAGCAGGTGCCCAGCTTTCCGCCGGACTTGATCCAGCTGCTGGCTGGCCTGTTCCCGGAGACCGACGCGCAGGCAGCGATTGTCAACTTTTACACGCCGGGCGACACGATGATGATCCACCGGGATGTCTCGGAAGAAACCGACAAGGGCCTGATCAGCCTGAGCATGGGCTGCGACGCGCTGTTCATGGCGGCACCGACGGCCGAATTCGAAGAGGGCAAACGCCGCCCGGCCGAGCAGGGCACGGACAAGGAGCCGTACGTGCTCATCCGGATACGGTCGGGCGACGCGGTCTACATGTCGGGCCACGCACGGTTTGCATGGCACGGCGTGCCCAAGGTTCTCAAGGGCACGTGCCCCGACGAGCTGGCCGCGTGGCCGGCAGGTGAGCACGCGGACGAGCGATACGAGGCGTGGCGCGGCTGGATGCGCAACAAGCGTGTCAATTTGAACGTGCGCCAGATGCGGGACTGAAAGCAGATGCGAGACTGAAAGCAGACGCTACAAACAAAAAAAACTTTTTCAAAAGGGAAACAGGGCCTTCCATTATTGGTATACAAAAAGGACAAAATCAGCCGTCATCCAGGACAAGCAGAACAAACACAACACAAAAAGCTCGAAAAGGCACAAAAGGAAAAAGGCTACAAGACAGCGGACAGTACTTGCACGAGGACGACGAAAGCAACACCTGCCTTCAAGGACACGGCATTGGAGGCCCCGCTTGATACGGCCAGCAGCGGCGTTGTCTGGGAGGCCGTCTTCTGCGCAATGACTTGCTGGTTCGGCCCCGCGACACACTTCCAGTTGTCGGCCTGGCGGCCGTCGCCGCTGCCGCCGTAGACCATCATCTGCGGGTACCGGCACAGGTTGCGGGTGATGGCGGCCGAGGTGCTGTTGGTGGCGACGGTGCTGTTGGAAGCTGCACCTGCCGCCTTCCTGGCCGGCAAGGTGTCCGGCGCCTTGTTGTTCTCGACCCACTGCACGAGCGACGCCAGGGGATCCGACGGCGCGGCACCCGGTCCGCCGCCGCAGTGCTGCACGCCGGGCGCGACGAACACGCGGTAAAACGAGTCGACCGCGTTCGCGTCGAGCAGGTCGATGGTGCGCTGCAGGTAGTCGAGGGTGCCGTTGGGGAACACGAGCTGGTCGGCCAGGCCGTGCCACGAGAGCAGCTTGCCGCCGGCGGCCTGGAAGGCGCGCAGGTCCGGGTTGTCGGTGCCGATCTGGACGTCAAAGAGGGACTGGGACTGCTGGAAGATGTTGGTGTAGGCCTGGACATTGGCGACGGCAGTGGTGTCGGTGCTCTTTTTGGCGAGGCGATTGCGCGCCGCCGGCATCGAGGCCCCAAACGACGAAAAGTTGCTCCGGGGGTCGTTGAGGGCGAGCACAAAGTTGTTGAGCCAGGTGGCGGCGAGCGAAAAGGGAGCGGTGCCGTTTTGCGTGGTGGACGCGAGCGTGGTGGGCGAGGCGCCGGGCAGCAGGCCGTACCACAGGGCCTTGCCGTCGGGCGACGCTGGGCCGGCGAGGATCTTGGAGAAGACGGCGGCATGGGCATTTGTGATTGTGACGGACGTGGCGCTGCCGTTCTGGCCGCGCTGGCTGCCGCCGCCGCCGCCGCCGCCACGTTGTGCCGACGAGCAGGCGACCGCCTTGCCGACGAGCGTGGTCGGGTCGAACTTGCAGGCGCCCGGCTGCGTCACGATGCCGTCGGTCACACCATCCAGCGCGTCGCAGGCGCTCACCACGCCGCTCTGGAAGGCATCCAGCACACACGGCGGCACCTCGGTTCCGGAGCCGTCCGGCTGGAGCGGGAACTGCTGCTGCAGGGCGGAAAAGGGCCACAGCATGGCGGCCAGCAGGCGGTCCCAGTTGATGGCGGGCGAGGCCGCCAGGATGCCGTCAAAGTCGGCCGGGTAGCGCTGGGCCTCCATGTACCCCTGGCGGCCGCCGGTGGAGCAGCCGGTAAAGTACGAGTGGGCGGCGGGCTTGCCGTACAGCTGCTCGACGAGGGCCTTGCCCACGACGGCCATCTCGTGCACGGACAGGCTGGCGAAGTTGGTGAAGAGCTGCTGCGTGAGGGCCGACGTGGTGTTGGCCTGCACGGGGAAGCTGCCGGTCGTGCCCACGCCGGCATCGGTCGACGCAGCGGCGTAGCCGTCGGCCACGGCCGGGCCCAGGGCCGCGTCAAACAGGCCGGCCTGGAAGCCGCTGCCGCCGGTGGCCTGGAAACGGCCGTTCCACGCGGACGCCGACGCGGTGCCATCGCTGCCCCCGCCCAACGGCAGCCACACCTGCACGCGCACGCGGTCGCGCGCGTTGCCGTGCGTCAGGGTGACGTTGACGTCGCACAGCGACACGGACAGACGGGTGCCGTTCGTGGCGCGCACGGGGACGGCATTGCGGGTCGCCGCTTGCAGCGAGACGACGGTGGCATTGCCGACGGCGGGTGCTTTGAGGGCGGCACAGTTTGTGGCCGGCGCCGGGTTGGTGGGCCCCTGCGCCGACACCGCGGCCGCCGTGGCCAGCAGGGCAAGGAGTGTGCTGGCCATGCTGTGCCGAGGAAGAGACTGAGGTAGGTGGGAATAGAGTTGGGGATGGTCAACGCTGTTGTTTGATCAAAAGAAGCACCGCTTTGTGACAAAGTTTGGTCTGGAGATGCAAGGATGCGAGGTGGAGGATCAGGTCGAATGTGTTGCTTTCTTTTTCGGTTCCTTTTTGAGAGGCACAGTGACGACTTTATTTCGTGGACCAGCCGACCAGCCAGACGGCAGGGGCTCCTTGGGCTCCTTGCGCTTGATTTCGATTCGATTGATACTTCGATGCGCTAGTTTTGGTGTAGTGGCGAGACGATGGAAGAAGGGCTCGATCAAGGATGTCCCGGTTTGATCGACGGAGCCGGCAGTGAAGGTGACGACGGAGCAACCCAGACGTCTGGAACTGTTCTTTGGGGAGATTCACGTTGTCGGATGCACGTAGCCTGCCTTGTTGAATTTAAAGTTTATTTGCATTCCTTTGTATGATTGTTTTATTTTATTTTTTTATGTTTTTGCTTTTCATTGTTTGGCGTTGATTTTACATTTTCACGACGCATTCGACAACAGGTGTTTATCGTCTCTCGTCTCTCGTCTCTCGTGCTCTCCTGTCACGATTGCATCTCCATCCAGTCTCCCACTCTCTGGTATTTTGTTTCGAGATGGCATTCACATGCCTGCCGTCTGATCGTCGTCTTTCTTTTCACCTCTGCAAAAAATAGAATGACGACGCCCGCCCATCTTGGCGGTTTTGTTTGGTTGGCAACGTCGTCTTCGAACATGCTGCATTTTAGCCGGTCGCAGATGACGAGGCCGCATGGCGATGGGAATCTGGATTTTTCAGTTACCATCGAGCAAAAAAGAAGGTCGACCGACTGAACCTCATTTTGTTTCAGCATTCGGCCCAGCCAAGGCAAACTGTTTATGCTTTCTCTCTCCCCAGACTGTCTGACGACATCACGCATCGATCGAGATGGACCGTGACTTGGGGGTTTGTTGCTCTTGTGCTCTTGTGATGGATTGTCATGCCATCGAGACACGACATTCATGCGACGGTGTTTTGCACAGCCTTGCTTCGACGTGTTTGAAGAATTCTCCCGCCTTTGTCATTTGGACAGGACGCGGCGATGGGCTTGCCTCTGTACCGGCACATGGCAGATCTCCTTGGATGGCTCCTTTCCTGTCGTCCTCAAGGTGCAAGACGACTCTTCCCAGCGGAAGCTCCCTCCCCCGGGCGATATGGTCATGGCGACGTCGACGTCGGTATCCTGCCTCTGGCCTCGTTCATCGTCACATGTTTTTTTGTCAGAAAAGATGACGTGACCTGCGGCTGACAATGCCCGTTTCTCACGCTCACTCGCCTCCACCTTCTTATTTCTTCTAGACCCTTGGCACAACCGTTCAAGACGTGCGGAGTACGATGTCCCAAAGCAGTGTGAGAAAGACTGACGAATCCTTTGACAAAGCTGACGCAGCAGCCTCCAAAGAGAGAAGTACGACTGCCCAATGGACGAGCTGAGAGAGAGAGAGAGCCCAATGCGGCTGCGTTGATAGTAATTCCTTTGGAAATACTCTGTACTTCGTACAGATAGCAAAACAACTGAATATACGTCCCGCAGCACAAATTACTTCAGCAAATTTGGCATATTCACTACGCCAAAGGAACAACACATGAACAAACTCATACAACGGGCCGTATACTGCGTATCTTGCTTCGTACCATTTTGACACGGCGGTTTTTTTCCGCGCTCTGGTTTTTTTTTTTTTTTTTTTTTCGTCAGTCAAGAAATAACCTCGTAACTCTAGTATCTGCAGCCGAGCCTTGCCTGCCTGCAAAAGCACAGCCCACGCCCACAGCCGCACTAAAATCTCACTCGTTCCAATGGCATGGCTCTCGTCCATGTCCGCTGAGCCGCTCTTCCATTGTCCCATCGGCCCAGTCCAGAACCTTGTTTCTCCTAATGTACTGTTTATTTTTGGTGTGCGGCGAGGTAGTTTGCGTCTGTCTCGAGTCTCGTCGTCCTCCGCTCTTATTTTCTTACATCGTTTTCGTCTACTTTCTCACCACTTGGATCCGCCCTACCAGACGCCTGGCTGGCGGGCCATCCGTCTACCTGCCGAGAGAACCAGAGGCCGTCCCACAGGCATCGTTTCGTAACGCCATGTCAGCCTGAAATTGTGTCCTGATGATTGGCGGAACGCAACGTGGCCAAAATGGCCTCTGTGGGCACAAACACGGCAATACGGAGTAGTGCGGCGAGAGACGATGAGATGGCGAGGTGTGCTGACGGTATCTTGTAGAGGCAGATTGGACAATAAAGGCCAGCGCTGGACGTCTTTGAAATACGGAACACAACAAGGGACGCGATAGCGCAAGAGGAGGCCAACAGCTAGCAAAGGGAGAGGTCGTTGTCCAACTGAGGCAGGAGGTCTGTCTGCCGTGATTACTCCATAGAACCTTCTGAAAACGGCACAGCGGGAGTCGCCGCCTACGCCGGGGCGAACCACAGTCCCTTCCTCCCTTCCGCAGCCTGGCCTCTGCGGTCGCTGCACGACGTCCGCTTTGCTTCGTCGGCCAGAATCCTTTGTGACCAGAGTGACACAGGCACCGCCTGCAGGCATACAATGTAAGGCTGAGGACTGCATCAGGGGCGACTGCACCAGGGACTGAGCCAAGAAAGACCGACCGAGTACGAAGGAAATAAAGTACGATACGAAGTGCACAGTAAGATGTGTTGTTCGCGACTTCCAGTCGGCAACGTGATGTCAGCACTACCGTCGTCTAACCGGAGGGCTGTCAACGTGAGAGTGAGAATGGAGCCAGGGGCCAATGGACGCCCATGTCAAAAAGTGGAACAAAGAAGAGGACCAGGGCTCAGCAGGGTACGAGTCTGTGCAGAATATTAGAATATTATTCGACAACTGTATTCTGTAATTACCCTGTCGCTTGTCAGCCGTAAGCTGCGAAGTCCGCTCTGGGGAGCTGCCTTGTTGTCTCTGCAGTCCTCCTCTTACGACGAGTACGGCGAAGCAGATGCCATAAAATAAGAATGGATGCCGCTCCAGAAACGTTGAATTGCTCTGCGCCGCATTGTGTAATCAACGTCTGTTGTCAACATCGTCTTTTCAGTCTTTCGGTATATTCTTCGTTTCACGCTCCTTTCACCAACGCCCGCCATGGCTCCCGTCTACGCCGACCACCCGTTTCAGCTCATCCCGGACCCGCGGCCGGAGGGCATCAACACAAAGGTGGGTGCACACTGTCGGTGCACACTGTCGGTGCACACTGTCGGTGCACACTGTCCTCTGCGTTGATTGCGGCTGCTAACAACACAGAATGACATCTTTGACAACTCGGCAGTCGAGATGACGGCCGTCCACAACTGCTTCATCCGCGGCATCAACGCCATCTACTTGCAGGCGCCGCACGTCAAGCCCCAGGAAGTCAAGGCGTTTGCCAACTACGCCGCGGTCTGGGCCACGGTGGTGCACGTCCACCACCACGAAGAGGAGACCCAGTTCTTCCCCATCATCGAGAAGATGGCCGGCGAGCCGGGGATCATGGCCACCAACGTCGCGCAGCACCACGAGTTCCACGACGGCCTCGAAAAGTACACGGCCTATGTCCAAGCCGTCGCGGCCGGCAAAGAAGTCTACGACGGCAACGCGCTGCGGGCCATCATCGACGCCTTTGGCGGCGTCTTCACCCAGCACCTGACCGAGGAAATCACGACGCTCATGGGCCTCCGCAAGTACGGCGCCGAGCGCTTCAAGGACTTCCCGGCCGAAAGCGCCAAGCTCGCCAAGCACGCCATTGCCAGCATCGGCGCCACCACCGGCGTCATTTTCTTCTTTACCTGCCTCGACGTCCACTTTGAGGACGGCCGCTGGGCGTCCTTCCCGCCCATCCCCTGGATCGTCGTGCAGATGTTCCGCTATGTGCACTATTGGTTCCACGCCGACTGGTGGAAGTTTGGCCCCTGCGACCGCCTGGGCAACATGCGGCCGCTCTATGCGGTGCCTGCAGAGTAATGGCCGTCTCTGTCCTCTCTCTCTCTCTCTCTCTCTTGTACTTTTGCATCTCTTTTGTACCACATTTAGCCTTTTCTACCATAGATATACCAGTCTGTAATATATTTGCTTCACCTCCCGCTTGTCTCTCTGAAAATCTCGGCTTTGGGCCACGCGAGCCACGAGAGCAGGCTGCTGCTGCTCTCGTCATGCACATGCCCATGCACATTTCCTTGCCCCTGCCCGGCCCGGCCCACTTCGGCTTCGACCGCCTCGACGACGGCCCGGCCCCAGCCCGTGATCCACCAGCAGGTAGCGAGGGCGCCGGTTTGGAAGAGGGTGGCAAAGTGGGCGAGCACAATCAGACTCCGCGGCCGGCGGCGGGCGACGTGGTCGATAAAGACGTCGGAGACGGCCGCCGGCCAGACGAGCATCAGGGCGAGCAGGGACGCTTGGCCGCGATGGCCCGCGCGGGCGTGGACGTCGACGGTCGTTGCGATGCGGTGCAGTTCGTCAACGGCGTGGGCGTCGGCGTGGGCGTCAGACGACGTGTCAATGTCATCCGCGTCGCCGTCTGCTGGGCGCGAAATCCACTGGTGCAGCTGCACCAACGCTGGCACGTCTTGGTGGACGGACCCAGTCAGCCCGGACGAGGACGAAGATGACGGCATGGCGTTGGCTATGAGCGGCGCGACCTCGCTTGCCAGGATGCGCAAAAAGTGCGGCTGCAGCAGCGTGTTGACGCCGCGGATGAGCCGAAAGGACGCCACAAGGGCGCTAATTGGGTCGTCGGGGTCGTCGGGGTCGTCGGGGTTATCCGGGTCGTCGTCTCTGTCGTTGTCGGCTCGCAACGGCATCTTGACCGTCCCCAGCAGCTTCGCATGGGCAAAACTGTGCACGACCAGCAGACAAGCAAATACAAACACTGCACTCGGGGCGTCATCGTCGCCGTCCACCGGTCCTGTGGCGCCTGTGCCTCCTGGCACGGCTGGCTGGAGCTGCAGCTGGCCGTCCTGGCCGAGTCGTTGGCGGAACATTGTCAGCGCGGCGTCCACGTGGGACGCTGCCCGCAGTTTCAGGGCCGTCAGATCTCGCTTGTCGCCGCGCCGGTCCGTTCCGGGCGCGCCGCGTGCCTCCAGCAGCAGATGCAGTGCCGACAGGGCCAGGATGCCGCGCAGCAGAAACGGATGGTCGAAGCCTAGGCGCAGCACCGTGTCCTGCCAGATGCGCTGCTGCACGGGCGCGGCTGTCGGGTCCAGCGTCGCGTGGACGTGCATCGTGTAGTGGTGCAGCAGGCGCAGGTCCATGAGATCAAACTCGAACGGCAAGGCCGGTGGTGTCGGTGTTGTCGCCGATGGTGTCGCCGATGTTGTCACTTGACCTGCCGATTGAGCAGCCACCTCAGCGACCTGCCACCCGGCCGGTCCCGCCCCTCGATGTCCTGCGCCCTCTGACCCGTGGTACAGACTCGACAGGGCCGACATGAGGTCATCTGCTGCTGACGGCCGCCTTGTCTCGGGCGTCGATGCCTTGGACGACGACGCTCCAGTTGGCGATGCGCGCGGGCGCGATGCCACCGCCGGCCACATGCACGCGTCGCCCAGGCGATGGCACCGCATGCATGTCGGGCGTTTCTCGTCGCACTGAAGTCAGACATTAGTAGGCCAGTCTCAGTCTCTTGCCAGCCTCATTCGCCATCGTCGCTTTGTACCTTTGCATGGCGTCTTTTGCAGTTCAGACATCCCCGGCGGGATTTGGTGTGTGCTCTTCGTCCGCCAGTGGTCGACGTGCTGGGCCGCTCTGCTGATGTCATCTTGCCGCTGAAGAGACGACGACAAGCAATCGGGACTTGTTTGGCTCATTCTCTCATTCTCTCATTCTCCCGTGTCTGTCGTTGTGCAAACGAATACGGTGAGACGTTTTGTCAGGAGTGTCTTGGCCCATCAAAGTCAACGGACGCTGGAATGTCTTCCAGGCGGCGACAACATAATTACAGCGCGTTCACCGCATATGCGACCCCTGCTCAGCCCCAGAGCTTAGCGCCCAAACGCGGGTCCTTCAAAGCTTAAATACGGCCGAGAAGAGGGCCCAATACGGCCCGAGTACGGTCGAATACGGTGAATACGGCCGTATTCGACGGAGCACCGCCGGACAGCAATACGGTCCAATACGCCCGGTTCCGACGCCCCGTTCCGACGCCCCGTTCCGGCGCCAACAATAAAAGACGTCGCCAGCCCGTTTCCAGACAAGTAAGCAACAAGAAGATGCTCTCACTTCATTCGCATTCGCCAGACAACACTGCATCGGTCTGTTCGTTGTCGCCATGTCGTCCAACGACCATCCATCCACGGATGACCCCAATGCCTGGGTCCCGTACCGCTACGATCCCAGCATTGCGGCGGCCGGGGTCGCTGTCGGTCTGTTTGGTGTCCTCACCGTGCTTCACGCGGCCATTGCGATGCGCCGCCGGACGTGGTATTTCATCCCCTTTTGCCTCGGAGGCATCTGTACGTCCAACCCGCTCGCCTCGTCCCTTTCAGCCGCTTCCACTTCCGCGTACGTCGTCGCTAACATGGCAGTCGAAATCGCTGGCTATATCGGCCGCATCCTCTCGTCTCGCGACCTGTGGGCGCTCGGCCCCTACATCCTGCAGTCGGTCCTGCTTCTCGTCGCCCCCGCGTTGTTTGCCGCCTCCATCTACATCGTCCTCGGCCGCATCGTCGTGCACGTCCACGGCGAATCCTGCGCCCTCGTGTCCCCGCGCTGGCTGACCAAGGTCTTTGTCTGCGGCGACGTGCTCTCCTTCTTGCTGCAGGCTGGCGGTGGCGGCTACCAGGCCGCCGGCACGCTCGCGGCCCTCCGCACCGGCGAGCGCATCATCCTTGCCGGCCTCTTTGTCCAGCTCGTCTTTTTCGGCGTCTTTGTGGCTGTGGCGGCCGTGTTCCACGTGCGCTTCCTCCGTCGCAGCCGCAGCAGCAGCAGCCCGTCCACTTCCATGGCGGACACCATCCCCGGCGGACCTACCGTCTGGCAGCGCCAGATAACGGCGCTCTACGTCGCCTCGGCCCTCATTTTCGTCCGCTCCGTCTTCCGCGTGATTGAATACCTCATGGGTAACGACGGGTACATCCTGCGCCACGAGGTGTTCCTCTACGTCTTTGACGGCCTGCTGATGCTTGCCGTCATGATCGTCTTTTTGCTGGCCCATCCGAGCTACATGACACGTCAGACCGGCACCGGCAGCAGGACCCGCATCGCCTCAAATGGAAGTGGAAGCGACGCCCTGGTTCTTGCAGACATGCGGAAAGCAGCACGCGGTGGGGGCCATGGACCTAGTTCTGGTGAGAGCAGTGAGCGGGTGTAGCTTGCAAAACAATGTCGAACAACAGAGGTGGTGCAAATGTACAAATAGATAGAAACAAAATAAACCGAGTAGAAACAGAATCCTTCCCGCAACGCATGCGCCTTACGCCGCTATGAAAACCAAACTGCCCGTATTTTGCACCCTTATTTCACAAAGGACACCTTTCCTCAACCCACCACAGCATTTACTCCTTGTCTGAAAGCTCTGCCAGGAGAGCACTCACAATCGCTTGCACTGTCTTCTCGGCACCGCCGTCATCACCAAGACGGCTCGCCGAGCCAAAGACACCAATGTCCAATGTGTCATTGCGGACCGCCATTTCCACATCGATGGCGTCCTTGTAAGCCTCCCGGACGCGGTTGCCGTGGAGAGACGGGTAGGCACTGGGTGATGGTGGCGGGGATGCCTTGTCTGGCGTTTCGACAAGCTCCAACGAGATGCCAGACGACGCATCCACGGCGCCCAGATCGTCTGGGAGCAAAAAGTTGACAAACGACTCGACGGCGACACCCGTCCACTGTCGAATCTCCCAGAGGCTTGCTGTGAGCGGCGCTGCTGCCGTCGGCGAAGGCGGTGCGGCCAGGGCATGAAGGTCAGCCTGGATCTGGGCAGCCATGTCGGCCACACTGCGCGTGGATGGTGACCGCACGAGCAGCGGCACAAGACAGAGCGTGGGATACGCCGCCAGTTTGTCATCATCGCCGCTGTTGATCCGGTTCGCCAGGTAGACACCAAAGACGACGTCGTCTTGGCTGGCATTCTTTGTGGACAATGTCTTCGCATACACGGCAAACACGAGGCTCTGAAGACCGACGCCGAGTTTGGCTGCCCCGTCTTTTAGTGGTGCAACATCGTCGAGCGCGGAACGGCGGTAGAATGAGGCACGGCCACGTTTCTGCACTTTTCCGGGGATCTCAACAGAGGATCGTAAGTTGGCTCCAGCAAAGTATTTCGACCAATATGCTGTGTTGCTCTCGGTGGTCGCAGTGGAGAGTTGACGGGAAAGCGATTGCTCCCAAGCTGTCGATGTGGCCCGGGCTTTTCCTTTTGATGGAGAGACAAGAAGCTCTTTGAAGCGCCCGAGAATCGTCTCGAGACTTACGGCATCGTAAAGAGCATGGTGGATGCAGAGCGTCAAGAGGTAGGAGACTTGGCCGGCATCAACCTCTCGGGCGACCGATAGAATAGCAAACGACGCCTGAGCTGATGTGTCTCCAAGCGCGGGCCACGAATGAACCACCTTGCTTTCGTCCAGAGAAGGCGGCATCTTGTGCATCTTGTTCCGAATGACAGCCTGCGACAACGGAACAGGTGCATCGACAGCGGCGGCCATTAAGATGGAGCGCAGAATTGGGAGTTCCGCTACTAACTCTGCCCATGCACTGTGGATATGATAAAGACTAATAATGGTGGATGTCTCGTTCGGCTTGAGGCGGTAGCAGAATGCAGGGAAGAAGACGTCGCCACCCGTGTTCTGCCAGACGCTGATCATGTGCACTTGCATTGGCGTGGCAGGCAAGATGGTCTCGACATCGGCCGGAGACATGCCTCCCGCGCGCAGACTTTGTTCGATATGCGCCGCCGAAAGACTTGATGTCGACAAAGTTTGACTATCAAAAGACGTTTTCTGCATGTCCTCTTTGCTGGCCGTGGCCATGGTGGCCATTTCTTGTATAGAACCAGCTGCCAGCAATGCACGCACGCCCAACACAATGCCCTTTGTCTTCCTGAGCAAGGAGCTCACTTTGATTGTGCTGATGGAGTCGAGGCCGAGATGGTAGAGCGTCTGGCCCGTCCGTTGGATGGCGCTCTCGGGTGTGCCAGACACAGCCGACAGCACCTCGCGAATGGCCATTTCGGCGTCCGTCCACTCACCAGAGTCTTCCTGCGAGGCTTCTGCGGTTGGAGGGTTCATGGTAAGCTTTTCTTCTGCTTGTCTAGACACCTTTGGCTTAAAAGGTGGGAGGCCGCAGATGGAGACGCCGCTGTCATCGAACGCGAGAATACTAGTCGTACTAGAAGACGCAGAAGAATGGACCATGAAGCGAAGCGCGACGTCGAGCTGGTGGAGTAGTCGAACGGCACCATGGCGAGACACATAGGCTGTATCGCAGGCCGTCCGCCAAACCACTGTATCCTTCCCCGAGTTGTCGTGAACCAGCTCCATCTCGACACAGATAGGATACTCCACGTCGGAAGCACCTCCAATCGACTTCATGATGGCCGGATTCTCTGTATCCTTTAGTTCTTTGTTGCCACGCTTTTGGAGCATAAAGAGAGTATTGAAGATGCCTGACGCTGACGAGCTGTCGCTGCCTGCCGCTCTTTTAACGGCCCGCTGCGCCTTGCGAAGAGAATAGTACTGGTGCTCGCCAATGCTGCCCATATTGGACTGCATGTACTGGAGGAGCTCAGATGGTGTTCCGTGCAGGACAACACGGACTGGTACGGTGTTCATTGTCGGGAAAACGGTAGCGTCGTCCTCGTCTGCAGGGCGACCAGACAGAACAACACCAAACAATAGGTCCAGCGAGCCCGTCAGGGATGCGAGCACGGCGGCCCAACATGCTTGGCCGATCACTTGAACACTCGTGGCCTGCTGTCTGCCAAAGGCCTGCAGATCGGTGACGGACACAGAGGACGTGGACTCAAGGCGGACGACGGTTTTCTCTGGCGTTTGCGTCGTATCTTGTCGTGGTACGTATGTAGGTTGGGCGCCTTCGAGGAAGCCGAGCCAGAAAGCGTCTGCTTGTGCCCCCGATGACTGCAGGATGAGACCGAGCTGACCAATGTAAGCCGGATCCTCAGCAGGTGAAACAGGTGCAGCGTTGTCGGAGTGGTGGTAAGTAGCCTCGACTGTGCGGTGGAGGAGGTCCAGGGACCGTCCGTCGTAAAGAGCGTGAGCAATCGACAGAACGAGATACCAGCGTCTGGTGTCGCTTGCGTGGACAAATGTAAGCTGGAAAAGCCCCGATTCTCCCTCTCCGTGCATGGCCTGTCTCCTAACCTTGTCGGCGACGGTGACCAGCTCCGCTGTGCTCACAACGCTGCACTCTTCTATGAAGTCAATGGACTGCTTCACAGCCTGGCAGTAGGCAATGTCAAAATCAGGACTGTCAATGCTGAAGAAGACCGTGCGCAGGATAGCTTGTTTGGCAACGACAGATGCCCACGCGGCTTTGAGGCGCGCGATATCTACACCTGGGTTGATTTCCAGGATGTCGTTGTTGAAATAGAGCGCAAAGTTTGATTGAATCATGTCGGCCACCATGGCCTCCTGCATGGGTGTTGGAGGCAAGAGATGGGAGACGTTGGAGAGATCACGACCGTTCGAGTTGAAGTAGCTGCGGAGCGCTTCTGATGTGGATGCAATAGTGGTGTCGTCAGAGGATTTTGAGGCCGATACATCCCCATTTGGGGCCCTTTCTTCATTGTTTGCGGCCTCAATCATGTCCGAGAAGGTCAGAATCGATTGTCCACGGACAAGTTGGCTGTTGGTCAAACGGACACCGGCTGTGCGGAGGCGAGCTGACAGCTTGATCGTATCAACACTGTCAAGACCCAGTTCCACGAGAGTGGTATTCTCGTTGATCGTGTCCGCTTGCACGCCAGCAAGAGAAGCGATTGTCCGCCGCAGTGTTGAAGCCGTATCGCTCCAAGCAAATGGGGCAGAGGTTTCTTTGCTCAAATCGGCGGTGAAAGCATCACTTGTTACTGGTTCAGGTGTTGGATTGGATGTGATGTTGTCCATGACATGCACCGCGCCATTGTTGGTCCTCATAACTGATGAGAACGGGTCTTTTGCAACGGCTTCCAAGGCAGATTCAAACTCATCGAGCATATGATTGAGAATTGGCTTGTCTGCAACGCCGGCTTTTGCAACAAGGACCAGGCGGAGGGTAGGCGACGACGAGGTTGACGTCAAAACCGCCTCCAGAGCAAGTGGATAGTCGGCATGTACGGCCGGTTCAGATTGCGTCCATAGGTCTGAGGTGGCTGACGACGTGCCGGCGACGGACTCGTCTCCAAACTGGAATGAGAAGAGGATGTCAAAGAGCGGCTGTCCGGCTGAGCACCACTTTTGAATGTCTCGTAACGGTGTCTGCTGAAAGGGTAGCGTAGCTACGTTGTACGCGTGACACGCCTGGGCCAGTTCTGCAAAAGACGATTCGAGCTCCGCGGCCGGCGCAAAGAACGGCAAGGTGTTGAACAGGGGCCCTACAACACCTTCCGTGCCGTCTAGGTCATCCATAGTTCGACCCGAGAGGACGAGGCCAAGGGCCACGCCGTTGCTGGCACGGTTGTTTGCGTTCTTGTACAGAACAGACAACCACAGAGCCTGGACGAGTGCTGCGTGTGTCACACCAAGACGAACGCGTATGTGTTCCACATCGGCAAAGGACAGGGTGCGCTCAACGCCAATGTCTTCGCGGGTAGCGGACTTCGAAGCAGCTAGAGGCTGGAGGGGTTGGAAAGGACCACGGTCGTTCAGGTGTCTCTCCCAGAATGGACGGCTCCTGCTGTGGTTCCGGAGTGGTCCATGCACCAGAGCATGTAGGAAAGTTGGCGCTGACGATGATGGCAAACGGTTCGGTTCAGCTTTGTACGCGGATGCAACCTGACCGAGGACGAGACCGAGACTTGTCGCATCATAGAGGCCGTGGAAAATATGCAGAACATGAGTGTTTGCTCCACGATATGCAAACGACAAATGTTGTATTGGGTTGGTAATGTCGTTGCCTCGGCTGGAATCGACCCAGTCTATGTACTTCTCTTGCAATGCCGAGGCTACGTCTGCATTGTCGTCCAAATTCAGCTGCATCCAAGGAAGGGTGACGGCATCAGGTTTCATAGCAGCTTGGACAATGCCGTCCCTTGTAGCGACAAAACGCGTCCGCAGGATAGAATTTCTGGCAGCGACCGTGGCCCATGCTCTCTGCAGTCTCTCAACAGAGACGGTGCTGTCGAGCTTAAAGTGGAACGTATTAAAGTACGTGTCTCGGTGTTCCGGTCCAGAGCGGGCTCGAGAGAGGATGCCCTGTTGCAAAGCCGAGCAGGGTGCAATGTACTCGATCTGGTCTGAGGCGACGCCGAGGGATTGGGCCACCTGTGCGCGGTTGCGGTGCTGGCAAGCATCAACCAGTAGACGGGCCTCGAGCACTGAGCCGATCGTGGTAGATTGCTTCGTCTGTGCATCGTGCAGCACAGCGATAAGATCTCCCATATTGGGGTGCGCAAGGATGGCTGACGGTGTGGCGGAGGAAACACCTGCCCGTCTGAGTGCGCGAGCAAAGCGTAGCACAGAGACAGAGTCGATGCCGAGTTCGAAAATGCTCGTGTGTGGAGCGAGGGCGTGGTGATTGGGGTCAAGCAGGCCCAACTTGTGCAGCACTTGGACAACGATCTTGCCGCTCGGGTGTTCAGAAAGCGGAACGCGGAGAGCAGCGGTTGACGCCGTCGTCGGCGCTGCCACGCCGTTTGTTGCAGCGCCTGTCGTGTGCATCCGCTCGTCCGGTGACAGACTGTTGAAGAAACGCTTCAGCTCTTTGCCATCTGCTTTGTTGTTGGCCGACAGCGGGATTGCGGCCAGCGGAACCACGTAGGTTGGCACCATGTAGCCTGGGAGCCGCTCTCGACAGGCTGCCTGGACTTGTCGGGAAAGAATAGCACTGTCGGATGCTGGGCTGTGTCCGTCCGGATTGTCGACGACAACAAAAGACACCAAAAAATCCTTCTTGTTGTCTTCGTCGCGGATCACCTGCGTGGCAACATCACCAACGCTGGCCCCGAGGCCGAGGCGGATGGCGTGGTTGATTTCACCAATTTCAAGTCGTTGCCCACGGAGCTTAATTTGGTCGTCAGCACGACCTAGGAAATCAAAACAGCCATCGTGCATCATCCTGACCAGATCGCCCGTGCGGTAAATACGGTCGCCATGGTCATGGCGGTAGCGAGTTCCATCGCCATCCAGGGTTGGGAAGCGCTCATTAGTAAGTTCGGCGCGATTCAGGTAACCTTGACCGACCAATGTCCCAGACACGCAGAGCTCGCCAACACCGCCTCGCAAAATGGGCGTCTGTATTCCAGGGCGGAAGACAAGGGTACCGACATTGGGAAATTGTCTACCGATGTTGGACGCGCGCCCGTTTCGTGGGACCTGCGGATACGACGTGACGCCGATGGTGGCCTCGGTCGGGCCATAAAAGTTGTGAACGGCGCCGGTAGGGCCCCATGGGTCGAGCATTTCCTGTTTGAGTGGCTCGCCGCCGGTGATGAAGACGCCGCGGCAGAGGCTGGGAACGTCGTTGGGGTCGAGCAGGCGGCCCAGACTTGGGGTCAGGTCAATGTGGGTGATGTTGAGCCGCGAAATCGCGCCGGCCAGGTCTTCCAAAAGTAAATCACGCGGAGCGCCGACCAACGTCATGCCTACAGACCACGTCCAGTATTGTTCGAGGACAGCGACGTCAAAGTGGAAAGAAGCAAACTGCAGCCATCGGGACGTGTCGGCATCGTAGTGGTTCCGGAATAGCTCTTGGAAGGCCAGCATGCACTGCACTGCATTCTCGTGGGTGATGGCGCAGCCTTTGGGAGTGCCCGTCGTGCCTGATGTGTAGAGACAGTAGCACACGTCGCTTGGCTCGGGTGCGCGGCGGACACCTGACAATGCCACGCAATCGCTGGCCGTATCCAGAGAAGCCATATCAATGCCAAGTATCGTGACGGCCGGTGTGATGTCAGACAAGCCACCATCCGAGACTGTCGCTGCAGCTCTGGTCACATCCGTGAGAAGGAGCGGTGCTCCCGCGTCCTGGAGAATAAATTCTTTGCGCGATGATGGCGCGCCAGGATCCAGAGCTAGAAAAGCACATCCGGCCTTGAGGATACCCAACATGGCAACGAAGGCTTCGGGGCACTTATCAAAGCAGATGGCCACAATTGATCCAGGTTCTGCATGCTGAGACACAAGACTGGCGACCTGGTTACCGCGAGTGTTCAAGTCGTCGAAAGACCATTCTTTGCTAACCGGAACGCCGCCTCTGCTCTCGTCGAAGGCCGTAACGAATTGCAGAGCGACTTTTGTTGGCCTCAGCTCAGCCTGACGTTCAACAAACTCATGCAGCAGCTTCACATCCGATTGCAGCTCCCGCACGGTTGGAGGCAGCACACTGTAGAGTTCAGGGTTCAGTTCCACAAAGTCGTCTTCGTCACCGTCAGGATGGGTCGCAAGGTGGCTGACGATAGCGTCAAGCTGATTGAGAAGGATGGTCGCATGCTCGCGTGGTAGGACGCTGGTATCAAATGTGATCTGATACAGCAGCGGTCGATCGGTTGCCTCCGGAATGGCCTCGATAGAAATTGGATAGTCAACAATGGCCTCCTCGTCTGAAATGGTCCAAGGGCAGTTGTCAGAGCTTGAGCCACGCTCGGCGGCCTGGAAGACGACAAGTGTATCGAACAGCCGGGTATCAGGCTGACCCAGCCATCTCTGAATCTGGCGAAGCGGGACGTGTTGAGACTTGTGAAGTAGAATATTTGCATGCATCAACTGCTCAACCAGCGCCCTATTGCTTGACTTGTTCTGGGTGACGACCGGCAACGTGGAAATGCACGGGAAATCCGCACGCTCAGTCGCATCGGAGTTGCGGCCCGAGAGAACAGCACCGAAAACGACCGATGCATCGCCCACGTAAGACGACAGAATGCGCGTCCATGCCGCCTGGAGGACAGCGTGCATGGTGAATCCAGCACTTCGCACGGCCATCTGTAGCTCGTCGAGTAAGCGCGACGATGGACGAGACAGAACAGCATATCCTTGGGACTCATTGAGCGGAGTCAGCAGAGGGAAGCTATTGACAACAGTTTGACCACTCTTTTCTCTCCAGAGGTCGGCTACGGGTGACGAAGAACCGGTCAAGGAAGCGACTTGGTGGAGAATATCAGAGACGACCAGCTCTGTTGATGGGGTTTCCTTCCGCTTTACTTCGTATCCAGCCTGTATAAAAGCGGTCACGTCGTCCAGAAGAACCCGCAGACTTGCTGCATCGTACAATGCGTGGTGGATGGCCAGGTGGCAGGTCACAACGTCTCCTACACGGCCGTCGACAATAGCCACTTGCCATGGTGGAAGCTGAAGGTTGGTGAGAGTTTCCACCGTTGCCTCGCGTTTCCAATTTTTGAAATCAAAGTCGTGGCCGTCATTGACGAGAAGAACGCGGGCATGGTGCTCCATTGACTCTGGAGAGATCTGGACCATGGCAAAAGGAGACAGGGCGTCAAATGCATCATCGCTGTTGCTGTCGCTGTCGTCATCCGCTGCACCATCCTTGCTTACGAATCCTGTCCGCAGTATAGGGGTCGAACATGCAACTTGCCTCCACGCCTTTTGCCACATATCTCCATTGAGTCTCGGGATTTTGTCCCCTCGTTTCTGCTCGAAGGTGATGAAATTGAAGTAGTGTTTTCCCTTTGACCGAACGAACTCGGTGAGCAGCCCAGTTTGCAAGGGAGTACAAGGCAAGACAGTCTCAATTTCATGCTCAAGGTAGAACCCTTGTTTATCAAGCACAGGGCGAGCAGCCGCACGAAATGTGGTAAAGTCTATTGTCTGTAGTTCGACGGGCCCGGGAGATGCAACGGACAGAGATGAACTTGGTGGAGTGTTTGTCGCGGAAGATGTGTCTGGCGTGCGGAACTCGGAGCTGTTGGAGGTCGTGGTGGCTCCTGTAACTTGGACGAGTGGTGGTGAGAGTGATGCTGCCAGGGTTGCACAGCTCGGGTGCTCCATGACATCCACGGCCGAGACCTGGAGTCCTTGTTTTCGGAGTTCAGATGCTACTTGCACAGCGCGGACACTATCGAGGCCAAGGCGGTAAATTGTCGTGTCGCGCCGAATGTTGTCTGCAGGCACGCCGGCGAGCCGGGACAATACTGTACGAATGGCCGACTCGGTCGTAGTCCAAATCTCATCGGTTTCATGGACAAGAACGGCGTCCGACCCGTTCTCTTCAGCTTCTTTCCCGAACGATTCCACGTTCAAGTGCAGATTGCCAAGTTTGTCCTGCAAAGACTGAGGTAGCTCTGTGCGACTTGGGATGCGCGACGACGAGAACTGTACGAGAGTCGTCAGGAGAGTGCCAAACAGGTCGACAACAACTGACGCTGCTTCTGGTTTGACAATATTTCTGTAGTTAATGTACATACATTGTTAGACATTACCAATCTGCGGAAAGGTCGTCGGATGCTTAAACTTACTTGTCAAAGTGAAGCCGACCTCGTAACTTGTCTTCATCATTGGCCGGCGTAAGCTCAAAGACCATTGGGAGCTGTTGTGGTTAGTAAATGCAAGCGAGATGCTCTTTTCTGAACGCAGCCAACTCACATCCATCTCCCCGTCGTCCCGCTCCAGGGTCCAAATATCATTGTTGAGTGGTCGTGATGGTCGCTGAAGCAGAAGCAAGCTGTCAAAAAGACGACGACCGTTACTGTGTTGCCTTTGGATCTGCCTCAAAGGCGTAAACTGATGCAGGAGAAGGTCCGGGTTCAGGGTTTGAAAGTAGGACAACAAATCGCGGTTGGACTGTAATACGGAAATGTTGGCACGGATAGGAAGCGTGTTGAAGCATGGGGCAACTAAACTGTCCACATTCTCAACTGGCACAGAGCGGCCGTTGTAGACGTTGCCAAAACAGACGTCATCCGTCTGCAAGAGAATGGCCATAGTACCCGCCCACGCTGCCTGACAGGCCGTCAACAAGGAGCAGCCCAGGCGCTTTACCTGATCCTGGATGGCCGACAGAGGCATGTCGAGAGCCTGCTCCAGGATTCCGCTACCATTGTCCGGTACGGCCGACCTGTTTGCAAGTAACAGAGTCGGTTTGTACCCAGCAAGATGGTTGCTCCAGAATTGGTCTGTGGACGACGGAAGGTTCAACGCTTGCTGAAGGAACATGCTGAAATTCGGCGCCGTATCCAGAATTACCGATGAATTTTCCTGTCCGCTCATGCGGAGGACAACCTGTTCGACTTCCCATAACAGACGACCCATGGCTTCTCCGTCGTAGACAGCGTGGTGGCAGACAAAGGACAGATACTGAGTGTCTCTGTCCCTGATTGCTGCAAAAGAAACTGGGGGGTGGAACGAGTCGACTGGATAGGGGAGTGATTGTGCGTGCTGCTCAACGAGGGTGTCAAGGGTGTCCGTCACAGATGTAGCCAGATCCAGCCAGGGAGCCGTATAGGTGTCCAGGACAACCTGCGCAATGGGGTGCAAGACGTGATCTGTTGTCACAAAGCATGTACGCAGAATATCTTGGCGAGCACAGACTTCCATCCACGCCTCTTGTATGACGTCCACATTCTCTACAAGGCGGAAGAGCATGCGATTGACATAAGTCTTGCCCCGTGTTGGCGAGACCAGCATCGCTTCTTGCAGTGGTAAGCACGGCATGGCTTGTTTGGTTGAAGACAAACCTCTCTCCTCAAGGTTCGACTGCAGTTCTGACATAAAATCTGATGAAAACACGTCCAGTGAAACGGTTGACGCAATGCCATCAGAGGTAAATGATGTCGTTGCCGACTTCTCGGCAATCAACTGTGCCAGCTGTGCGATGGACATGTTCCGTAGAATGTCCGAGATGGCAAGGCGGCACTTTGGAAACGTCTGGTTGAGACGCCGAGAGACATGGATGGCAGATAACGAGTCAAGGCCTACGCTGGCCAGCGGCGTCCAGCGGCCGATACTCTGCGCATCAGGCTTGAAAACATCAGCAATGATGCCAGAGATCTGCCCCTCAATATCCGTCCACTGTGCGGCGTCGTCATCTTCAGCTGTGTCATAATTGTTTGCAAAAGCGGACACTTGTTCTTGAGAGAGGCTACGGAAGGTGTTCAGCAGCAAAGCTTTGTTTACTTTCCCAGCTGGTGTCAGGGGCATGTCTGTTATCGGGATCAAGAATGTCGGTACCATATAAACTGGCAGCCGAGATTGCAGCTCGAGGAAAAGAGAAGCAGAAAACTCTTGACGTGAATCAATAACACGGAATATGCGATTTGGCGACGTCGACGAGGGCATGAAAAAGGCGACTAGCTGGTCAGAGCTGAACTCCGGCGAGTCTTCTTTGCGGGTGACAACGGTCACCGCCTTGGCCACAATTGGAGATGCGCAAAGAACGGCGTTGATTTCGTTGAGCTCGATGCGTTGGCCTCGTAGCTTGATCTGGTCATCAACGCGGCCCGTGATCATTAATGAACCGTCGGGTAGCATACGGCCAATGTCACCAGAGCGATAGAGCCGGCCATAAACGGGGTGATGAATGAACTTTTCTGCCGTTAATGATGGCAGTCCCAGGTAGCCAGCAACGACCTGATCGCCACCAAAGCAGAATTCGCCAACAGCCCCAAAAGGTACTGTATGTCCACTCGCATCGTCCATGCGAAGCACGACTGTCGACGTATTCTCAAAAGCAAACCCGAGGTGGCGGATGGTATCGCCAAGGGCCATCTTCTTCACAGTGCAGATGTTTGTCGTCTCGGAAGGCCCATACCCTGTCCTGTTAGTATCATACGATCCCGTTGCAAGTTGAAGGCATGAGGTACAATATCTTACCCTGGAACAGCTGCTTCGACCACATGTTGGCCACCTTTTCTGTCAACGGCTCCCCAGCTGTGACGAGAAACTCAACACTAGGTGTATTCTGGGTGTCGACCAGTGCAGCCACAGTCGGGGTCATGCTCAGGTGCGTGATGCCAAAGAGGCGTATAGTGCGCTCCAGGTCTTCAAACAGCACATCGTTTGTAGCCGAACAGAGGCACAGGCCGTACACCCAGCTAAAGAAAATTTCAAAAACGGACACATCAAATGCTTGCGAGCACGACTGCAGAAGCCGTCCGCCAATTTCCGGGGAGATGGGGTAGATACGTGACAGGACATCGAGGTTACTGCAGATGTTGAGTTGGGTGACGCAGACACCTTTGGGCACGCCCGTGCTGCCCGAGGTGTAGACAATGTTGGCGATCCGCGCTGGGTCAGCCGGTATAGCTTCGTCTCCCTCCAAGTCTTCGTCAGGGAACAGTTTCAGGTCGGCGGTTTGCAGGTCCAGTACGGGACAAATATCAAGACTCGAGAGATCGTTTGTAGTTCTCATATCAGAAAGAATACACCTGACGCCGGCCTGTTCGAGAATGGTGTGTATTCTAGTCAACGGTGTCGTTGGTAGAAGAGGTAGGTACGCACACCCGGCTTTGAGTATGCCCAGAATGCCGGCGTACAGGAGTACCGACTTCTCCATGACAATCGCCACAGCATCACCAGTTTTTGCGCCGAGTGACTTCCGAAGACAGCGTGCAATTTGATTGGCCATCCTGTTGAGCTCGTCAAAAGTGACAGTAGTATATTGCATCGAGCGTTCGCCGTCGTTCTCTCCGTCATTGAACGATGTGGCGAAACAAACCGCAGGCCTCGTAGGAAACCTCTTTGATGTCTCCTGCACGAGCTGGGCCAGGTCAGGGTGGCCGTCAAAAGTCCGGTAGTCGAGGTTGTGGCGGGATTGTAAGGCTACAGGAATCCCCGCGTATACTGCGGAGAGAGTGTCGTTCATATTGGCAACAATATGTTCCAAAGCAGCAGCATATTGCTTCAGGAGCATTTCCACTTGGACTTGGGGAAACGAGTCAGTGTAAAACGTTGTCCTGATTCGAAATGTACCATTCCTTTGGCCGTGTTTCGCCTGCGGCTCCACCTCCCAGAGCATCTTTGTCTCCAGGTAGTCTTTGTGGTCAATCTCACGGACGAATTCGTCTTCATTTCCATTGCTGAACATTGATTCTTGGTATACGAACAAGACATCGTACAGGGATTGGCCAGGACGAATGCCGGCAATTTTCTTGATCTCGGGCAGCGGGAGGAACGCGTGCGCTAGAAGGGCGCGATTGGATGCGTGGATATTCAGGAGGAGGTCGCGGATTGTGCGCATGCGAGAGAGATCTGCTCGGAGCGGCACAGTCTGTAGACACGGGCCTACAATATCCATAATGTTGTCCACGGGGATGGTCCGACCCGACGTGACCGTTCCTAGAACGACATCCGGGGAGCCGACAAGGCCACTCCACAGCCACGCCAGCGCGGCTTGGAATAGAGTTTGTGTGCTGCATCCCACGGCATTGGCCACGCGATCTATGTGAGCCTTGTCCACCGGTGTGCCATCGACCGAGGACAGTACTGTTTCTCGAGTAAGGATTCGCCCCGTAACGTCGCGTCTTGCATTGAGCTCCGGGAGGGCGCTCGGCTGGAACCTATTAAGCGTCGCGGCCCAAAAATTCTCGGCTGCTTCCCGTTGCGCGGAAGTTATGGAGCGGCCATGTTGGACAACGGACGAGTAGTGATTTGCAGACAATATGAACTCGCCACGCAAGGCGGAATTCAAATCGCGGAGAATGAGGTCGAGAGACCAGCCATCGTACATTGCGTGGTGCATGTGAAGTAAAACACGAATGTCTCCGACTTTGTTGAGGTCGGCCTCTGCAATATCCACGTAAAATGGCATCAGAAGCTTCTCTTCCGTATCAAGCTGGAAGTCGCGTTGCAACTGGTCCACCGTTCGTATCTGGCCTTCTGCCCCATACCGGCGAATAACTTGCACGAATCGGCCGTGATACTGGGCAAAGCCGGTCCTCAGCGCTTCATGTTGGCTGATTTGATGACCCAATGCCTTGAAAATCTTTTCACGGGGTGTATTTTCGCGGAGTCCAAGCTCGACCCAGTTGCAATACGCCCTGGGGTTGGCCAGCGTCTCCGCCAGCATCGCGACTTGAACTGGGGTACATTCCACCACGCGCTCCACATCTTCCAGTTTGAAGTTGCTTCTGACCAGTTCATTGTCGGCGAAAAGCTCACTTGCTTCTATTACATAATCTTGATTTTGTGCTTCGATGTTGTCTGACACTTCCGGTGTGGACTGTCGTATGCGAGAATGCAGCGCTGCCAGTGTCCTTGACTCAAGAACGTCCACCGCACTAACATGAGGGAAGCCAGCGGCGCGGATAGTGGCAGCAAACCGAAACGCTTTCAACGAGTCCAGTCCTGCAGCAGCAAGAGGCACTGTGTTGCCGATGGTCGAGCCCAGAACTGACCTTGCAACCTGGTGCAGCGTGTAATCGAGGTCGTCCTCGAACTCTTCTGGTGGCGGTTCGGTGGCCTGCTCTGTATTCAACTCTGTGTACTCATTCGAAAGCTGTTTGCGGTCAACTTTGCCGGATGGCAAGCGAGGGAAATCGGGCATGAGAACAATATCGCCTGGGACCATAAACCGAGGCAACCATGATCGACACGAGTCCAGTATTGCTTCTTCCAAGCCAGTGAATGCCGCAGCAAGGAACGCCTTGGGCCCCACGTCGCAAAACGCAACAAGAATGCCGTTGATCACAGCCGCAACACTCCCGAGACAGCCGTCTGTGCGGAGAACAGCTTGCTCCACCTCGCCCAGCTCGATCCGCTGACCACGCAGCTTCACCTGGCCGCCCGACAGACGGCCAGAGCACTCGAGCGTGCCTTGTTCGGTGACCCGGGCCTTGTCACCGGTGCGGTACAGTCGTCCATATTGCTGCGTGTCGATAAATGCAGCGGCTGTCTGCTCCGGACGGTTAATGTAGCCGCGGGCCAGCTGGTGGCCACCAACAGCCAGCTCACCGACCTCGCCCATTTGGGCGAGTCGCGGGTCTCTACAGACGTCCTTGTCACTCCCGTCACCCTCTTCATCTGGGATGGCCAAAATATACGCCGACACTGTGTCCAAAGGAAACCCAATGTTTTTCACTGAAGCCGTTCCATCCAGCGCCGGTTGCAATGTGCTACAGGTCGTGTTAGCCTATAGGTCTTTTCTTCGTCGATTCCAAAGGGTGCCAAAAACGTACCAGTGGATGGCTGCTTCTGTGGGACCATACATGGCCCAAAGAATGCTCGTCTGCTCCGGACCGGCACCAAATTCGCGAATCACAGGCTCTGTCAGCATCTCGCCAATTGTCAGGAGCAGTTTTAAACCGGGCGCGTTGGCTCGGCTCTGCAGGAGACTTCCCGCCACAGTGGGCGTTAACTCGCAAGCATCCACGTCGAGAGAGGTAATGACAGCCGGCAGATCGTCGAGCATGTCGGCCCGGCTGCAGCAGACCAGCGTCGCACCCCGGAACCAAGGGAAGAAAATCTCAAAGACGGAGACATCAAACGTGGGTGCCGCAAACTGGAGAAAGCGCTGGAAACTCGGAACGTGGCGGTCGTGCGAGAGCAAGCTCTGGGTAGCAGCGCCGTGCGGGACACCGACGCCTTTGGGCGTGCCAGTTGAACCGGATGTGTACATGACGTAGGCCAGGTCATCGGGGCCAGCAGTCCGAGCCGATGACATCGGGGTTTCCGACGTCTCCGGCCCGACATATCGTCCGTCAAACAGATGAAGCTCATCAACAAGCATGACCTGTAAGGACGCCTTGATGCCCTCAGGGAGCCTGGCCGCCATGGCCGACGTCGTCAGGATGATACCGGCTCCAACGTCGTCCAAAATGAAGCGAATGCGGTCTGGTGGTGCATCCAGTTGGATTGGGCAAAAGGCACCGCCGGACTTGAGGACGGCCAGAAGCGAGACATACAGCTCCGGCGCCTGGGGAATCAAGACCGGTACGACGAACTCGTCGGTGGCCGGAACCGCAGATCCGGTCGACACATCTGCCACAGCATCCAGCCGACGGCTGATTTCGACTGCAAGAACAAGGGCAATGTTGTGCAGCTCCGGGTATGACAGCGTCACATGCGTGCCGTCCGGGGCTTTGTAGTCGAGCGCCAGTGGTTGCGACACGGCTTCGGCATGCGCTCTGGCCACATTGTGATCTGATGCAGCTGCCGCATCGGTTCGGTCGCCATCTTCAGCGCCGGAAACAAGCAAATGAAGCAGCGCCGGTCCAGGCAGCTTCCGGGGCTCTGGATTGAGGATCGAGAGAGGTTTTTTGTCTACCATATTTATGTATTTGGCTGTGGTGGTATTTGTCGGCGTTTGTTATGCTGTCAAATCGTGTCAAAGCTCCAGCCAATGAAAGCACTGGAGCGTTGATGCCGCTTTGCTGTGGGACAAGGCTGCAATATCGCTGGTGAAAGAAAAACGCCATAAAACTTCTTCAAATTGCAAACATAAAAAGCCATTAATGCTTGCAGCTCCGGGCGTATGTCAAGACCATCGCGGTTCGTCGAGACGAAGTCGGTTTTGGGGACTTGACAGGAATAAGGCCGCTTGGGGTGGAGGCTCCCAGGCGTGGGGGATTGGGGATCTTGAATGTCCAAAGGAGCGCGTGCATGCTGGGAGACGTTCCACTCCACTGAAGGGTCCAAGTCCAGTATTGACATGCGAATACGATGGCTGCCACTTTGCGGCGGTGATGTTTTTGTTATGTCATTTGTTGCTGTCTTCCTCGATTTTCCTTTCTCCTCAAGCCGAGCGTAGTTGCGCTACGGAGCCCCTAAAAGGGTCGCAAATCCGACTGCAGAGGTAAGTACGACGGTGGGGGGGGGGGGGGGGTCGGAGTGCGGGCTTGCGGGCTTTAGGGGAAGGAGCACATCGACGCGCTTGTTAAGAGTGGTGCCCTCCCTCGTCTAGGAAAGAGCTACCATAGTTGTGGGTTGTTAAGCAAGCTCTTAACAAATCATCTCTGACCTCTCGCTCGGCTCGTTGTACGCATGTGAGCAAGCTGCAAAGCTGCAATACGTGCTGCGATTATGCTATCTGGGCTATCGTCACGAGCAACCCAAAGAAAGGGCACGTACAGCAAATGGCCTGCGAGGGCCGGCCCTGCTTTTCTGGGGGAACATGCGTGGTTTGTTCCTTCCTGCAAGGTCATACAAAGATATTTCCTGTTCTAGAAGCGCTCCTGCCGAACCAAAATAGTGGTCAGGCACCTGACCACAGTCGCTCCATGTAGGGGTATCGATTATGTTTGTGTTCGGGTCTTCTCTTCTTGTTCTCGTGTAAGAGAATGATCGTGACATCTCTGTTGTCAACAATCGAACTAGTCGAAATTGCAAACACTTGCTCTCGAAAATACCATTGGCAATGGGGTCCACCGTGATGAAGACCGGGCCAGGAGGGGCCTGTCTGTGAACAAGGAAGGCGTGAATTAGCGTGGGGTGCGCCTTCCGCTACCATCTTGTAGCCAAGAGGCAAACGCCGTTTCGTTTCTTTTTTTTTTCTTTTTTTTTTGGCCGTAGTGGCTTCATGGTGTAAAAGCAAGGCTTGGGCCTCGACGGCATATAGCCAATAGTGATGCAGAAGATGCCGACAGCAAGGTTCTGCAGATGCATCCCGCGCTACGAAAATAAATGTAGAAGAGAATGGAGTGAAGAGGTGTGGGATATCACAAAACGACAAAGACAACCTTTTTATTGCTTTTTCTTTTGAGTCGTTTTTTGAGTCGCGAGACAAGCGATCAATAAATCCTGGGAGTTGGGCTCAGGCGGCGGGGACTTGTGAATGTCGTTCTCAAATCGCCGCCAAATAAAGTGTCTAAACAACATAATTCTATTGCTCAAACCAGACGAAGAGAGGACAATAAGAGGCCAGCCTGGAAATAAAACTCAGCGAAGAAAACGGCACAAATGTAAACCAGAAACGTGGCAGAGCGAGAGGGAACAACATGGGTAGACATATTGACTGTGGCCATCTTCGTTCCTATCATACCGAGACAGGATTTGGTGCCCAGGTGCCCCATCACGACTTTGAGCATCAAGCTCCTCTCATTTGCAAAGAAATAGGTCCAGGCGACTGAGAACCGAAGGGAATAAGACCACATCCAAACCAGGATTAGCTATGTCTTATAGCGCGCATCGTTGTCGTCATGTGTGGACTGCCGACCTTTTAGTTTAGGGCAATGACCACATAGTTTTAGTTTACTTTTACACAACGGTCGCGGGATTTTGTTGAGCTGCCCAGCTACCTACTATGTGGGACTAGATTAGTAACCCCACTTGCTCATACACAAATGGATCTAAACTTAGCTAAATGAACACACATTTTCTTCTCGTTACTCTAATTAAGAGTCTCCTCTACCGTCATCTGACTAGCACTAACGTCAAAATCATTAAAACTGTTTCTCGACAAGAGATCTCTAGCTCCTAAGTTATATACCGATACTTTTTAATTTTCTTGAATCCTTATATTGTCGTTTCTACTGTTAACTCCTCGTTTATTTGTTAAGCCTTTACGACAATCTCCTTCGACTGTACTCGTATCACTTAAAGCTTATCTACATTTCCTAAACCTTATATCTGTCTTTTTTAAATAAACAAACCTTTTTATTACGTTTCTCGTTTTTATTCCCTCCTTTAATAACCTTATTTTATTTAACGACACGTTTAACTGGAAAATTTATAAAAATTAACTTTTTAAAGCCTCCCTTTTACACTTATTATTTTACTACTAAAATAACTAGTTTAACGTAATAACCCTACTTTAACGAGTTCTCCGTAACGATAACTTAATAATTATAATAAATTAAACTAAAATTATTCTTTAGTTAATTAAAGAGTAAATAAGGTGGAGAATTAATCTTATTAATATTATAATTAATAACGATATATAATAATATATTTAATAAAACGATAAATAAGAATAACTACTAAGACTTATTAAAAACGTACTTAAACGAATATAAAAACGTTACGACCGTTAGTAAGATATTAAAAAAAATATTAAAAAATAGATCTTAGAATATATTTCACCGACACTTATAATAGTACTAAAAAATTTACAAATAAAAAATCCCACTTTATAATTCGACTATCTTATTAAACGACTTAATATTAATCTTAACCGTTTATACGTTAATATTTAAAATAAATACGATAAAACTATATTAATTATATTACGTAAATTAATAAACTTTATTAATTAAGTTAAAGAATAGTAGGTTATTATAACGTTATACCGTAATTAACAACTCATTTAAATAATATCCTTTACATAATAATAAAAAGATCTTACAAAGTACATTAAAGATATTCTCCCTAACTAACTATAAATATTTATATTTACGAACGTCGACAAAATTACCGTAAACTAAATCACATTCGAAGATATAATAATAAATCTTCGACTTTAACAAGACCTTCTTCCGATAATATAATTTTTACACGGATCTACTTTAACTACTATTTAAGACACTAAAATTATAGTAACTACCTTTAAGAATAAAAAAAAAAAATCCACGTAAAAAAAGTACTATATATAAACTTTATAAACGTAAGGGATATAATATAACCGAGTATTAGTATATTCGTCGGGAAAATAAACCTTTATTCTTTAAACTTAATAAACGTGTCGTTATTAATATCGTTATTAAACTTAAAAAACCCGACATCACTTAAAAAATCAAAGATATTAAAAATAATATTAAAAAATTAAATAAAAAACCGCCCGTACCAAATTTAACGAATATTACAATAAACCTATAACTATACTCGGGCCCCCCGACTAACACTTATATCTTTACTATTAGTTTCTTTATCCTTATAATATCGAAGACCTATACTCTTGATTTTTATACTCTTTTCGACTTTAACGCTTTAGTTTATATTTTTAATTATCTTAACCGTTTTCACGACTTTTAATACTTTTTAAATATAAAACTAATTCCTTTACGAATAAACGGTGAATATATATACCTCGTAAGTAAAAGTACTATTTATTTATCTCTTTCTTTACTTATATTATCCACTACTTTAAAACTACGTAACGTTTACTATTACTTTAACTTTCTTTATAACGTCGTCTTAATAAGTCAACTTAAAGATTAAAACATTTTATAAAATATAAAAACTAAAACTTTTTATTATAATAACCATTTTATTAAAATTATATCTCGATAAAATAACCTTTACATTTTTAAGAACACCTTACGGACTATAATAATATTTACTATATTTTTACTTACTACGACGATAAAACGGAAAACAACTACCGACCTTTAAATATAATACGTACGGTTTAACTATCCCGACGATAAAGTATAACGTCATTTCTTTAATAGTGTTAATAACCTTTATATTTCCCGTTTTACTAAACTTAAAAATGTTTACGACACTTATACCTTGTTTAAAACTATCTACTAACTATTAACTAACTACCGTAAACAAATACGTAAAACGGGTGAACGACTCGTAATTAACTTCCACGATTTCGAAAAATTAAAAAACTTTAAAAGTTATATTCTTATCACCGATATAACTACTAACTTTATATAAGATTATTACCTTCTTAACAAAACAACCTTAACTATTATTACGTATCTTATAAACGTTTTCCGTCTTATCACTACCCACTTATATACTACGATAAAGATTATTAAATACGACCAAGAAATTATTTCTTAAAAACCAACGGTTACTACTTAAATTAAGTAGTAAGACGTCTTATTAAAACTATCTACTTTATACACCTTTAAATAAAACGGAGGAGTTAAATCTATAAATAAAACTATTAAGATTAAAACTCGTACACTCTTTATTTATTTTAAAATACCTTTATCCTTTTAACTAAAAACTATACGAACGGTAGTCTTTTTTTATTAATCGAACCCCTTTTCGAAGTTATAACTAGATAACACTATACTTTCTTCTCTTTAACGAGAAACCAAATGTATCTTTTTTAAAAGTTTATAACTATAAAGTATATAACCTTATTAAGTTAACCCTTCGTTTAAAATATAAACTTTAACGTCTCGATCTTAAAGTTTAAATCGGTTTCCTCGTCGGTTATAACTTATTTAATATTTACCGTATATAAAACTTTATTAATAGTAAAATTTTTATTATAAAAGACGTCGTATTCGACGAAACGACTTTATTTAAATATTATTTCTCGAAGTTTTTTTAAATATTCCTTAAAATTATTCCTTTACTAACTCTACTTTAATACTACTTAACCGTAATATTTACTTATTAACCGTTAATCGTTTATAAACTTATTTAATCCGTTTTAATCCTTATTTACTCCGTTTAATATAAATTCTTCTTTATATACTACATTTTTCTTTTTAACTTTTCTTTTATTCTTTAAACTATTCTTTAATTTAACGTTTTTATTCTTTACGTTAATAACCTTTACTACCGATTCTATACTTTTTATAAAAACGTCTTTATAAGTATAATAACACGTTTACTTCGTCGTGTTCTTTAAACGGACGTTATTAAAACGTTAATATATTATAATATAAAAAATCGATAATTAATAACTTTAAATAAAAAAGATGTCCGGTTAATTATACTTAAATAACCTACTATTTATTTTAAGAATAATCGTAAAAGTACGAAAAGGAATATTTATAATAAAATAAAAATAAACTATAACCGACCACTTTAAAACGTATAACGATATAGTTTCGTAAGAAACTATCGAACTAAACCCGTAATAAAAGTTTATTAATTATAAATAGATTTATATATACAAACTTAATAAAACTAGAATCTTATAAAACTTTAAAGTCCGAATTATCGTTTACGAAGACTAACTTAGAAATATCTTTTAAGAAACTTATACTACCACTTTAACGATTCGCTCCCTTCGTACTATTTTAATACTCGCGTTTTAACGGGATATAATTATTAAATAATACGATATTAATAACGTTTATATAAACGTAACACTACCGGTCTTTATTTATATAAAACAACCTTTAGGTTTCCGTATTAAAAAATAGTTAAAACTTAAGAAAGTTTTATATAAACTACCTTATTTTAAACGTTTATAATAAAATCTCTTTATCGTTAAGATTTAACACGTTTTATTTATATTATATTAACTATCCTAGGATATTTATATCTTTACCGGAGATAACGTTATTTTATTTTTCTTTATTAACGATTTTAATATCGTATATAATTACGATAAAGAATAAGTTGTGTAATAAATTATTACCGACTTATAAAGTAACTTTAAGATTATTAACGGGGATAATATTAATTATTACTTAAGAATATAAATTATTCGAATATAATTAAGTTTAAAACTATCTTAAAAAACGTACGTAAAAAAACTCACCGTCGTAATAAATCTACCGTAAACTAAAACACTATTACTATTAAATCTTACTTTGTTTAAAAATACTAACGAAGTATCTCGACGGGAGATAACTTCTTACTAAAAACTTATTAGTAGATTACTTTAACTAATTATTATTATTTAACTAAACATTATATTTATTATTTCCTTACTCTTCCGTTTTACGTTTAACCTATTACCTTATTATTTCGAAATAATTAAGTACTTATAATTATATATCCACTATACTACGGATAAAGTATTAATATTCCTTAATATTATTAACCGAGGATTTAAACTTTACACTAATTCCTTATACACGGACGATTTTAACGGTAGGTATAGTTCTTAAGACGTCCTTCTTAAACTCTTCGGTACTCCTCTTTATTAAAAAGTTAGTAAATAAAAAGTTGTTACGATATTTAACACTAAAGTAAAACTACTCGCCCTTTTATAAGGTATTAAAGAAGTCTACTTTTAAATAAGACTTTTTAAAGAACTTAACCTATATATCTCGTCCGTTAATATATTTTACGATAATTTATAAACGCTCGATATTATTAATAACACGAATACAACGTTAAACTCACGTCTTAAACATATTAACGTATATAACCACTAGTTACGTTAAGAATCTAAAAAGGGTATCATCAAATTCTTACATATACTAACCGACAAACAGGAAACAAATAGTTTAACCAAATCTCTACCTACATAGAAACACAAGGCCTTCCTGTATCAACTACCCATGTCTATCAATGAGCAATTTTGACAAATTGGGGGGGTGTGCTGTGTGGGACTAGATTAGTAACCCCACTTGCTCATGCATACATACATAGATTTTCTTAGCCGATCCAAATGGATCTAAACTTAGCTAAATGAACACACATTTTCTTCTCGCTACTCCACTGCCCAAGCTATTTGAATGGTAATGGAGCCGGCTCGTCGTTTCCACTAATTGACGGAAAATAAAAACATAAAGAGAGCTACCAAGGCGTGCAAAGCAAGAAGCAGATCTCATGGCCTCTTTTCATCATTCTTTCCACCTGTTTTGCCAATCACCCTCATCACTATCAAACACATACGGAGTGCGGAGTACAGTCGTGGACTTCCTACAGAGGCAAAACTAAGAAGAAAGATGAAGCCATGCCAAGCCTGGACCCCTCCAGCCATCCAACGCAATGCAAGGTAAGTCACCCACTTTCGTGATGTCGTCGAACCACCCACGCCTCTAGCCCCATGCATGTGCTTCGTCTTTCCATTGCGTGACCCTCTCTGCCTCTCTGCCTCTCTAGGTTTGCAGTCTTTTCGTTTACCTATTTACCCGTGTTGCTTCTCATCCTCTTTTTTCTCACGTCGGCAAACCCCGTATATATCTTTACCTTTTGATGTGTCGCCTCTGGTGCATCTCAGGCGGACCGAATTCCTACCCCTTGCATTGATAGGCTTGGTGCCTGTATGGCGACCGTCATTGTTTTCTTTTCTGTCAATATGTTTTTGTAGAATTTCCTTTCGCTGCAACGAATGGAAGTGCGTCGTTTAATACTGTGATTACTTTTCACGGCCTCCGACTGGCTCAGGCCCTCATCCTTTCTTGGTGGTTTCTCGTTTATTTGCGCGATGTGACCAGGACGACGAGCAGGAATGCTATCCGTCGTGTCTCGTGCATTGTGGTCCTTCTCGTGTGACCTTCTGATCCGCCCAGTAACAGAACATGGATTTCAACCCCAACGACTCTGGTTTGCTCCGGTTCGGCCATGGACCATTTGCCGAGCTAGGGTCTCCGATCGAATAGCAACGTCTGCAATTCTGCTGATGCCAACTCATGTCGCAAGGCATTTTTCGTAGATTGCTGTCGTGATCGACGGACGACGGACACCTCCTCTCGTCGCCCTCCGATCTCTTCTTCCCTCTCGTCCCCGATACTCTCTTGTCGTCATACGGTAGCAGGCCTGGTCCAGGGTCTATTAGACGGGTTGGTAGTCAAAGTACAGCTGTGTGCTGGAGTGGTCTGGCATTGTTTCATTTTTATTCATATTTTTCTATGCATAATTTCCGTATTAGGCAACACACAAGCACTATCTATGTGTTAGAGAAATTCGTGGTAAGAAATGCTAAATAACTTTTTGCTAACTGCTAACATTTTTTTTTAAAAAAAAAAAACAAAATATTGATATCGTGAGTTTTTTTCCTAAAAAAGGCTGGTTTATTCCTGTCAACATGTACAATTGACAATTGACAATAAAAATACTATGCGAATTCGAGTTTTTCAGTCTCCTTTTTTTAGTGTTCTGTCGCAAATCGATAATAATAAAAGCCAAAAATAAATTCGGTATTTTCATCGTTTGTTGGCACCAAAAATTGATTCGACAATCTCGCCAGAACGAGTGGCAAGAACAGACAACAGTGTGTCGCTCAACTTCCAAAGGTTGTTAGCTTGAAAATACACCAAAAGTATGAAAAATGACGTCAACGAACATCAAATCAACGTACACCATGTGTGCCTTCACAGCATCCTTGCAGCCAGATGCCTGAGCCTGGCGCAATGCGCGTTGCGTCAAACTCGACGTGGTAATCGCGGGCAACGCGGAGCATCTTTGTCGCGGAGGCACCGTCTGACGCGGTTGTGTCATTCACTTCCCAGGTACCGACGCTGTCATCGTCCGTGCCGCTGGTAGCCTTCTTGGCCTCCGTTTCCGGGAGAAGGGGCCACAGGCCCTTGAGCATAGTCACATGGCTATTTCGTTCGTAGCCGGTGGCTGCAATAACGAGGTCGACTTCCAGCACTTCGGGCTTGGCTGATGTGCCACTTTGAACCGGTTCCACGACCAGGCGCAGGGCGTCCTTCTCGCCCGGATCGACGCGGGCAACCTGAGTCGACCCGAGGATGCGGTGCGGCCACTTCTTTTCATCTGCACCGAGCTTGCGGCGCTGGTGATACATGCGGTCGTAGAGATGTTCAATCAATTCGAGGCGCACTACACCATAATTGGTTGGACGGGCATCAACCAGAAGGTTCCTTCGGTAGCTAGCTGGTTTGGGATACAAGCTGTCAATGTACTCGGGATTAAAAATAGAGTTGACACTGATTACGAATTAGTAACGCGTTTCGAGTGCGATCATTGGGATAAATCTTTGACTCTTGACACTTACAACGGAGAGTCGTCACTGGGGCGGAGGAACTCGGACCGCATCACAAGAAAGGTCTGCGAGTTCGGATACAACTCTTGGACATTGTTGAAGATCTCAGCTGCACTCTGGCCGGCTCCAACGACAGCCACGCGGTACGGGGCCTGCTGGTTGTCGAGGATTGTCGGCACAAGGTGGGCAAACTGAGAGGAATGAATGACGCGTGGGTGGGATGCGGACAGGCACACCGGCAGTGACGGCTTGCCGCCTGTGGCAATGAGCACATTGCGTGCTCGGTAGAGCTGTTCACTTCCAGATGTGACATCTCTGGCCACGACGCGGAATGTAGAGACAGTGTCGTTTGCGGTTTTCTGTATCTTTTGGCCGTCCTGTACATCAGCATCGACGGCCAAGACCTCTCTATCGTAGATCACGGACTCGTCGAACGAACTTGCACACCAGCGGAGGTAGTCCTCATACTCGGCACGAGCAGGGAGGAAGGTGCCGAGGTTGGTGAAGTCGACTAAACGCCCATTCGCGTGAAGATAGTTTGTAAAGGTGAAAGCAGAACGCGGGTTGCGGAGCGTGGCCAGATCCTTGATGTAAGAAATTTGCATCTTGGCGCCGGGCAGGAGCATGCCAGCATGCCAGGCGAACCCGTGCTGCTTCTCGAGAAACAGGATCTTGGGCGGCGCTGCCAGTGTTCCCGCCTCAAGCGCATCATGGACAGCCACAGCAACCGCAAGACTGGCAGGGCCAAAGCCAACACAGATTAGGTCTTGAACTTCGTCCGGCACGGCCGGCCGGAGTCGCGACTTATTCGCTGTCGAGTATATTCCATTGGTGCCATTAGCACCGTTCACACTGCTTGTGCCATTGACGCCATTAGACGTGTGGCCATTTGGGTAGTGGCCGTTCCCGTATGTAATGGGAGAGGTCGTCATGTTCTGTGCTTCTGAGATAGCTGGTGTTGGACGATTTGTAGGCGTGAGCCGTGTTGTCAAAACAGTTTGGAAATCTTTTTGTCTAGAAAAGAAAAGAAAACGACTGGTTTTGGGTGGAAGAATCAGGCCCTTCTCGTCTGGCGCTGACACCGAGACAAGTAGCAGAACAGCGAGGATAAAATAAAGATAAAATAGCATGGGCCGGCCGTGTCGATCCACGACCACAAAAACCTTGTCCTTGTGTTGTCGTATGTGCTGTACTTTGGTATTCTTTTTTGTAAACTAGAATCCTGTCTGGCGACGCTCACTTTGTCTCCCTCTTTCATGTGAATCCGCTGTTGACGTATTATCCCTCTAGGCTCATCGGGTGGAATGTGCGCGTGCCGAAGAGACACCCTTTCACAACTTTGGTGGTCCATGTGCATATTTCCTTAATGCTATGCCTGTTCGATGCTCTCTGGCGCTAACGGTTTTGTGGTGTCCTTGAGTCAGCTAAGGGGACCAGCAGAGGGTGTGGGGCGTGGGATGTCTCCGTGTAAAAACACCGGCAGCGAAAGGGCATACAAGAAGGGTTAATAAACTGGCCATTTTGTCTAGGAAGTTCATGTTGCCGTCTTCCAGTGTCGGCGGAACTGCTGACAAGTGGAATGTGCAGAAAAAGCGGCATAAAAAGCACACCATTTTGAGCTGGGCATTTCGGAAGGGCGACACGATTCCTTTGTCCCTGTCCGTATATCATACTTAATTGCTGGATGTATGCTCATACGAGAAGCGAAAGTATTGCGGCCGGCGCGGTATTGAGGGCTCGTCCTGACGATCTTTTTCCACCCACTTGTCCCTTGTCGCTCAGAGCAGGTACAAACGAAGCGCGGTATTCGGAGAAAACGAGTGGGATTCAAATGCGGCCCTTGTCTCCGTCGTAACAGTCTCCACGCGGCAAGGCAGCACCATGTAACAACTGGCGAGAGTTTTCTTGCCAGTCTTTCACGAAACAGCCAAGTTGGCTCGCTCGGTGGAGTGACCCAAAGGAGGAGAAGCCGGTGGCAGAGGCTCCTAGTCCGTACCGCTCAAATGTTTGACGGTCTCCTTCTTTCAGGGCAGGACGACACGCCTGTGACTAGTTTGATGGGCCACAGCGATCCGAGAGATCCCCAAGAGTGGAGACAGACTTTGGGAGCCCGGATGCGATGTCGGCATTATCTCTAGATCAGATAAGATGTGCCAAGCCAAGCAACAAAAACCAAGTTGGCTCTTGTTCATGAAAATATGCTGCAACGCGCGGGCTTTTACCGTGATCTAGTCAGTTTTGTGGTTGCGGAGACTGGGTATTTTTCGGCTCATAGGACGATCCTTGGTGCGCTCTTTTCAGGAACTGACGTGATTTGTTCTGGTGTTTTGCAACCAGCCGACGAAAGTACCAGGCGTCGGTCGTCTTTTTTTCTCTCCCAAGTCTGTTTTCCACTGCAGAGAGAGAGCGAGGCCAAGAAATCCTCTCAACACCTCGTTACGCCACGGAAATCAGTGCTGCGTCGCCAAGAGCCCCTGTAGTCACATTGAACATTCCGGGTCCATCAACATGCACCTCGAAGTTAGCAAACGTCCGAAAGAGGAAGCTGGAAAGGTACTCACGTTGACCTGCTGCTGTGCTAAAATCCAAGATGATCTGATAAGATGGCATCCACCCGCTGATCCGTGAAAAATTCTGTTGCCGGACGCCGTATACATGCAACGCTCGGGAGCGATTTCGGACGACCACTCAGAATAGGGGGTAGCATGCATGTCTGGAACGGCGCTGCAGTTGCAGCCCAATAGCGACAGAAAAGAAAGCAGCGAACACGGAGTGCACGAACAACTGCATGTTCGCAGCTGGCAGTTGCCGGAAGATGACACACGTTCCGGAGGATGCAGCAGATGCCCAAAGCAAACGCACGTTAGATGGCAGCCAGTCGCCTCACACTCTTGTGAATATGTGCCGGAACTGATATGGAGGCGTGGGGGGCTCACGAACGGGAGCTGGTGATTCCACATTGATGATGATATGATGTCGGCTTCCAAAGGACGGCAAAAGATGACTGCGAGCCTTTTGAGGGTGGTGGCACATGGCGATGGTGCTTGAAGGAGAAAGCAGCAGGGGAAATGAAGAAGATCGAAACCAGTTGGCGCCATAAAAACGCATGACGAAGCTTGGCCATGAGCAGGGAAGGACAACCAAGGCAGCTCTTGTGTTCAGTGTTGGGATACTACGACCAAGCAGCCCATCGTCGCTTCCACGTTTGTGTCATGTTTTGGCAAGTGCGACCTACATATGCAACTGCCGTGCCGTAAGCGACACTGGGCAGGAAAGAGCAAACGAGCGACCTGGCATGGGCAAAGTCTTTGTTTTACTTTTGTGTGACCGCTAAAGGAAGGAACACAGAAATTTTGGCAAGTGCAAACAACATGGCGAGGCTTTTAAGGAAGGCAGCACCAACACAGGATGGAGGGTCACTCAAGGCTGTCCTGATGCGGTGTTGCGTACAACAACTAAATTTGCATCGTGTTGAAACTAGCTGTGTTCTTCCTGTTCATCTGCCTGTTCACCAGCATGCTGCACCACACCAGACACAATGGCGACAACACAACCAAACACCAGGCAACGAATTTCTCCACACCGCCTCACTTTGTCCCGTCTTATGCTTGGCCGCATCGTCGATACGCGTGCTCTGTGCGTCGTGCAGTGGACAGAATATAACAGAATGCGGCAATGCCGTTATGCTCGACCGTGTCGCATTCTCCCCTGAGCAATACGAGTGCGTTTGCCAAGACGCAGTGTAATTTGGACAAGGGCTTTCCCAGTGTTAGTGCGCTGTCAACGCAGCGTCCCGCCAATGGTAGTTGCTGAAATGACATCCCTGTTTGATTCATTTATTTGTGCTGCACTCCCCAAAGCTCGTCAGGATAGGCTCAACCTGGAGACAGCGGGCAGCCTGGTAGCCCAAAATACTTTATTTTGTGTTCCCGGGTCATGGGCTGATTCTTGCCGGCATGGGGAGGGCCGTGAAATAAAGAGCTGGGGCAGCGAGAGGTCTGTGTATGGAGGAGAAGGTAGAAGAGGATGCCCAGCAATGGCCTTTCTCGCTTGAAATCAGTGCGTAAGGGGTGCGTTATGTCCTCGTGAGTGTTTTTGGGTTCTTTTCTCCTGGCTTTTAAACGAATTTATTGCAACGACGAACGGAAGCCGTCGAAGCGCTTTCCCATCGGAACGCCGGCGAGCATCATCACGGTCGCCGTCATGGATCTTCCCGAGGTCGTGCCTGACTCGTCTCTCGAAGCGGCGCCGGGCCGGTATCACAGCGATAAAGAAGCCAAATATGCCGTCGCCACGTCCGATTACAACGGCGACTACAACAATGGCCACTACGATTCGGGCCTTATCCCCGTCACATCAGTACACTCCTTCAAGATCGACGACACAGGCCAGCTCGTGCCTCCAAGCAGCGCGGGAGGCTCGTCGGGACGAAAGAAGATATGCGGACTACGGCCCAAGTTGTTTTGGCTGCTCCTCGGTGCTGGGCTTGTCGTCATAATTGCGAGTGTTGCTGGAGGTGTCGGCGGCGGGATGATGGCCGCCCAGTCACGGAAGGCGAGCAATGCGGAAGCATCTGCGACAAGTCCTATTGGGGCCCATAAAAGGTGAGCGTCTTTCTCATTCGGCTCAAGAGGCGTTTGACTGACTGAAGCCGAAACAGCTCGTCGGCAGCAACTGCTACGAAGACTTCCCCAAGGGGTACAACTGCATCGGATGGTGTCAAGTCCACAGAGATTCCCGTTCATTCAACGGACACAGCGTCTTCTGGAGGGAATTCTAGTGGTGAGGCTACAGGTTCAGAAACATCCCAAACCGCCTCGTCGACGGGCAAACAGACGGATGCCAACAAGAGCGCAGCTAGCAATAACAGCCCGGCTCAGAAGACGGTAACGACCCAAACGACCGCTGTGAGCACCACGACCAAAGAGCCGGCAACGACACCGACCAAGCAGGCTGAGTCGACAACCGAGGCCGAGCCGACAACAACCAAGGCCGCGCCGGCCACGACGTCCAGCAAGACGACCGCGGCCGCCCCTGCACCTGCGCCCACATTCCTCAACAACCAGACCTACACGGCAACAGGGTTCGCCTTCCAGGCGTTCTCTGGGTCGGACTACTCGGGCAAAGTGTCGGACGTCATTCGTGACGAGGGCTTTCTCGACCTGTCGTTTTCGTCCAACAGCTACGTGTGGCTTCCCAACGGTGCCGACTGCTGCATCACGTTCTGCAGCGGCAAGACAACATCGGCGGGTTGGTGGTGCGACGAGCGGCGACAAAAGGACTCGTCGGCGGCGTTTTCACGGGTGTGGATTGGGTGTGGTTCGACGGCGCATAAGGAGCACGCATGCTCTTAAATAGTTTGGGATTGGATTCTGTTTGGGCGTCTTTCTATTTCCGGTGTCTAGTTCCAACTAATCATTGCTTTCATCTATGTTTCATCTATGCAACTGCTTGCAGGCCGTGCTTGCTTCCTATCCTACCATTACTGTCTCGCTATTCTTCACTGTTGCTACCTCCGTTTTCAGATGCGGTGACTTCCATGGCGCCCTTTTCTAAATCCGATGGCGCCACTGCCGACCGCATTCGCTTGTCGTCACCCTCGCTCGAGTCCTCGGCGACGACCGTGACTGCTGCGGCCTCTACCCCGACATCGGCTACTTCCTCGAGTGACGACGTCCTCCGCCAGCCGCCTGACGAACAGCAGCATGGCCTGGGGCGTGGCGGTGGTGACGGCGGTGAAGAAGGAGAGGATGCGAAATACCGTGGTCGGAGGTCAGGCAAAGGCCGAGCCACTGTGCCGTTGATGACGGTCAAGAGAGCAGAGAAAGCCAACGAAGGAAATACACACCACAGTGGCAGTGAGAAAGGTGAGGCACAGAGTCAACGGTCTACGTCAAAATATGTCGGCCAGCGGGCAGATGAAAGTGATGCCGACGGCATAGCCGGCCTGCATAAGCGTCGGCACCTGGCTGGCCGTCTCGTAGGAGATGTTGAAGTCATCGGCAAGCACATTGAGCATCGGGTGGATGTAGTAGAGGATGCTGACGGTGAACATGCCGGCCGTTTGTCAATGCAGAACCTGTCTGTGTCTGCGATGGTGATTTAGTGGCCTCTGTTGGCTCGTCATTTTTGTGTTCGTGGCCCGTCATGTTGGCAGTTGATGACGGTTGAAGGACAAATGGAAACGACAAAATGAAAGAACCATCGCAAAACATTCCCAAAACTTCACGTATCATGAGCGTCCGCAGATCAACAAACCGGCCCATCATGACTTCGGCCAAAACGATCCCCAACTTCCGTCCATTGGAGTTATTTTGCGGGGGATAGTGGTAGCTAGGGCTTGGCCGGGAATACTGTACTGGGAAGTCTTAACAAACGCCGGTCTAGCTCTTGTCTCCTTTTCCTCTTGTCAACGTCCGAGATGTTCTCGTTGAGTAGCTGATGCTGGCCGCACTGCTTTACTATGTTCTATGTTCTTCATCTCCTTTTAGTTTGTTCTTGCCTCTGGGACAACCACCTTGTCGACGACCGCCGTTCCCCACTCGCTCCTGCCATTATCGCATCCTTCGTCGTGTGGATGGGAAGGCGTGAAGGAGGAAGCTTGGGACATGACAAGGCTGGAAAGAACGACCCGGTCAGCTCCATGCCCTCTCCGTCGAGATTATGCAATACGTGCAAAGTTGACCTTGGACACCCAATCAAGGCAAGATACGCTGTACCACCCAAAAAGTCTCCCATCACGAACACATTCCAAACAACATACTAGACAACTCGACAACTCGACGGCAACATACATTGACAGATTTGTCTTTTTTTGTCTTGCTTCTTTTTGATTAGTGCAACGTGGAAATTACCAGGCCGAGTCGGATCACGGACAGGGATGCCCGTTTGTCAATATTCGGTCGGTCAGCTTGGCGTCAGCGACGAAGGCCGTCGATGCAGGTTCTCGCCATAACACCCCATGCACTGTAACTTGGTCACAGCGGCGTTGAGAGATTCCATAAGCGCTTGTTTTACCAAATTACACAGCCCTCTTCTCACAACCTCACCTCGCTTCGAACATGTCATCACAGTACGACGTATATGAGGGCGGTTGTCAACAGTGGCTGCATTTTTTTGAGAAAGAGATTCCGAACGTTTTCTATTCTACACGGGACATCACCGCCTACCAGCACATACAACGACTTTTGTCATTCACCACAGCTGAACCATGTGGCCTTTTTCAGAAGCCTACCCTGAGCGCAAGGTCGGCGATGTCGATGGCGAGACGTTTGACTACATTGTCGTGGGAGGTAATTACGCCGCTCTCTTTCGCTGTGCCTGCGTTGATCCTGCAGCTAACTTTAACGTTCATAGGCGGCACCGCAGGCTCCGTTGTGGCCTCGCGCCTGTCGGAAGACCCGTCGGTCTCGGTCCTGCTCCTCGAGCGCGGCCCGCTCAAGGACGTCTTCATGTCGCGCATACCCCTGCTCTCGCAAAACTACGTCAGCTCGTGGTCCACGGGCGTCCAGGACCGCTTCTCGGAGCCTATTGCTGGGTACAACGACCGGCGATTGCAACTGGCGGGCGGCGAGGGTCTGGGCGGCACATCGCGGCTGAACGGCCTGCTGGTGACGCGCGGCGCCCCAGGTGGTTACAACGAGTGGGCCAGCGACTTGGGGCTCGACGGCTGGGCATGGGACGACGTCGAGCCGTATTTTGAGCGTCTGGAGGCGGCGGTCGACCGACGCAGCGCAGATTACCGCGGACAGGAAGGCAGGCAAAGCAAAGCACATGGCAACAAGATCCGTTTTGATTGAAACATGCCACGACTGACACGTCCTAGGGCCATTTGTCAACAGAATCGCTGACCACCGGTACCGTTTCCATCCGTAGTGCGTCTCTCATAACATTGGCTTCCAGCATGTTGGTGTCATTTGCTAACACCGGACAGCTTTGAAAAGGTGTGCAAGGCCGTCGGCCTGCCCGTTGAGACCGATTGCAATGCGCCCGCCGCCAGTGCCCAGGGTTACTTCTCCTTGGATGCCGCCGTCTACCCGGACGGCACGCGCGTCTCCGCCTACCGCGCGTACCTCAACAAGCGCGTTGCCCTCGAGAGACGCGGCCACCTGACCATCTGCACCGAGGCGCTGGTCACCAAGCTCGAGCTCAACGACGGCGTCGTTCCGGACAGCGATTCGGCCGATGCCAGAGCCACCGGTGTCTACGTCGCCGCGGCGCCGACCGGCCAGGACGACATGGGCAAGCCAGTCCTTGTTAAAGCCCGCCGCGAGATTATCGTCTGCGGCGGCGCCTTCCGCACCCCCCAGCTGCTCCTGCTCAGCGGTCTCGGCCCACGCGCCCATCTGCAGGAGAAAGGCATCCCCGTCGTCCGGGACCTGCCCGCTGTCGGCCAGCATCTGTCAGACCACTTTGGCATCCCCATCATGATCCAGCTGCCCGTCATGGAGACGGTGCACTCGCTGATCGAGAAACCCCTGGTCGGCATTCGCAGCTTTGTCGAGTATTTTTGGAGCGGGACCGGCCTGCTGTCGATGCCGAGCAACACGACGACCATTTTTGCGCGCACGACGGCCATGGACGAGACGACATACCACACGAGCGAAACGCCCGCCCTCAACGATGCGACGCGGCCCGGCAACGTCCCCGACGTCGAGGTCATGCTGATCCCAGTGAATGCCATCAACCTGGAAGCCATCGGCTGTCCGCCCCATGCGGCAACGCAGGGACGCGGGTTCCTCACGCTGTACACGACCATGGTCCAGCTGCGCACGACGGGCCACCTGGAACTGGTGTCGACGACGGACCCCAAGGCGCACGCACGGGTGCACTACCCGGAGATGGTGGACGACGACGGTGGTGTCGGCAAGGACGACTGGGCGGCAGTGCGCCGCGCCGTGCGCTTCACGATGCGCCTGGCCGACGAGTTTGTCCACAAGTCGGGCTACCCGCACAAGCCTGCGGCCATACTGTTTGGGCCCGGCATGGACATGGACATCCTGCACGGCGTCACCAAGGGCCGCCCGGGCGAGCGGCACGCCACGCCCACGGCGACTGCCGTCAAGCAAGCCGTAGGGGCGACGGTCGGGGCGGCGACTTTGCCCACGCCATCAGACTCGGGCGACATTCAGCCACTCGAAAAGACGTGGAAAACTGTCACGGACGCCGAAATTGACGCCTATGTCCGCGAGACCGGCCAGACCGGTCTGCACTTTAGCTGCACGGCGCGCATGGCCCCGACGGCCAAGGACGGTGTCGTCGACGCACGCCTCAAGGTGCACGGCGTGTCGGGCCTGCGGATTGCCGATGCGAGTGTCTTCCCGCGCATTCCGAGCGGGCACACCATGGTGCCGTCACTGATGGTGGGCGAGCGGTGTGCAGACTTTATCAAGGCCGCGTGGGCGGGACAATGAGCGCGAGGAGGAGGAGGATTGCTCAAGCTGGCCTCTTGCCCTTTTGAATGTAGTTTGCAAAACAGTATTTCGTTATTTCGTCTATGGGGTATATAACATGTGACGTGACATATCGTACAGGTGTATCCAAAAACCGCATCGTCTAAATAACCTGCGTCATCGCTGCCGCACCGTCTTCGTCTTGCGCTTCTTAAAGACAATGGCTGCGTCGGACGAACTCGGCTTCTCCTCGGGTGCGTCGGGTATCCCCTCCGGTGCCGCTTCGAGGCTCAACCCGCTCCCTCCCTCCGCTTCCTCTTTAATCTTTGGCGGCTGTGGTGCCGCATCGACCAGGCTGTCGCCCGATGCCGTGGCTGCGCCGTCTTCCTTCTTGATGTCCTGCTTTGTCTCCACCGTCGGCTTGTCTGTGTCCGACGTCGCCCCCTCTGTCTTTGGTGCCGGCTGCGCTAGTGCACTGCTCAGCAACCTGTCCAGATCGCCTCCGTCATCACCGACACCGCCACCCCTGCTGCCGCCCGCCGTGCGCGCGTCTCGTCCCCAGTGCCGTGGCTTCTTGAACAGGCCCTGGACGGCCGCGTCCAGGTCAATCTTTTCAAACTCTGCATGGCCGCCCTTGCTTCCTCGTCCTTTGTCGTATGCGTCGTCGCTGTCGCCGCCGCCGTCGTCGTCGTCGTCGCCAGACCTTCGTGGCCGTTTGTGCACGCCGACCGACCGTGTTGCCCCCTGTCCACCCACTTTCTTGCCGTCGTCGTCCTCGACGGCGACAACGCGCGTCTCCGTCACGGTCCAGTCGCCGGCCATGGCGAGGTCGGGGCGGAACGCGTCGGGGATGCTGACGCCGAGCTCGGCAAGCTGTTCGAGCTGTTCGCGCGGCGGGCCGCCGCTGGAGGCGCTGTTTGGTTGGGGTCGGGGTTGGGAGAGTGGTTGGTGTGGAGGAGGCGGCGGTGGCCGAGGTGCTCTGGTCTGTGTGGACGTCGATGGCACCGAACCGCCGTCTCCCCCAACGAGCGAGTTCAGCCGTTCAACCTCCCGCTTCGCCTTGTCCTTCTCGCGCTCCTCGCGCTCGTAGTCGCGGTGCAAGTTGCGCAGTGCGCGCCGGACGGCAGACTGGTGCTTGCCGGTGGCCTCGTGGTTTGCGCGTCCGAGTTTCGTGTCGGTCACGTATACAGCGCAGTTCTTGCACCAGTATTTGGGCGTCGATTTCCAATAGTCGGCCATCTTGAATATGATGTGGCTGACAGCCTGTCGTGATTCTGCTGTGCTTTCTTGTCGTATGGCAGCGTTTTCATGATGTTCGGAAATGTTGCCTGCTAAGATGTAACTACAGATTTCGAGACTTACTTGGTCACATGACCACGCGTACACATTTTGTGTTGAATCATTTCGCCACCACAAGTTGCAGACTACTCTTCTCGTTCTCATCGTTTCCTCGTTCAATATTGTCGCTGCGCCGTTATATGACCACGCATTGATAGTGAGATTAATTATACTTTTTTGAATTGTTTACAGACGCATGCGCGCCTTTTCTATCTACTCCGACGAGGGCGGCTTCTAAAACATACCTTGTCTCCCATCTCCAACGGAATCCACTCCCAACAAACATTAAGCTTAGGAGAACAAAAGCCAGAACAAAGGCAAAACAGGAATGACAAAAAAATGCCGTAAGGACATGAAGTAAAGGGAAAAGAGAAGCAAATACGCGTAATACTCACACCGTACTCTATCCCATATTGCTAGCCCAATACGTCTTTCGACCTGCGCGTTGCTCCGTAACTTAAAATGGAATAGAAAAGGAAGGACATATTTGTGTTTTTTCACGTGAAGGATCCTTTTCTGTCGCTTCTATTTTTATCCTTTGTGGTCGTTTGCACTCCTCGTTGTTCGCAAAACTGTTTACAACAAGAAGTAGGCACCGGCCATGGACATGGCCAGAGCAGCAAAGGAGCCCAGGCTGACAGTGGCACGGAGAGCGCCGCTCGTGCTAATAGGCACCGGGCCGGTGGTGGTGCCGCCAGGGGAGCTGGTCTTGGCCGAGGGAACGGCAGTACCGTTCTTGGCTGCAGACGACGTCTTGACCGAAGCAGGAGCAATGGTGGCGGCCGGGGTAGTAACCTGGACTTGGCCATCAGAGGTCTGGACGACAGCAGGAGCCGTGTTGGTGGTCGCCGGCGTGGTAGCCTGGATCTGGCCATCCGAGAACTGGCTGACAGGGACACCAGTGTTGGGGTTCGCCGCGGTCGTAGCTGCGGAAATCTCAGCGCAGGGGGTGGTGTGGCCCTGGATTTGGCCTTGGGAAGGTTAGTGTTTTGTTCAAGACACAAGCATGAAGATTGAAAGATAAAGGTAGTAGAGAGAAGCAAAACAAAGCGTGGGAAACCGTACCATCGTTAATCTGGCAAATGGGGACAGGGATCGTGGTGGTGATGACCTGCGGCTGGCCGTCGGAAATGGGCTTTACAATCGTGGTGGTGATGACCTGCGTAGCAACAACCTGGCCGTCGTTGGACTCAGCCGCGTTGGGCCCGCTACCACCGCACGGCATGGCAACGATCTCGACCGCCTCGCACTGGGGGGCCCAGTTGCGGTCGTAGAGGTTGTAGAAGTTGCCCGACTTGCACTGCCACCACTGCGTCGAGCCGCCCAGAGCGAGCGATTCGTTGCCGCAGACGGAGAAACCGGCCGTGTAGATGGCACCAGCCTGCGGCGGGCCGTCGAATTGGAATTGGTAGTTGGAGGCAATGTAACCAGTCCGGCCCTTAGCATCGGTCAGGACACCGTCGGCCAGGGTCAGGAGCAGGGCACCGTTGCTAGAGCAAGTGCTGCGCTTCATGTACTGGCACCGGTTCCAGTCAGTATATGGCCATGGCATATGGAATATGGTGGAATATGGAGAGGATAGCAAAGAAGCAGACGTAGAACAGGAACTCACAGGCCGGTCACGCTTCTGGTTCTTGACAACGACCACAGTGACCTCGAACTTGTCCTGGAAGGACCCGTCACAGCCAGCGGGGGCCGAGGACTTTGGGGCGATAGCCGAAGTGACGCCATCGGCGATGACGCCGGCGGCGAGCGAGAGAAGAGCAACGGTGGACTTCATTGTGAATGTCGAGGTGAAAAGGCAATATAATTAATTGGTGTTGTAGACAAAACGATGGACGAGTCCAAAAAAGAGCGTCAACAAAAAAAAATGATGAGCGATTCCAAGCAAAAACAGGTGGTCAAAAACTCCAAAGCGAGAGAGGAGAAGAACAGAGAAGAGAGGTCTGATTTTGTAAACAACAAGTGTAAACAAAAACGACCATACGGAAACGGGAGGACTTTGTGTATAAACGAGAGATACACAAGGGAGGAAGGAGCAAACAGTTGACGTGTCCAGGTATGAGACAGACAAGAGGCCAGGAGGAAGGAAGGGGGAGAGGAAAGAACACAGAGGGAAGGGACGACAGGGAGAAGGGGGGTTCATATATGTGTAGGTAGGCCATTCCCTCGCTGGGTCCTCTTTTTCGGCTTCAATGGCATTTTTTTTCTTCTTCTCTTGTTCATGGCATTCTCGCCTCTGGCCATCGCTCGACTCGCAAGAGTCTTGTCGAGTTTTCCCACGTCACTTGTTGTCCTGTATGTTGCCTCTATATTGGTGTAAGCCAGATGGGCCCGGCTCCAGAAGCTACATACAAAATACTAGGAAGGAACACTAAAAAGGTGGAGGTCGTGGTGGAGTATTACAGGTGGAGGTCGCTCAACATGCGTATGCAGAGACGAGAGGCAGGAGGGGCTGAGAAGAAACAGAAGGAACGATGGGCTATCTTCACACCTCGGGGTGCTGCAGAGGTCATGGGGTCTCCTGGCTCTCTTCTTGCTCAAGAGGAAGGCGTGGGCGGGGACGTGAGGAGCCGCGGGGAGCAGCAAGACATGGCCTTCAACGGCAGGAGCCACAGCCAGTTCGTTCATCCTTGCACAGCGATCAGTTTGTTTACAGTATCATTTGTCTTTTCTTTATCGTTCGTAGTTCTTGCAAAAAATTCACGCATCTCCACTCAACGACGCAACGTACGACGTGTGCTCTCCAGAGCATGTCCGGTATGTCCGCTTACCGTTGGGCGGCAAAAGAGCAGGGAGGTCTCATCTGCATGGCCTGAAGTTCTGAACACATCTCGTCACAGTGATTGTCCCTGCAGAACAAGCGGCATGCTTGAAGGATGTGTTGCCCTTTGTATGGTGAGAGGTGTTGGCAGTGGCTCCATCTTTTCGGCGTGTCAACTGTGCGGTGTTTTCGTTTTTCTTCTGCGGCTTCTCTCTCCAGCCTGAAGCCGCCTCGTCTCGCTCGTTCGTAAGACTTACTTTCTTGTCTGTCTCTTGTCTCTTGTCTCTTGTCTCTCGCTTCATCCCAACAAATCAGGAAGCAGAGTCCCAATACCATGCATTCGCCCTGACCGACTCGTTTGGTGCTGCAAGTCTCATGTGTTGAAGCCACCAGCCTCTGTACTAACTCCTGACGTCCCTTCGTCTTCTCTCCCTGGCTACCTCCTGCATCCTCTCTGCTGTCTCTTGCTTCTACGCGCTGCGCCATCTCTCCATTCACAGTAGCTTGCTGTATACGACACACAGATTGGCCCAGATAAGTGGGCTCGGGACTTTTAACTGGACAATGGGTCCCAGGTGCGTCCTTTTGTATGTCAAAGAGCTACATTTACTTTTTTTTGGCAACCTGCCCTCTCTTGAGTTATCCTGTTGTTCGCTTCAGCTATCTGTCCCCCCTTCTGCCCTTTTACGTTTCGCGTACAGTTCATCGTAGCTTTCAAAAGGCACACACGCTAGATGTAAGGGCATATTTAGCGTTGTCTTCTCCGACGTTGAGGCCGCACTCAACGACCAGCGAACAAAGGACAGCACACCAGTGCAAGCTAATTCTCAGGTACTCAGGTACTCAGGTACTCAGGTACTCAGGTACCAGCGCAGATTGGTTGGCCCTTTTCTGCAATTCCTAAAAAATGGAACAAAAGAGCTCTTTTAAAAAGACAAAGGGGTAGGAGCTTTGACGAATCGGCACATTTGCGTCCATCGGTCGTTCCAGCTCGGTTGCGATTGACCTCACTTCGTTCCATGTTTATATCGCAACAACATTCATAAAACATCCGAATCCTACTAAGTGTGCTACGTATATTTCTGGTCCTCGTATGCCGCAAGAACGTGAACAGGCCTTAAACGGTGCCCAGAGGTCCCCCATTCTTGGCATAAGTCCTGACCTGGGCTAGGATGCTCCTTCCAGTTCCGCGGACGCACTCGATCGGTCGGGACGATCTGGCTGTCCACTTGGCAAGAGCAACAAAAGCGACAAAAGCGACCCACAGTAGAATGCGACGGTACAGGGAGTCGCTTCCTCGGCTGGTTTTACGCCGCTGGAAGCCATTCAGCCATTCTCGGCCACTGTATTGTTCGATCGAGAACGAGTACTGTTACTTTGAAAAGCATTGCTCCGGTAACTCTTCTTATGGGGTGCGTCGTACAAAGTCACCCAGGCGGAGTATTGTGTACGGACAAGGCCGTGGACGCGGAGAAAATGGCAGCCCCTCTTTCTGTCGCTTGTCTCCACTCCGTGACGTCTTTGGCTGGTAATCGGAAAGCGTGGTGTCTCAATCGATTTTGCATCGATCAGGAAGGAGCAACGGGTCCAAAGAAAAAGAAAAAGAAACAACAGGGGAAGGATCGCCGCAAAGGCGAGAGGAAGGAACAAAGGGTGTACAACATAAAAGGAAGGAATGGAGGCAGAATAGAGCGAGGGAGGGAGTGCATAGAAGAAAGGGGACACACGACAGGGAGAAAACGTGATTCTTGACAACGTGTAAAGGTTCAAGCATAATCGCATTGTACATTCCAGTGTCTCCGGTCTGGCCAGACCAAACTCGAAGGGAGGATATTGCGGCTCACAAACACTTTATAACCAGTACATCGGAATGGCCGCTACAAAAATGCAAAAGAGGCTGCTTTTGCCATACCGAAATTACCAAAGAACATCACCCTGTCTTCGTTCCCCAACCAGCGATTTTGTGCCAGATGAAGCTACCCAGAAAAGCACTAATGTTAAGCTGGGTGGCCGCCGAGGAAGCCATGGTCGGCCATGCGATCTGAAAAAAAAGGGGGAGGGGGGCGAGAAAGGCCGTCAAGTTCCATGCGCTTTCGTCCTTCTTCCTAGGCCCAACACACGGTCTGCTTACCATCACCAACCACGGCTCAGTGCGACGGCCAATACGAGAAATTGCCGATGGCCCAACAGATGCGGAAGCAGCGTCGTCGAAAGACAATTTGTCTAGCGAACGTCATAGATCGAAAGTGGCCCCTGAAAATGCTTGAGGTTCGCCGCCCTTGGCTCGCATGGTCCTGTTCAGGGGTGTGCCTTGACATCTTTCTTTTTTCCCCTCCATTTATTAGTTTGCAACCCATCTGGAGTGCGGGATACCTTCCCGGCAGAAGCCCACGCCTCTGTCGATATCGAGAATACACAAAGTGGACGCAAGGGATGCTTCAAGTGGAGCAAAAAAGCAGGCATAAGAACGGACTCTGAAAATTCAAAAAGAGAGTCTGAGAGAAGAAGTGGAAGAAGCGGCCAGGCAAGTGCAAAGGGATGTAAAAAGGCGCACCGTCTCCCACGACATGGGCACTCTCACACTTACGGCGTACGGCGACCTCTGCACATCGTTCTCGGTCTCGCACGTTGTTGGAGAGAGTTGATCGGCCTTGCCTTGCTGCTCGAATGCTCCATTTTTACTGGTTGCCGGCCCCGCGCTTGTTGATAGTCAACCCGGAATAAAGGGTGCGAAAAGAGTGGGTGGTTGGTTAACAAGTCGTTTCATCGCTTGCAGCGGTGTACATCGATGCTCCGTACAGACTCAGATCGTCTAAAGCACCACTCAACAACAGCCCGGCCAAAAATATGGAGAAAAGGCTAGGGCTGTCCTGCGAACAGGTTTTTGCTCAAGCTCCAGTTTCTAGTCTCCAGTCTCCAGTCCAGTCTCCGGTCTTCCTACGACGACAGGACGGCACGGCAACAGAAACACGGAAAAACGAAAACCGGAGAATGTGGTCAGAATATGGTTGCTGAGTTGTCGTTCTCCAGAAATAAAAGTGGGAGCGAGTTTCCACTTTGAGAGTTGTTAACTACTAGCGCCTTTGCCACGAACCAAACCACCGACGACCACCGCATGCCGGGACTTTGGCTGGCATAACATGTGCGCAAGTACGTCGGCTGCACACATGACCAAAACTATCTACAACTCGTATCCTCTCTCTACGAAGTACAGAGCTAGCCTTTGCCTTCTGGCCAAACCAGATTATTTGAACGGCTCTTGACAGTACAATTACTCTCAGATGCCCCATCCACCTCTTGCTTGCTTGACGGATAAGAGCCGCCGGGCTGGTGCCTGTGCTCCAATGGTTCTGCTTGTCATATGGATTTTATTTGGGACCGGACTTTGCCACGCCGAGCTTCTGCCGCTTGTGGCATTGACGCTTGAGGGCCGGTTGATATGGCTGGCGGTAGGTTTGTTGTTTTTTTACCATGAGACCAGGCTCCTTGATCTTGGACCTTTGGACGTGGAAACAGATCGGGGCAACTGACATGAGAGATTCTACACGGCCGAGGACCAAAAATGAACCGAAAATATTAGATATTTGCTTTATATCGTATCTCGGCGTATGGTACTTTTGCCCTCCCAGTTGCTGTTTTATTTCGTATTGGCTAACCAGACAGCCACTTTCACGGTCAAAGTAAAAAAGAATACGATTTGCCGGTGTTCTGAATTCTCGTTGCTGCCCAAACGGACCATGTCGCAAGTGGAAGTACGACGCATTACTGTGCAGCAGTTTTGCGATATGCGAGCAAAAGGCGGCGTTACTCATATAATTTGCTCGTCTCGTCTCGTACCCCATGTGCAAGACAAAGAATGTAAACAATGTCGGCCACATACATTGCCTTTTATTCGGTATTTATCTCTTTCATCGTGTATATACGTCTCTTTGGTCACCAAGCCTGCCCAGTCCCTCGATTTGACCCTCTACACCTTCCAGGATGCCGCCTCAGAATGGTGCTCTGTTCGCCACACTGGGTCGCCGCATGATTTGAAGCCGAGCCACAAGGGCAGCGCCCACCTCTCCGTCAGTTTCGGCACCCAGACCGGCTGCCGCGCTTTCTTGCTGGCATCGACTGCGGAAGACAGCCTGCAAGAGGTCTGAAGACGGTATGACCGTCGCCGAGGCCGGACCTAAGCCGGCTGTTTCTGCAACAGATATGTTATGTGTTCTGGGTAATAAGACCAGGGGGGAATGCAGAATACATCGACATAACGTGCCGTGGAAGGTGCTGTAGAAGACATGAGAGCAGTCGTGCTGCCCCGGTGTAAGTCGGAAGTGGGTCTCGGGTCAACGAACCCAGCCGCTGGACTAGAAGAGAGGCTGACCGAACGCTGACCGAAACGGAGGGAATAAATATTTGAATAAATATTTTTAAAACAATTCAAGTATGAGTCGTCGTAACAAGGTATAAAATAAAATGCAATTGTAAATAGAAATGGGAAATAGAACAAATAATGAACCAAACGAACCAAAAGACAGAGTATCCAAAATCCGTGTACCGTCCAGAGCATAAACATTAAATTAGTGAAGGAAACAAAAATACAGAGACTGCGACTGTACCGACCGTACTACCGCGGTGGATAGTATGGCTGCTGCTGCGCTTGGGAGGAGTAGTAGGGCTCGGGCGTGTTCTGTGCAGGGCCAGCAGCGCTGCTGTACTGATGGTGCGGCTGGTACTCGGGGGCGGGAGTCGCGGCGGGGCTGACAATATGCTGCGACGGCGCGTAGGCGGCGGCCGCGGCCTGGGCGTGCGGATCGTAGACCGCTGTTGCCTGCACACCGCCGGCGTAGCCAGCCGATGCACCACCGGCACCGTAGGTGGCCGCCGTCTCGTAGGGCATGTGCTGCTGTGGCGGAACCTGGGAGGTGTAGGGCTGGACGGGCGCCAGGCCAGCAGCAGCAGCAGCACCAGCAGTGGGCGCAGCCGCGTAGCCAGGGTAATCCGGATCATAGCCATGGGCCACGGGGCCGCCGGCCGGCTCCTGGCCCTGACCCTGACCCTGGCCCTGGCCCTTCATCTCGACGACGCCGGCGTCGTTGCTCTGGATGCCCTGCCTCTGGGCCTGCAGGTGCAGCCGGACCTGGTGTGCGAGGTAGGCAAAGGTGGCGACAAACAGCAGCATCAGCAGGGCCGACAGGCCGGCAATGGCGCTGATCTCGGCCAGCGCGACCTTGCCGGCGACGGCAGACCGCTTTGTGAGCGGATGCCGCCATGAATCCCGCCTGCGCGACGTGTAGCATGTGTCGGCATTGAAGGTGCTGCCGTCGTCGTAGCACGCGGCGGAGGTCGCGTAGCGGAAGGTGCCGCGCAGGGCGGCGTTGGCGCCCATGGAGGACAGCCAAAAGACGACCATGAGCAGGTCGAGGGACAGCACGGCCCAGTAGTTGTAGGCGGCGCGGGCGCCCACGACCTTTTCGGTGACGATGGCATAGACGGCGATGATGATGGTGAAGAGGCCGCAGACGAGGGCAAAGGCGTAGGGCCCGAGAACAATGCCGTGCATGAGCATGCCAGCCATGACCATGATGATAAAGGAGAGAAAGACCTGGAAGCCGCGGGCTACGAGGAAGGGCACGGGCATGAAGAAGACGGGGTACGAGCCAGGCGTACCACCGTCACCGCCGACGGGGGAGGCATATGTGTTGGAAGCCATTGCGTATGGTCGACGGGATAGGTTTGTCGTGGGGCGCGCAAAACGTCGATGTTTGATGAGGCTCAGAAATACGAAATAAAGGGGGGGGGGGAGAAGAAGAGAGACAGAAGGGAGAGAGACAAAGGAGGAGAACAAAACAGGAAAGAATGATGGAGAGGCTGCCGCGATCTTTAAGCAGACGAACCAAGGAAGGCACGAGAATGGACATTTACGGCAAGAGCTGCCGGCCACGCGTGACACTACAGTATTCCGGAAGGCCAGCACTTTAAACAGCATCTGTGCGTTTTCAGCTCAACAGCCCAAAAGCCGCGCTACAACGGCCACATCAAACTTTCCGATGGAAACAATAGCTTTTTACTTTTCTATGCCCAGGGCAGCAAGCCCAGCCACAGCCGAACATCGAGACAAAAGTGTGGGTGGGCCGCCTTGCGGGAAAGAGGAACGCGCGAGGCCTCGAGAGGAAAAGGAGGACGGAGAGGGCTTAAGCTTTGACGGTTTCGCGCGTCAATAGTCTGTTTTTTTTTTTTTTTCTGGTGTGCAAGGTGGAACATCGTGAGGCTGTTTCCCTCGCGTGGCGTTGCGGGACCTTCTTGCGTTAACCATGCAGAGAGAGCAAAGACTCCAAATGCTGTTGTTCAATACTCGACGCTCGACGAGCGCCGCGAACTATATTATCACAGGGCAGCCTTGACTCCGAGGTTGTCAACTTGTTTCATAAACATGGCCAGAGTCGGACGAGTCCCATCTGAAGCCCAATTTGCCAAGACGCCCCGTCCCGCTGTCAAGTCAGCGCCAAATCTGACGCTCACAGGGAGGACGATAGTTAACGAAAGAGGGCTCACCGCTGTCTTGGACACAGACGTATGAGACAAGCGTGGAGGAGCCAACACAAATTGACGTTTTGTCGACGATCGAGTCGTCAATAGACTTCCTTTGTGTCTTCCGTCCTTTGCTCCTCGCGAGGGCAGTGCAAAATGGGCCAAAATGGGCCCAAGGCACACTTTCTCTCCAGCACACATTGTGGACTGCGCGAAGTAGTGGGTCCAACAGCCACGCAGAGCCGCCCATATGGTTCCGTCGTCGTTTTCTGTCCTATGACAAGTGCGGAATGCAAGACAGCCGGTGCGGTCTCCAGACGGGCTGGGGACCCCTGTTTTCTTGGATCGAGACGGAGACCATACGAGCAAGTGGGGAAAGCATAAGTCTTGTTAGACGAAAGGGTCTTTTATTTCCATCGTTGTCAAGACTTGTTTTGGTATTCACTCTGGCTCCGTATTTGGGCCGTCATGATTTGGTTGGACCTGTGCAGAGCCTCATTTTGAGTGGCCAGACGCACAAGATGCTGCTTCTCGGTTTCCGCAGGAGCATATTATCTTGAAAAGAAGGAAGACCAAGGAAGACAGGATGAAGAGAGAAAAAGAAGACAGAAAATAAAAACATAATAAAGAACGACAGAAACAACGTTGCCAGGGTATCCCAAAACACTAAATGAAGCAACAATCGCCACCTGTTTGCAGGTTCCGCGGTTCAGCCTGTGCTGTTTGGCAGTCTGAGTCAAATGGCAGCGACCGTGCCGGCTTTTGTCGTCGTGGCGGCTGTCCCAGGCACGGCCGTCGACTCCATGGACACCACCGCCCTCGTGGCGTTGAACAGTCGCATTTTCCGCAGCATGGCGCCCGCGGGATCGTTGACCTCGCGCAGGAACGCCTGGCCGTCGTACGTGTCGCCGTCCAGCTGCACGACCAGCGCCTTGGCCGCGCCAATCACCGGCTGGACGAGGACGGCGACGCCCTCCAGTCCCGCGCGGTCGGCGGCGGCCTGGCCAAAGGCGGTGGCCTCGTCGACGATCTTGTCGGCCTTGAGGAGCAAGCACTTGCCGTCGCAGGTGGGGTCTGATGCGGTGTCGGTGAGGGTGAGGTCCGCGAGGGTGGTAAACGTGAGGCCGATGGCGCTGGCGATTTCGGTCGTCGAATGCAAGATGCTCTCCAGGGCCACGAGGGGCGCGCGGACAAGGTCGGCAATGCCTTGGGCGGTCTGGAACGAGACGCGCTTTCGGCTGTTGCTCATCATTTTGTCTGAATGGTTAGCCATGAGCGAGGGGGGGGGGGGGGGCACAACGAGGGCCGGGAAGAAGGGCAAAACAAGAAGAAGGAGAAGCGCACTGGCTGTGATGCCCATCTGGATGAGGCGGTCGTTGACATAGTCGAGCGACTTGGAGGCTTCGTCGAGCATGGAGTTGGGAATACGGAAAAAGGACGCCTTCTGAAAGGCGGCAGTGCCAGTGCCGGCAGCCGTTGAGGCCGGTGCTGATGCTGCGGTATCGGCAGCATCAACGGCAGCAGCAACGGCAGCAGCGTTGATCTGTGCGGCACCAGACAAGGCGGCGAGCGCGGCCATGCTGCCAGCCACAGCGAAAGCACGGAACCGCATCGTGACAGTCAAAACGAGGGTAGACCCCAGTGTAGAACGAGCGTGGGTGGGACAGAAGGAGGGAAAGAGGAAGGAAGAAGAATGAAAGAAAGTTGGGAAGCTATGAAAATATGAAAATAATAGACTAGCACGATACGGCATTGTCCCTGAGGTCTCGCCATCAATTTTGTGCCATCGTCCCTCTCGCGTCAACTTTGAATGTCCATCGCGGGACTCTGAAACGTTGCTGATTACGGCTTCGTTGCGGTGGACTGTTGGTTGGGAGTTGTTGGACAATACTAACAAAAAAGCAAACAAAAGTAACGCAACATCTGCGGACAGTCTGTCAGCCACTTGCTGGCGTTTCCAAATTGCCACTTTGAGCAAAATGTACACCACATATCTGCGGGCAAAACAGTGCGTCGCTGTCGACCAACAGACCGGACCTTACGTCATGGGCGAATGTGCTTATTCCGGGACACCCCGTGACGGACAAGAGGATACTTTGTAGGCAGAGGGGAGACATGGCGGACATGGCAAACATGGTGGCTTCCACGGCCATTTCCGCTGCCGACCCTTTCTGACTCCTTGCCCTCACAGACTCCGTTTCAACCGGGCCGTCATACTGCGCAGCCTCTCGTCGTCGGCGTCGACCAGCGAGCTGAGCCAGACCTTGTCTGCCCCTTGGCTGTCCTCGCCGTCTCCCGCCTCTCCCGCCTCTCCCGCCTTCTCCGTGTGCGTGTTGCCCAGCAGAATGGGCGCCGTGTTTATGTAGAGCGACTCGTAGTGGCCGGGCGGCACCACAAATGTCTCGTGAAAGGCGCTCAGGTGGGCATAGCGGCCGCTGCTGCTGCCTCTGCTGCCTCTGCTGCCGTCACCCGCCACCTTCGCCGTCACCGTCGTCGTCCTCCCCGTGAGCCACGCCAGCGCCTCCCGGTGCACCGCACTCGCCGCGAACCGCTGCAGGCCCTGGACGTCGCGAAAGTACAGCACCAAGAAGAGGGTGTCGTGCGACGTGCGCGCCGCCGCGCCGCCCCGGAACAGGTCGCCGCCCAGCAGCCCATAGGCGGTCCGCTCGCGTTCGAGGGCCGCGAGCGTCGCCCGAAAATGGCGCGTCATGGCCTGCGCGCCGGGCGCCAACACGCCGAGCGGGTGGTTGAAGCGGGCGCCAAAGTGGAAGACGACGACGCCCTGGGGTGGCGCTGTTGGTGCGTAGCGGCCGTGGGCCGTGGGCATGTGGGCCGTGGTGCGTCCGGGGAGGACGCCCGCGCGCATGCCGTGCCACGTCGGCAGCAGAATCTGGACGAGCGTGGCGGCCGCGGCGAGGACGAGCAGAGCAGCGGCCGGGATCACGCAGTAGGGCATCGGGACAGCCGCAGACACGGCAAGCTGCAGGCCGGCGCCGATGGCCAGCAGCGTGTGCAGCCTGAAGGCGTCCTTGATGATGTGCTAGACACGGTCAGAGAGGGCGTCGGAAGGGCGAACAAGGGGCAAAACGACATACAGCCGGTGCTATTTGAGTCCATTGGGTGGGCCGCACCGTTGTCGGCGCCACGACGCTGCGAAACTCGCAGTCCTGCGGTGGAGACGGCACTGTATCTGGGTGCAGTCCTCTGTTGGTTTTGGTGCTTTCCTCCATGGTCGTCTTGCTCAAACTATCGTGGTGTGATGACAGTATGTTGCCAGAGATACAGAGTCATATATCTCCATTGCTTTTAGAGGCCGTACATGATTCTCAAACGAACCCAACGGCGACTGGAACACGCGAGACGGCGGTCGCACACGTTGTTACGCGAGCAATAGATCCAGGCGGTGCGTTGTGCACGTTGACCGCTGCTCACCATCCGCTTCCGTTTGCGTGTCCATCCCGTTGCGTCACGCAAAGACCGTTTGACTCCTGTCCTTCGCTGTCTAGGCCTGTCACTGACTCGCACCGGTCGCCGTGGTACCCGTCAGGGTCTCTCATGTAAAACTCGAGTAACATATGTGGAACACTGAACAGTCTTGCTGGTCTCATGACTCCTTCTATCACGTAGTCATGTTAGTGTTTTTATAAATAAAATAAGTTAATTAAATAAACAAACAAAACCACAACATAACTCTGCCCGCCAATAAAGTCAAACACGGCCACATGTCCTACTTCGTCTGCTGGGCCACCCAGTCCTCCACGTCCTTCTTAAAGTCCGGCTTGTACAGCCACGCGAGGTCAAACGGCTCCCGCGCCACCCCCGCCGCAAACGCCTTGTCCGTCGCCGGCATCCGCCGCAGGTCGATCTGGCGGTTCAGCTCGAGCACCTTGTCCACGCGCGCCTGCCGATACTGCTGCCAAAAGTCGAGCGCCGCCTGCGCCTGGCCGTCACCGGACGCCTGCTTCGGCTGCTTCGGCTGCTTCGGCTGCTTCGACTGCCATCCCAGCAGCAGCGCCAGCATGTACACGTCCTCAAAGGCCTGGTTGATGCCCTGGCCGGCCGACGGCGGGATCGCGTGCGCGGCGTCGCCCAGCAGAATCACGCGGCGCGCGGCCGACGCCCACCGCTCGAGCTTGGGCACCACGTAAAAGGGCCACACGTTGACCTTGGCCGGGTCGATGGCCGCGACGGCGTGGGCCACGATGTCGGGGTAGTTGTCGGGGCCGGCGCCCTCCTGCAAAAACGCCACCGCCGCGGCGCGCCCGTCCGCCAGCGACCCGCGCTGCTCCCAGGCGGCGCGCTCGTGCTCCAAGATGCGGCGCTGCTTGCCAATCAGGACCTCGCTGCCGTCCGGCTGCTGGGGCGCAATCACAAACGCGCTGGCGCCGCCGCCGCTCGCGTCCTTGTCCTTGTTCCGCGGCGCAATCGTCACGGGGATGTGGTAGCTGCCGTCCGCCGGCAGCCGCAGCTGGGCCGTCGGCACGGCCGCCGTGATGCCCGCCATGCCCAGGAACGTCGTCTGCAGGTCGGGGTACAGGTGCCGCCGCACCGTCGAGTGGATCCCGTCGGCGCCCACCAGCAGCGCCGCCATTTCGGTCGTGCCGTCCTCGAACGCAAACGTCACGGCCCCGCCCTCGTCGCCCTCGTCGCCCTCGTCGCCCTCGTCGCCCTCGTCGCCGTCCTCGCGCACCACGTGCGAGTACGTCCGGCCGTACACCACCGGGATGCCCTTCTCCTTCAGCACCGCCACAAGCGCGTCAATCAGCACGTGCCGGTAGATCCGCAGGCCCTGGTAGCCGTACTTGGCGGCATCGCCAAACTCGTACGTCTCCGTGACCCGGCCCTCGCCGTCGCGAAAGTCCAGACGGTCGAAGCTGTACCCCTGTGGCTCGACGACGCGGTACAGCGACAGCGCGTCCAGCACCCGCAGCGCGTTGGGCGAGAGCATCACCGCCCCGCCAATGTTGCTCGGGGCCGGCCGCGACTCGTAGACGGTCGCCTGGATGCCCTGCTGGTGCAGCGCCAGGGCCAGCGTCAGGCCCGAGAGGCCCGCGCCAATAATTGCCACGTCGTTGCCGGAAGACATTGTTGGGGGTAAGAAATGGCGGATGGTGGATAGCAAGGGAAGTTCAAGTAGAAGAGGCGTAGGAAGACGTGCCTAAAGGAAGGTTTAGAGTAAATATTGTCAGGTGTCGCGAGTGTTGCTGAGATGTTGAGGTGTTGAGATGGGACTCGTACAGTTGCCCTGGACAAAGGCCACTTCTTATACCGGATATGCTGTCCTTGCCAAACTCACAGATCCTCACATCCTTGGATGCACTGTCAGCTGACGTTCTCCTGCCCAGGACGATGAGGCAACCGTCTTGCGCGGCAATCCCGCTCCAGCTTTGTCAGACGGTTTCTAATTCAAGGCCGTAAGATGGTAAGCAGAGGCAAACACACGATGCGATTCAACTTCTGTCGGAGTAAAACTTTGAGCGAGCAGCCGGTGTCAAAGAAGGACCGACAGAGCGAGACGGGCAACTGATCGTACAACCGATGCAATGCACGGCGCAATGTGCACAGCCCAAGTGTCGCTTCTTCGCTTCTCGCTTATTCGCTTTGAGTCTTGGCCGTTCATGTCTCGATGCATCCTTCTCGGACCTAAACTCGGTCATAACGGCCTTTGCGGCCGCAAGCTGTGCCACAGAATACCGACGTTGACAATCCAATAAAACGTGCAGGTGTTTTGTGATTGGGGTATAGAACACTGAAAGAGTATCCAATAGAAAGCAAACAACATGGGTACCAAAAAGTATCAAAAAAAAATAAGAATGAAAGAAGACGCATAACCAAGACCAAACCCCAAAAACGCCGCCCCTCTACCGAATCTTCCGCCCGTGCGAGTGGTACACGCCCAGCACCTTGCGCCACCGCACAAATGCGTTCCGCGAGCTAATCTCCAGGTCCTGCACCCGGTCGCCGGAGCGCGGCAGGTACCGACACATAATGTCGCTGTCCCGCGACATGTCCTGGTGCCGCACCGCCGTGCGCCCGTCACCAAAGCCCGCACTGCCAATGCTGCCGATCCCCGTGCTGCTGCCGCTGCTGCCGCCGCCGCCCGACCGCAGGTCCAGACAGACCAGCGCCGTGCCCTCGTGGTGCGTCGATACCTTGACAAACACGAGGCCGGCCGCCAACAGCGTGCGGATCTCCGGCTTGATGTCGACCTTGAAGCCCTCGCCGGCCGCGCCGCGCCGCGCAAACACCTTGTTGTAGGGCCCGGCCGCCACGAGCACGTTCTCCGACTCGGTCGTCAGCAGGTGCACCAGCAGCGCCTGCGCGTCGATGCCCGTGACCGCCTGCAGCTCGCTCAGGCTGTGGCAGGTCACGCGCTGCAGCAAAAAGTCGCGCCACGGCCACTCGTTGACGCGGATGCTCTTGGCAATCAGCATGATGAACCCGGCCACCACCCACATGTACGTCGTGATGCCGAACGGGTCCACGTTTTGGAGCGCGATGCTGTTCTCCTCCGCGCGCCCCAGGAACACCCCAATCATCAGGCCGCCCACCACCAGCACCGCACAGATCGCCAGCACGCTGTACACGTACGTCGTGCAGCGCACCCGCACCGTGCGCTCCTCCACCACCCACTCGGAGCTCTCTTTCGCCAGCCGCTCCTGGCGCCGTCGCGCCTCGCGCACCCGCTGCTGCCGCTGCTCCGCCGAGGCCGCTTCCCAGGCGTTTGTGCCCGTTCGCTTGTTGCTGCCATCGCCGAACCCGCCGCCGAACCCGCCGCCGCCGCCGCCGCCGCTCCCGCTGCTGCTGCTGCTGCTGCCCTCGCCGAACCCGCCGCCCCAGCCGCCCAGCATCGCCGCGTGCCGGTGCGTCTGCGCCACGAGCGACCGCGACAGCGACCGGAAATCCGCGCCCGGAAGACTCGAGCTGCTCTGCTGGTCGTACGACAGCGTGCGCAGGGCCGCCACGGCCGTGTACTCGGGCGCCCGGGGGCGGAAGTCCTCGTCGACATCAATGGGCAGCATCTCGCCGAGGCCCTGAAGCGCCGTCTGCAGCTCGTTGATGACGGTCGGCTGCGTGCACATGAGCGGCACCATGACGGCAATGATCTGGCCGAGCGTCGTGAGCGGCATCTCGACCGGCCGCGTCGTGGCCTTGATGTCCGGGTCGCCGTCGCCGTCGAGGACCTGAAGATGCGCCGTGACCCGCGTGCCCGATGGCCGCTCGCCCGTAGGCAACGCAGGGCCGGCGCCCGCATCCGGTGCGTCCGCTGGCAAGAACGCGCGGCGAGACGACGCACTGGACGACCCGCTGCCCTTGCGTTTGCCCTTGTCCTTCTCATTGCCGTCGTCGTCCGGGTCGCCGCCGGCTGCTACAGAGGCTCGCTTGTTCCTCTCGCGCAACTCCTCCACGGCGTCCCGGAACAGCTTGAAGCCCTGGTAGCTGTGCTTGACAAAGAGCGGGCGGCTCGATCCGGACAAGTCGCCGCCGCGGTCCTGGTGCACAAAGGCCGACAAGGGTGTCTCCATCGTGCCGCCGCGGTAGACCACAGAGCAAATGTCCAGCGCATCCTCCGCAAAGCTGGCGCCCATGGCCATCTTGGCCGACACCGACGACGAGCCCTTGAGTTCCTGCAGCATCGTCAACAGCGTCGACGACGTCCAGTTCTCGATGCGCGACAGGTCCGCAAAGTAGCTGTCGCCGCCGCGCTTGCTGGTCTCGAGGAACGCCTCCAGCTCGCGCTGCCGCCGAGGCTCGTAGATCGGATCCATGTGGAACCCGCCGCCCCAGCGCGGGTGGCCGCCCATGCCAAACGGACCACCGCCCGTGTTGCGGTCATGGCCCTGGCCATTGTTCTGCCCGTTGCCATTCAAACCGCCAATAATGTACGGCGCGTCGTCGTCGTCGTCGTCGGGCTGCTCCAAGTCCACGCGCGTGGCGCCCAGAGCCTGCAGCACCTTTTTCTCGGCCGAGTAGTTGCGCCCGTACTCGAGCGAACGCTCCGCGTACTCCTGCGCGTCGCGTGCCAGGATCTTGAGCTTCGCCGAGTATTTCGCCAGGCCAGACAGTGCACGGCTCTGCCACGCGGCGTGGTCGGCCGCCGAGATGGCCAGACGTGCCGCCGTCGCCGTCAGATAATCAACAAATGCGCAGTAGCGCACCATGAATTCGCGCGTGCCCGCGGCAATTCCACCCGTAGCCTTTTCAGCGTCTAGTCCGCCGGTATGTGCGGCCGGCCTGGCATCCTCTTCGTTCTCTTCGTCGGCCTCGCTGCCCTCGCTGTCGTCGCTGTCACTCTCGTCGTCCTCTCCGTCCATCTTCTCGCCGTTCCGTCGCCGCTGCCCGCGCTCCTTTTGTTTGTTGATGCGCTCGAGGCGGTCCTCGAGAATCTTTTGGCTGTTGCGGTACGCCCAGTGTGTCGTGAACTGCTCGGCATTTTGCTGCAGCAGAATCGAGTTGTCGTGCCGGCAGATGTGCATGTTGAACAGCACCTGGTCGGCCACGTGCGCCAGACGCCGGTAGGCCGTCACCGTGTCGGCTTCCGGGAACAGCGTCTCCGCCTCAAACTTCAGCCGCTGGTTCTGGCCGCCCATGCCCATGTTCTGGACGACGCCGTGCAGCCGCTTGGCCTCGTAGTCCCACAGGGCGCGCTCCTCGACCTCTGTGACGTCGTACTCGGTCAGGTCGTCGAACTTGACACGCTCCCGCTTGCGTGGTGTGTTGCCGGACACGACACCGCTCTTGTACTCGACGTGCGCAAACACCATGTCACGCACGTCTTGCAGGGTGGCCTTGGCCGAGTCGGGGAGCGGCAGGTCAGGCGGCAGGGCCAACAGCTGGCCGGGCATGAGCACATCCTGGTTGGCATTGCTGCCACCGCGCGTCACAAAGGTGTTGGTGCCGAAGCGGCCCACGTAGGACCGAGATCGTTTTTTGACCATTGGGATAGAGTCGGGAGACGTAGTAAAATGCAAAGAGAATGCAAGTGTGCTGTGGAATGAGTGGTGAAATATGACTTGGCAAAGTCACAAAGTTGATGCAAAGCTTGTTTCTGCAAAGCTTGTTTTCAGAAAACAAGAGAAAAGAGCAAAAAGGCAAATGCAAATAGGGCCGTCGTCGAGGTCAGCGTCGAGGAACACGGTCAGAATAAATCCAAGAACTGCCCCTGGCCAGACAGACCTTTGGGCTGCAAGCGGTCTCCAAGGTGTAATCCCCGGTACAACATACAGTCCCGCACAGATGCATACGATGCATACAGCACAAAGACCGCGAAGGTCTATCAAAGCCAAATCGAGACTGCCAGCCCATCCAGGCGACTCTCCACAGTCGGTGGGGCTGCATCACGGGTTGTTTAGTGATTATCGAACGGAGGGAGGTGGCGGGCCGTTCTCTGGTTGCCGCAGGATGCGTCTTGGTTGACAGCCTTGTGGGGTGAGGGTGCGACCGAGCAAATGAGAGCGAGGCCTCAAAAGAAGCTTTTGGTCCAATGTGGCGATGGTTCCGAGCACAGCATTGCATTGCGTGTGTTTTCGGGCAGCAAGGGGCCTAAGCCTCAGCATCCGACAGGGCAGGGGCGTTCCTTCCGCCGAGACAGTCGCTCTTTCCGACGCCCTCTTTCCACTCGCGTCGCTCTTTCCCGTGCGAATTACACCGCTCGTCCCCTCCTGCCTTCAAATGTGCGGGCCCAATATGGAAAGAGGCATTGTCAGCCTCAGCCACGTCCCTCTTTTTAACCCTGCATCGACGAATCCACAATCACCACCACCTTAAAGCCTCGACAGCCTGTCACAAGCGACACCACCTTTTACCCTTTTACCATTCCCCAGTCCGCCGCCAATCAGAGGCAGCCTACTATCGCTTTTCGGTTGTAACATTGCTTACCAGATGCTCAATCTTCGCCCACTTACAATGCACCCGCGACCACCATCCACCAGGTCCGAAGCTCAACTTTCTTCTGTATTTGGATGGCCCTTCCCTGAAGTTAAAGTTGCATTCACACCAGAAAACCGCCTGCCGAAGGATTTGCATTTCGAAAGTCTGCCCAACGGTCCATGCCCTCCCTTCTCTGCCCCACGGGTCTCGAACAGGCTCCTCGAGCTGCCCCTTGTCAAAAATAACAATGTCTTCGGCGAATGCCGTATTTGGGGCAGAGCCGCAACAAGGCTCAAGCCTGACAGCCCTGAACCAACCACCCATGTCGTCTAGCTCGGCTGCCTCGCTGCCTCGCTGCCTCGCTGCCTGACCTGCCCAGTAATAGCATCCTCCCACATGTCGCACGCACATCCCTGATGCGCACCTCCGTTCGCGGATGTGAAGGGATCCAATAGAGAGCTTTCTGGAGAGACGAGCAAGGTCCTCCGTACGTTTGTCCATATGGAAGAACTCCCTTGGCGATCTATGCCGATATAAAGAAAATATAACCTCTTGGACTTGTTTGAATTTATCTTTCGTCCAAGCATTATCAACCACCATTTCATTAATAACTTGCATCACTGCATTGACAATGGAGTGCAACAGCGTCATTGCCGAGTACGAGAAAATTCTCGGAGGCCAGTTTCTACCCAAGGTGGACGGGCTCCAGGCCGCGTCTGGGAAGACTACGGCTGCTCCTGCTGGTGCCAATGGCGCCGCCGGCCTTGCGTCTGTGCCGGAAGGCGCATTACCAGCGCCGGGAAGCTCTGTGCTTGTCGTGGATGACGCTGCATCCGTACTCGGCGTGCCTCCTGGCATTCCTGTGATACAGACAGCGGCCGGTTCCAGTAGCACCAGTGCGAACGCCGGTGCCAACGTCGATGCCACCGCCGGCGCAAACGCCGCAAGGGCCAGCCAAAATATCAACAGCAGCAGCAAAAACGGCAAGAAGAAAAAGGGCCAGAAGGGCAAAGGCGACGACTTCATCCCTGACCTCAAAAAGGTTGTGCAGTTCAGCGACGGGGAGGGAAAGAAGCGCGTCATCGGCCTCGAAACGTACAAGTTCAAGACGTACCGCTCGCGCTACACGCAGGTGCTCGCCGAAGCCGAGGAGAAGCCCTTCCGCGACTACGCCATTCTTCTCAAGGCCGACGTCAACGACAACCCGCAAGGCGGTATCAAGGCCGACTTTACGCTGGAGATCCAGTCCGACGGCCTCAAAAACATTTTCCGCACCATTGCCCTGCGGTACCGCGAGCTGACGCTCGACACCGGTGACGAGCCGATCGTCATCGAGTACCCCTTCCGCTGCCTCTTTTTCTTGCGCACGCGCCTGCGCGAACTGCAGCATGACCCGGCCACGGCCGCCTCGACTCGCCGCGAGCTGGCCAATCTTGTCGACTTTATCCATGCACCCATCGGCCATGACAAGATCATCGAGACCTACAACAGTCTCGTGCCGCACGGCAAGATCACCTTTCCCATGGTGTGGACGCTGTTCCCGCCCTACGAGCCCGTGCTCGCCATCCACCCGGGTCTCCCGCTCGACAAGAGCTCGTGCTTCTTGGTCGAGAGCGTCTCGTTCAGCCAGGAAAAGAACGAGCCGTGCTGGGAGATCGAGGCATTGTTCGGCTACCACGATGGCACTCGCTTCTACCTCAAGAGCGAGACCAAGACCATCCGCTGGTTCGACGGCGTCAAGGACATCCACAACGACCACCACCTGAGCCTTCTGCCCCTCAGCCTCATCGAGGAGAGCCGCCGCGCCGAGATCCGCGAGGCCCTCATCCGCCGTGGCAAGCTGTATGTCGACTACTGCACACGCGACTTTAGCTTCATGCACTACACGGGCTACGTCGATCTGGTCAACCGCGACAGCGAGAAGCAGCTCAAGGCTCTGGGCGCCAAGAACAGCGTCTACGTCGACACGCGTGTCATCATCGACCGCACGGCCGAGAACAAAATTAGCAACGCCGACGACGACATTGGTCGCACCGTGTCGTCGTGCCTGACAGAACACTTCTCGACCACGTCCAAGCGCGAGATCAGCCTGACGTCGAGCTCGATGCCCGTCATGGGCGTGCACCAGCGCCTCCGCGATCTTGTGCAATCCAACTTTGGGTCTGGATCGGGTGCCGGTGACCACGACAAAGACGACGACATTGGCGTGGGCGGCGCTGTTGATAAGGAGGGTGACGGCGACGCGTGGATGCTCGACCCCAAGACATTTGCGCCGCAGGCCTTTGAGCTCACCGACGAGGACTACCTCATCTGTCGACGCAACGTCGTCGCCTTCTTGCTCGACCAAAAGCTCTGGGTGTACTACTGCGTCATCAGCAACCTGCGCGAGATTGCATGGAAGGCCGACCCCTTCAACTCGCTCCAGCTGTCGTCGGACAAGAAGCGGCTCGTGCACCGGCTGGTCAAGGGCTTTGACGGCGGCAGCAAGGCGGACATGTACGACGATCTCATTGAGGGCAAGGGCAAGGGTCTGATCTTCCTGCTGCACGGCGCACCCGGTCTGGGCAAGACACTGACGGCCGAGAGTGTCTCGGAGAGCACGCGGCGCCCACTGTACCACGTCAGCACGGGCGAGCTGAGCATCGAAGTCAAGGACCTGGAGAAGCAGCTCAGCGAGATCTTCCGCCTGGGCGCGCGCTGGAACGCCGTGGTGCTGCTCGACGAGGCCGACGTGCTCATGAGCCAGCGCACCACGCAAGACCTGCGCCGCAATGCCATTGTGGCCGTCTTCTTGCGCATGCTCGAGTACTACCGGGGCATGCTGTTCCTGACCACGAACCGGCACGACGACTTTGACAATGCGTTTTACAACCGCATTCACGTGACGATTGAGTACGGCGAGCTGACCAAAGAGTGGCGCGCCAACATTTGGCGCGAGCATGTGCAGAGAGCGTGCCGGCGGAACAAGGACCCGCTCATGTGGTGCAGCGACGTCGAAGCCGAGGCGGACGCCGATCGTGCGCGTCCGGCGCCAGACGCAACGTCAAAAGAAGCAACGTCAAAGGACGTGGACGGCGCCGACGGTCCGCCACTCGACCCCGTGTTGTTCAGCACCCTCGGCGAGGTCCACAGCAACGGTCGCGACATCAAGAACTACGTCCGGACGTCTCTGGCCTTTGCCCACTCCGAAAACGAGGACCTGGGTCTTGAGCAGGTCCTGATCGTGCTTGAGAACAACCTGCCGCGCAGTGTCGTGACGGCCCATCGTGATGTCCTGGACCGGCTGCACGTCCTGAGTGACCGGCAGGTGCGCCAGCGCGAAGCACGGCAGGCCAAGGTCAAGGCAGAAAAGGCGACAAGGAAGAAGGAAAAGAAGGAGAAGAAGTTGAAGGAGGCGGAAGAGGGAAAGAGAAGGGCAGACAATGGAGAGGATGTCCAAGATGAAAACGCAGACGACGACAGTGAGGACTCGTCCGACGAAGAAGAAGGCAACTCAGAATAGGCGAGGCCCGATTACATCTATTTGCTAGTTGCATGCGTCCTAGTCAATGATACCCAGGAAATATATCGAATGTTGTTTCAATCTATGGGTGTGCTCTCTAGGAAGCTGCTCTAGAAGCAACGAACAAAAAAGACTTTTTACGACGCACCGCAAGGATGCCGTGTATGCAAAACTGATGTATGACAAAGGTAAAAATACAAAAAATACACAATTGCGCAAAATTACAACAACAACAACAAAAGTCTAATACACCTCCAGGACGTAGCGGCCGTTCTCCTTGAGGCGGTCAATCTCCTTGTGCGGGTCGACCTTGCGGCCGCTGGCCTTGGCCTCCTTGGCGATGGACTCCATTAGGACGTCCGTCAGGTCGGGCACCGGCCAGGTGGGGCCGCAGAGGAAGAAGGAGCCCTCCTCGTGGATGTAGGCCTGGATGACGGCGTCCATGCTCTGGCGCATGCGGTCCTGGATGTAAATCTTCTCGGGTTGGTCGCGCGAAAAGGCCGCGCCCAGCAGCGTGACGACGCCGGCGTCCACGTACGCCTCCCACTCCTCGCCGTAGAGGTACTCCTCGCGCTGGTGGCGCGAGCCCATGAAGAGCAGGATGCTGCCAATGGCCTCGCCGCGGGCCTTTTGCATGGCGCGGTACTGCACAAAGGCGCGGAAGGGCGCCAGGCCGGTGCCGAGGCCGGCCAAGATGAGCGGGGTGGTGGCGAGGGCGGGCAGCTTCATGACGGAGGGCTTGACGGACACGGTGACCTGGGCGCCCGGGCGCAGCAGCGACAGGTAGCGCGAGGCGTTGCCGTAGCGCTTGCGGCCGCGCGAGTCGACCCAGTCGACGACGACAATCATGAGCGCGACGGTCGTCGGGGTGACGGCCTGGGCCGACGCGATGGAGTACTCGCGGCGCTTGGACGGCGCGACGATGCGCACCAGGTCCTCCACGGCCGGGTGGGCCGACTGGAACTCCTGCAGCACGTCGACGTACGAGACGGTGTCGACCTCGCTGTACTGTTTGAAGGCCGCGGCGCCCTCCTTGCCGCCCAAGGCCGTCAGCTTGGCGCGCTCGGCGTCGTCGGTGGCGAAGGCGGCCAGGGCCTCGTAGAAGCGCTTGGGCGGCTTGCCGAGGATGTCGACGTTCTGCACGAGGGCCTGGTAGACGGTGCGCGTCTCGAGGGCGGCGGCGTCCTCGCGCGACGGCACCTGCACCAGGGCGTCCGCGTCCAGGCCGTAAAAGGCAATGAACTCCTCCACCAGGGCGGTGTCGTTGTCGGCGTGCACACCGAGCGCCTCGCCGATCTGGTAGGTGAGACCCGACGTGCCGAGGTCAAACTCAATGTGGAAGATGTTGCGCTCGTACTCGAGCGGCGTCAGGCGGCGGTTCTCGGCGACGGTGACAACGGCCGTGTGGACGGGCAGGTCCGGGCGCACGGCCGTCTGCGTGCCGTACGCCTCCTTGAAGGCAAGGCCCTTGGCGGCAGCCTGCCAGTCGCTGGTCGCGGTGGCCGGCTCTACCTCGGTCTTGTCAAAGACGGCGAAGCTCGAGGGCTTGAGCGTCTTGACGAGCGCAGAGGGGGCGACGTAGTCGGCGGGCACCTCGGCCCACGACGCGGGCACCTCCACGGCGACCAGGGCCTGCGGCAGAGCCTCGGCGCAGGCGCGGGCAGCCGCGGCGTCGTTGACGGCCGCGGCGAGGCGCACGAGGTCGTCGGCCGCCAGCTCGGGGTGGGCGACCTGCAGGAACGCCTGCTCCAGGAGGACCTTGCTGTGCGGCTCAGCCGCCGGAACGGCGGCCGTGTCGAGCGCATAGAGGCGCACCTGCTTCAGGCGCAGGGCCTGGCGCACGTTGGCGGGCAGGCGCTTCTCGGCGTCCTCGGCCTTGAAGTTGGGCAGGCGGACAATCAGGGCCGAGGCGGGCTTGGCGCCGGCCAGGATGTCAATGTCCTTGAGCAGCTTCTCCTCGCCAACGACTGTGACGTCGGCGGCGTCCACGGCGAAGGGGGCGCTGCTCACAGGCGCCTTGTCGGCCTTGCGGATGTCGGTCCGGACGACGCCGCCCTGGACCAGGTTGTCGTGGACGTTGTGGGTCGAGACGTGCGCGCCGGGCTGCTCGGCAACGACGCGGGCAATGGACACCGGCGCAGCGAGCGCGGCCGAGGTGTCGACGTCATAAAAGGTGTACTGCTGGACGTGCTCGGGGACGAGCGAGACGGCGTACTGCGACGCCTGGACACCGGGCTTGCCGGTGAGGGTCTGCAGGACAGACGAGATGAACGCAGGCGTGGGCGCGTCGGCGGCGGCGTACTTGACGTCGACAATCGCAGGGGTGTTGGTCCACCTGCTGCTGGCAAAGGCCACGGTGGCAAGCACGTCGGCGTACAGAGCCGACTGCACAGAGCCCTCGTGGACGGCGGCCTCGTTCTGGACCTGGCCAAGCACGGCCATGCGGCGGACCGTCGGGGGCAGGACGCTCAGGAAAGCCTCCTCGATAAAGGGGCGGTAGAGGCGCACGTGGACGGCGCCCACCTTGTGGCCCTGGACGGCCAGGCGCGCGACGGTGTGGGCCGCCAGCTGGGCCTCGACGCTGCCAAAGGCGACAAGGACCGACTCGGCGTCGTCGTGGCCGTGGTACTCAAACGGCTGGTAGGAGGTGCCCAGCTCGCGGTTGAAGGCCTGCAGCAGCTCGAGGAGCTGGCCGGCGTGGTCGAGACGCTTGCTCAGGGCGCCGCGCTCGTCGTGCAGGGCCGACAGGCGCGCAAACGCCTCGGCAACGTGGGCCTCGCTGAGAGCGTCCGTCACGCGGACGGTCTCGCGGGCGGTGCGCAGGCCGTCGTAGACGTGCAGCGTCGGCAGGATCCGGGCGGCGAGCGTGGCGAAGAGGGCCATGTGCTGGGCCTCGGCGGCCGACGTGCTGGCCACGAGAGCGAGACCCAGCTCCTCGGCGGTCTGCAGAGCGGCGCTGTAGTCGCCGACAAGGCCGTCCTGGGCCGCGTAGTCGAGGGCCGCGACGTGGGCCACAAAGGGACTGGCGACGCCGTACAGCAGCGACAGCTGGTCGAGGGCGGCACGCAGGCTGCGCAGGCTGGCCGTGGGGGCCACCAGGGTCTGGGGGAACGTGCGTTTGCTCTTGTCAAAGTCCTCGGAGAAGAGATAGCCCAGAGCAAAGGCGCCGGCGCCGGCGCGGGTCTGCAGCGGCACGACGGTGGTCGGGTAGCCGTGGACGTTCTTCTCCTGCTGGCTCTCCCAGTAGCGGGCGGCGACGTCCAGGTCGAACGTCTCGGGCGAGTAGGCAAAGATCTTGTCGGACAGCTTGTAGGCGACCTGCTGCACAAGCAGCTGGGCCGTGGCATACGTCGGGCCGTTGATCGAGGCCAGGGCCGCCGTGGTGGCCGGGAGCTGCTTAAGTGCCGCCGCGGCGGGCTGGTCGACGGCCAGGCCCGGGCTGCCGGTGGTCTCTTCGTGCTTGAGCTGCATCTTGCGGACGAGTTCCAAGAGGGATGGCGTGACGAGGAAGCCGGTCAAGAGGTTGAGGAACAAAGGGGGCCGCGGCAGGGAAGAGAGCCACGGGAAGAGGCGCGAGAAGAGACGAGAAATGGTCGGTGTTGGAGGATGGACAAGGCCTAGGTGCCCCTTGACAAGAGAATGGATCAGAGACGAGATCAGGATGAGGTCAAACAGACAAACCGTAAGAGAGCAAACAGCACAGACTGCGACACATCCCGAGGCGAGAAATTTTAAGATGAGATGCCCTGCAGAAATAAAACCGGCAAAACACCAGCCACAAAGGAGCACAGGCCGGCGGCCATCGCGGCCGGACAAAGGCGAGCCGGGGCTGACATGGGGTCAAAGGTCCACCGGAAGCTTGTCTCCTTGTGTCTTGGGTGTGTCGCTTGCACTCGTTGCGTGCTGGGGCTGGGGGCGAACGCGGCCTGGGCTGTTTTCGCAATTGGAAGCGGCACGGCGCAAATTTGCAATTGGCAATTGTCGCGATCACGCAATTGCACTAGTCCTAATCGGGAAAGGGCCGCCAGGAACCACGCCCGTTTTTCGGCAATCGGTGTTCTGTCATGTCACGTGCCGGAAAGCTCACGTTTAAGGCAAGCACGCCTCGATCAAATTGGTGTGGATATCAGTTGGTAGTGATACATGAGATACGTCGTACAGAGATGCTTTGGCGACGCTTGCGACGCCGGTGCAGTCTACGCCGTCGTCGTTGTCGCCGTTGCCGCCGTTGCCGCCGCTTCTGTCGGCCCTTCTTCCGTCGCTGGCTTCGCCTTCCTCGCCGTCTTCCGCAGTGTGTGCAGGTTCGGCGGCTTCTCGAGGCCCAGACGCGCCCGCAGCTCGGCGGCGTCCGTCTGCAGCTCCTTCTCCCAGTACACGTTGATGATGGGTTTGGCACGCCGCGCGCTCCGCAGCGCCCACGGCAGGAAAATACGGAAAAACCGCTGGCGCTCGGCGGGCTTGAGCCGGGCCACGGCCACAAGGCTCAGCCCCGTCATGGGCAGCCCCGTGTTGACAAACTCAAAGGCCTTGAGCGCAATCTCGCCCTCGACGTACTGCGGCGGCAGGCCCAGCACCGCATGGTACAGGTCGTGGCACTCGCGGTAGCGCTGGATCACGTAGGCGCACTCGGCGCCGTCGACATAGCGCACGGCATCGCGCACATCGGGCGACATGTGGTAGCGCTTGCGGTAGTGCCCGTAGACGTAGCCGACCGTGTTCTTGGGCATGGCCAGCAGCTCGTCCAGCGGCCAGCTCGCAGACGTGATGCGCGGGCGGTCACGCAGGATCTGGCGGCCGGTCGGATCGGCCAGCATCGTATCGCGGAGACGCCGCGCCACAGGACCGGCCGAGACTTCGCCGAGTGTAGCGATGAGGTCTGGCGTTGTGTTAGTGGGAGATTTTGGACATTTCAAGTGTCTGCGAAGTGCGTGTGACGCGTACCAGCCCGCTTGGGGTCGAGAAAGGCGCCAATGGCTGAGCCCAGCGTCAAGGCGCCCTTCTCCATCAGCGTCAGTGGAACATGGCCGTCGTACTGCGGCGGCGGCCGATTGAGCACCGAGAATGCGCGGATGTGCGGGCGAACCAACGCCTCTACCGGCACAAATGTGCCCGGCCGGGTCAGCTGCGCAAGCTGTCGACTCGATAGTAACCGTATGGGCCGCATTGTAGAGTTTACATGAGGTTGGCCAGGAGCGCGTTCCAGCGTGGCGTGAGGATCGGGCGGCTGTGATAAAAGCTTCAGCGGATGTGGGGCATGTGCAAGAGCTGTATCGTCACATGTAGTGTCACGTGCGTTTTTTCACCCAACACTTTATCGAGAAACAGCCGGACACATCACACGGAAAGCGAACTCATGAGTCGAAAGAGTATTTGTTCTCCTTTGTTATCCGATTGCTGCTACGAAAACGGGCTGCTGGCCAAAGGGGTGGGCGACAGCAACAAAAAGCCAGCACGACATGGTCCGTCGTGACACAGCTGCATGTACAGTTTATTCAATACACCGGCATCGGTAGTTTGACAGTCATAAAATTATGTACATAAATTATAAATGCTGCAGTGTAGGACACTGGGAAGCTGCATGCTTTCACGCTGTGCGCCGTCAAGGGCGGCATCGAAGTGTCTCGTCCTGCAGAGGGAAGATTTTGTTATGCAATGTCGATTCAGGAAGCAAAGAACCACATGTGGCGGTGTGAAGAGGGGTGTGTTGTCAGGGGTGTGTTGTCAGAGAACAAGTGACTAAAAAGAGAGAGGGAAAGGCGACAATGGAGGTCGAGAATAAGATGAGAAAGTATCTGCTTTGGCATGTCGTAGTTTTCTAGCGTGTAGGGCGAGACACATCAACTCTACTTACATCCTAGCTACACGGCCCGTCTACCGTTACACAACATTAGGAGTCGAAATGCAAAGGACAAGAGAGAGGCGAAAAACACAACCATGAAGCCAAATCGAACGCGGCCAAGACAAACGTGTAGCACGAAACCCATCCATGCGGCGGTAAAATCGTGCTATCCATGCATATATTTATCGTGAATACCACCACGCTGAGCTATGCACGTCTAGTTCCAATCGTTCAGTCTGCATAAAGTCACACGCGACCTTGTGGCAGCACAAATCGCTGCCGTGGCAAGGCAGTCCTTTCCCTTCCATGCATGACTGAGTCGGGATCCTCCCACCTTCGTATCAAGTTGATGGATTTCTTCACACCTGTACAGGATGAGTACATCCATCAAGTAACGACAACGGTATGGGGTTTGCTCATATACTAAACAAGGTGTAGAAATAATACAAGACAGTAGCTACTACTGTCCTAAATTTGAAAGTGGTGGCCAAGTATAATTGTTGTATCAACAATATGCGCATTCATCTTTTTATAATTCTGCTCGCCTTTTAGTTATGGAACCCAACTACTTGACAAAATATTAGACTGTTACTATCAGAGAAAAATGTATTCACTGTTTAAATTCGTTGAGATTTCTAGTAAGGTTTTGTATCCTCGGCCTGCCGCACATCGCCCAGACTCTCTGGTTGTAAGTGGTGGTATGACGTCATTGGAGCTTGCCTCGCTCGTTCCGCGAAATACTGAATGTTTATTTTTGCTGTCAAAGCTCCGCCTTCAGTCCCATTCTTCGACCGTCAGTCAGTGACATGGGAGGTAGTTTGGAAATACTCGGCCTCAATACGAGGACTGCTAAACAGCAAGGGAGTGCGAGGCGAACCGCCTCCTCCGCAAGAGACAACGATCTACACTTCAGGTCTGCCAATGAGCTCTTGATGGGCCCTTGTCCGTCTGTCCTTTGAGGGTCGTAGCCCTGCCGAGCAAAGTAGTCGGCTCGGTCGGCTACAGCACGAAAGCACCTCGTATTTCTAGAGACTGTAAAGTCCGGCTGATCTACGCTGCATCGTCCCAACTTGGAGAACTTGGAAACCGCACGTGCAAAAGAAAGACCCAAGCAGCCAAGACATGCCCGGGCTGTTTCTCGAATACGAGGGAGGCTGGGAGGGCAGGCACGATCGTCATACCTAAGAAAACAGGTAACCAGACAACGCTCATACCCCACAATCGCTCTTTATCTTGATACATATATAGCCTTCCCTTTTATTGTAGACAAAATGCTTTGCATCTTTATACACATCTCACCACACTCTTCCCTACCTTGTCGCTTGTCTCGGCTGAATCTGTACTGTCAATTCCGGACCTCACAACCTCAAACATGCGTGTCTCTCGCTCGCTAGCTGTCGCCGCTTTGGCCACTTCCGCCTCGGCCCTTGTTGCTCCGCGTGTTCCCCGTGATGTCGGCGCCGACGTCAGCGTGCGCGTTAGCCGTGACAGCGAGAAGCCCTTTATCCTCCAGTCGCGGACCAAGGACGGTGGTGGCTACAATGGCTACTACGTCTATGCCTACCACACGGGCGCCGGCCTCAACGACGCTATGCTGGACACGCAGGAGTCGGTTGCCAACCAAGGCACCGCCTTCACGGGCGACATTAGCGGCTGGAGCCCGTTCTTTGCCGTCCTCTTCGAGCTCGGCGGCTCGCCCTACGAGTTGATGCCGTCGACAGGGCCCACCTAATACCTGGGCCTCCTGCCCGTGCGCATCAATGCCAATGGCGGCCCGCCGTCCGAAAACAACGCTTTTTACTTTGAAGGCGACACCTTGCAGTGGACGAGCTCGGCCAAGAGCAACCCGCCCGGTGGCTTTGCCGGCTGGCTCGGTACGGCCCCCCCTTCCATATCGCTCCTTGGCGTTTCTTCACCTCCATATTCCATCCCTTTTACTAACTGCTGGCAGCCTGCCAATCGGAGCATGGCTCTCTCGAGGACCCGAGCACCCCGGGCGTCCAACTGTTCTACCGCACCAAGCCTGGATCGCCACCAGACGGATGCAATGACATTGACCTGGTGGCCATCTACTAAGAACGTGGGACCGGTTTGGATACCGAGCTGGGCCACAGGGTCGTAGGAGCTCGTCCTTTGTTGTGTTGCGCAGATGGATGTCGACAGTTGCATTTATTTTCTTGTTGCGCCCGTTCTTTTTTTTCCTTTTTTTTTGGCATTTCGTATGATGGCATTGGCGTCGGCAGTGCCAAAAACATCTTACGCTAATAGACAAGAATGTGTCTATGTTTCTTGACACTCGTCGACGTAGTCGCATTTCCTCTTAGCTAACGATGCTTTATCCAGCAACGACGCCCCCATCCATTTGTGAAACCACACTTGACCTAGTGCAGCTCCTGCCACGTAACGGAGCTTGATTTTGGCAATAGATATGAAGGGAGAATATAAATAACACATACCAAAGGGACACGGGAGGACGTCCCTTTTGCCGAGCGCCACAAACTGCTTCACGTTCACATACAAAAGAGGAGCAAAAGGATCAGGAGTGAAAAAAGATACGGTAATAAATGCCCAAAGGATGCCTTTAAGTAGTCAGAGAGAAAGCAGCTGGGGCGCTGGGCAGCCATACTTTACCTATGCATTATGTTCCAGAAAGTACTCGACACTTACGGCATATGTGCGTGTTTTGTGCCTTGTGTTTCAATCCCTTTCAAGACATATTCCGCATTGTCTTGGAGAAGATCGGCTCTCGCTTGAAGCATCGCAATCTAACAGAAACAGGGAGAAAGCCGGGGAACAGCCAAAGTTGATAAGCGGTGGCATGAAAAAAGGTATGATGAAGAATAAATCATACAAGATCTGACATATATTTGAAAGCAGACACGGCCACGGCCCACCAAGTCGCGATGTTGTGTTGTAGGCGAGCATCTGAGAGCGACGACGACGGTAGATAAACGGCGGCGTTTGGACTGCGCGACTTGTGCCAGACGATAGTGATTGGCCCACAACCGTAGTGACTTCCGCCAACAGCCCTCTCCTCCGCACAGGGGCAAGGGCGCCTGAGGGCGCCTGATCCATGCCCGTCGCACCTTCCCGCCACCATAGTCATGACTTGTTTTGCCCCCTGTAAACAGCAGGCGCGATTTGTGCGTGACCAGTCGCACTTGCTGCTGTAGAGCGCCACAGGCCAGACCTTTGACCTTCTACCACCATCGCTCCGCTTCTCTCCACAGTGCATCGAGTGGTCCAGAATCCCGCACAAACCTCGCACGCTTGTGTGAAAAACGTCACCATCCAAAGGTCCATCTTGGTTCGCCCTCACGACCCTCACATCCAGACCGTTCGTTCTTTTCTTTTTGTCACTCGATTTCTAATATGGGCTGGTAGCGTCCAGAGTCGTCTCTTTCTCTTTCTCTTGCATTGACCTGTGTATTAAAGTCCGTCGACAGCATCCTCATCTTTTTCTTTCTTTTTCTTTCGCCCTTATTCTCCATCGTGACGTTTGTGTCTCACTCCCATCGCTCATCCTTTTGCTAAACACATGACGATCGATCTCCCCTCCATTCCTCTCGCATCCCGTCTTCCCGCCACATACGACGGTCAGCATCATCTACATCCCGCCTCGTCGCCTGCATCTCTGCATCGTCCTCCACTCTTTCGTCGTCCAACCTTGGCCTTTCGTCATTCTTGTCGCTGGAGTTTCCTTTTCGAGCATTACGGAAGCTAAGAGATTGAACTCTCGCCAGAGTGCGCCATAATCGCCAAAACGAAGCAGTCATCTTCTCCCAAGAACACAAGCTGCATTTCCAGAAAGCACATCTCCAAGTCGTTGGCATCACATTCAGCCTGATATCGCCCCATGTCGCCTCCCCGCCGGCAAACACATTGAACTGCGCGGTCCGCACTTCCACTCGACTTTACCTGCTTCCTCTTACAACCGGCGTGGGCACTTAATATAAACTTTATCTTTTTTGCTGTCGTTTGCCAGTTTCTTCCCCATATTTGCTTCGTATCTCAAATTCCATTTTCGTTATACACGCCCGCCCCGGCACATGCGCCCCGGCATTGCCCTGCACCACCTCCAGGCCGCTTCTCCTTTTGTCCTTTCATCTTCCTCCGTACTATATTGTTTTTTTTTTTTTTTCGATCTTCGTCTAGCCCTTTTGGCCGCGTCGCTCGCTATCTGCTACTACCAGGCAAGCAGACCACGAGTTCCTCCCTCAATTTCCGTTTTGACGTGCGATCTGCAGTGTCTGAGAAACTGGTGAGAGCGGGAGAGTGGGAGAGACATCACAGCCAAAACAAGCCGACCCGCTCGCTTCCCCGGATGAGAAATTAAGCAATGCACTGCAGCTTCATCATCCAGCCAGGGAGTCAGTAGGTCAAACCGACACGGGAACCAGACAAGAGACGAAAAACGGGAAATCAGAAACGAAGAGGAAGAAGAACCGGAGACAACACCGCCGACGGCACAACAATCAACAATATACCAAATATACCAAATATACCAAATATACCAAGATTCAACCAGTCAGTCACAGACACGCCCCAATATCGACCATCGACGCCGTGCGAGCCGTACGGGCGTCTTCCTGCGGCCAACCTTTGACTGTCTCTGTTGTCTTTCCGACGACTTCGTGGACCGCAAAAAATAAGCAATCAAACAAAATCACATAACCCCATATCCACAAAGAGAACAAGTCGACCCGTCACACCCCCCCTTCGCTGCCCTGTTCTCGTGTCTTCTGTGTGGGCTTGTATACACGCCCCCCCTCTCCTGTGGCCCTGCACTCCGTCACTCCTTCACCCTCTTTCTCGCCTCCTTATCCTCGTCCAGATACCATCCCCTCCCCTCCTTCGTCGCGGCTATGGCTCCGCCTTTAAACAGGGCTTCGCGCCCTTCCGGCCAAGAGGCCGTCACGACGTCCATCTTGCTTGGCAACCTCCACTGCCCTTCCTGTGTTTCCACCATCCGCGAGGTCTTACAAGAGGCCTGTGCAGACCACATCCGGTGGGTGTCGCCTAACATCGTCACGTCCGTGGTCACCGTGGAACACGACGCCGACACGTCCCTTCGTGATATGGTCACTGCCCTGGCCGATGCTGGTTTCGACATCTGCGGTGTAACGTCTTCCTCCGGCGACGATATCGTGGATCTCGACTTGAGCGCACCGTCTGCCCAAGCTCTGACAGCTGACCCCGGCATACCTAGCAGACCTGGTCCTGCAGGCGCACAATCGGGCGGTGCCCACGACAACGACGGCGACGAGAACGGCGAACACGAAGACAAAGGCAAAGGGACGGAACACGATATAACACCAGCCATGCCTTCCTCGCCCAAGGACGCAGCAGATGCCTCTTCTTCTGCCTGGGGCCTAACACCTCTTGTTCGTTGGCTGAGCGGCCCGCGCGTGGAACCTCGCAGAAGCTTTGCTACCACAAGCAGACTTGCCCAAGCACACCTCAGCAACTGTGAACAGTGCCGCCAGCTCCAAAGTGCCGGCATATCACCTCTTCCCTTGCACAAGACCGAAGTCGGTCCGTCTAAATCCAAACTGGGCGAAGCAGCTGTCTCAGAAGGAAGCAGTAGCAGCAACACCAACAACAACAACAAAAACAACAACAACAACACGCCATCCACATCCAGCTCCCAGACCACCGCCGTGTCCAACCAGACTGACACGGCCGCCGACATGGACAAATCGTTTGTCACTGTGGAGCACGAAGACGCCCCCACCAACCGGCCGATATGGAGGGCGAGTCTAGCTGTGGGTGGCATGACGTGCGCCGTCTGTGTCAATGCCATCACGGATGATCTCAAGAAGAAGGACTGGATCACCAAGGTCACTGTCAACCTCATCTCCAACAGTGCGACCGTCGAGTTCGACGACAAGGACAAGGAGTCCAAGATCGTTGAGGCCATTGAGGACCTTGGCTACGACGCCGCCATCGACTCCATGGTCCGCGTCGACCCACCCAAGCCGAAGACGGCACTGCAGCAGGCCAACGGTGTCGGCGGCGACGGTGCCGACCCGGAGCAGCCCGAGCGGACCGTCGAAGTCCGCATTGATGGCCTGTACTGCGAGCACTGCCCAGACCGCATCGCCCGCAGCCTGGCGGGCTTCCGCCGGCCCTCCCTGGAAATCATCACCAAACCCACGCCGCAACGCCCCATCATCAAGCTCAAGTACGTCCCCGAGGCGCCCAACTTCACCATCCGCCACATCTTGGCCGCCATCGAGGCCAGTGACAGCGAGCTCTCCGCATCCATCTACCACCCGCCCACACTCGAGGAGCGGTCCAAGATGATCCAGGCCAAGCACCAGCGCCAGATCATGTACCGCGTCATCTTCACGGGCCTCGTCTGCATCCCCACCTTTGTCATTGGCATCGTGTACATGTCGCTGCTGCCGTCCACCAACAACGGCCGCATGTACATGATGGCGCCTTGGGCGTCCGGCATCAGCCGCTCGCAGATCGCCCTGTTCATCCTGGCCACACCGGTCTACTTTTTCTGCGCGGACATTTTCCATGTCCGCGCCTTCAAGGAAGTCCGCGCGCTCTGGCGCCGCAACAGCCGCACGCCGTTCCTCCAGCGCTTCTACCGCTTTGGCAGCATGAACACGCTTATGAGCCTGGGCACGACCATTGCGTATGTCAGCAGCGTCAGTCAGATGATTGCGGCGGCGGCCCACGAGGCAGCCGAGATCAGCGACGCCAACTTTTACTTTGACTCGGTCGTCTTCTTGTCCTTTTTCCTGCTGTGCGGCCGCCTCATCGAGTCATACAGCAAGTCGCGCACTGGTGATGCCGTCGAGATGCTCGGTCGCCTGCGCCCGACCACTGCCATCTTGGTCGAAGAGAGCGTGGCGGCCTCACTCGAGGAAAAGGACGTCATCGAGAGCATCGAGACCGTCCAGTCGATTGCGTCATCCACCGAACACGACGCGGCCCCCGGGACGCCGACGCTACGCAGTGCGCCTGACGCTGCCAACAAGTCCGGCCGCATCGTGCAGGCCGATCTGCTGGACTTTGGCGATGTCGTGCGCATTCTGCACGGTGCCTCTCCGCCTGCCGATGGCGTCATCGTGCAGGGCCGTTCCAACTTTGACGAGTCGAGCCTGACGGGCGAGTCGCGGCTGGTCCCCAAGACAGTCGGCGACGAGGTGTTTTCGGGCACCGTCAACAAGGACGCACCGGTCCTGGTGCGCGTGACGGGTGCATCCGGCACCTCCATGCTCGACCAAATTGTGGCCGTCGTGCGCGAGGGCCAAACCAAGCGCGCGCCCATGGAGCAGATTGCCGATCTCTTGACGACCTACTTTGTGCCCGTGGTGACGCTCGTGGCCATCTCGACCTGGGTCATCTGGCTGAGCCTGGGGCTGTCGGGCAGCATCCCCGGCCACTTCTTGGACGTCAGCTCGGGCGGCTGGGTCGCGTTTTCGCTTCAGTTTGCCATTGCCGTCTTTGTCGTGGCCTGTCCCTGCGGTCTCGGACTCGCGGCACCCACGGCCATCTTTGTGGCGGGCGGCATGGCCGCCAAGTACGGCATCCTCGCCAAGGGCGGCGGCGAGGCGTTTGAAAAGGCCAGCCGCATCGACTGCGTCGTCTTTGACAAGACGGGCACGCTGACCATGGGCGGCGAGCCGACGGTGACGGACTCGGTCGTGTTCACCAACGGCGGCGGCGATGCGGACGACGGTCAAGATCAAGACAGCGCCATGGCCAAGGACAAGACGTCGGACCTGCTCGCAGCACTCCAGGCTGTCGAGGAGAACAGCGGCCACCCCATCGCCAAGGCCATTGTGACGTTCTGCGAGGCCAGCACACACGCGACGGGTCCCGGCGGCCGCGTCGACGACCTGCAGGAGATGCCCGGCCGCGGCATGCGCGCAGTCTTCCACAGTCGGGCCGGTACGGAGCGCTCGTTTGAGATAATGATCGGCAACGAGGCGTTGATGAAGGACTTTTCGGTGACCGTGTCGGACCGTGTTGTGGCGCGGCTGCAGCAGTGGAAGACCGAGGCCAAGTCTGTCGCCCTGGCTGCTACCCGGTCTCTTGGTGCTGGTGCTGGTGCTGGTCAACCGTGGACGCTGGCTGCGGCGCTCTCCATTGCCGACCCTGTGCGGCCCGAGGCGGCGGCCATTGTCAAGACGCTCCAGTCCCGTGGCGTCCTTGTCTACATGCTGAGCGGCGACAATGCCGTGACAGCAGCGGCTGTCGCACGGCAGATCGGCATCCCGGCCGACCAGGTCATTGCCGAGGTGCTGCCGACCGAAAAGGCAGCCAAGGTCCAGTACCTGCAGGCGTCTCTGCCATCCCACACGTCCCGGTTTGGCCGGGTCGCGAAGCCCACGACTGTCGCCGACGCAACACCGTCTCACGCGCCCGACGCGCCGTCGCCCTCCGACGCTGCAGCGAACGGCGGCCGCCGTGCGGTCGTGGCCATGGTCGGCGACGGCATCAACGACTCGCCGGCGCTCACGCAGGCCGACGTGGGCATTGCCGTGGGGTCGGGCTCTGATGTTGCCATCTCCAGCGCCGACTTTGTCCTCGTGCAGTCCAATCTGCAGGCCGTCGTCACCCTCTTGGAGCTCAGCCGCGTCGTGTTTCGGCGGATTGCCTTCAACTTTGGCTGGGCGCTCGTCTACAACGTCGTGGCGGTGCCCATTGCGGCCGGCGTGCTGTACCCCATCCGCACGGCCACCACCAACCACGTGCGCCTCGACCCTGTGTGGGCCTCGCTGGCCATGGCGCTCAGTTCCATCTCGGTCGTGATGTCGTCGCTGGCGCTGCGCAGCCGCATTCCCGGCCTGGGCTTCCGGCCGACCGTCGTCAAGACGCCCGCCACGTCGACCTGAACATGGCGTTGGACTGCACGGCTGTTCCTGACGACCGATTGTTTTCCATCTTATTTTGTGCTGTATTTTCCAGACGACGATTGGCGTCGTGGGCAGAGGAAAGAATGTAGAGGCGGTGGGCCATGTTGGTGCTTTCTATACCCCCTCACAGCCTGTTGTTTCTGCTTATCCGCATATCGGAGGTTTTATGGAGTTTCTTATTTCACATGTTTGTTTTTATTTTCATGCCGTCGATGGGTTTTACGATAGCATTTATGTCGACAGTGTTTTCTGAATTCAAAGAATATGAGAAAAATCACAAAATCACAAAGTGTAGCTTAGCTGTAGGATGGCGGCTTTACCGTAAGTCTCCTAGCCTGTAGACGGCGTAGCGGCATCTCCAGGGGCCGAAACCACTTAAACAGAGCAGCCTAACCTGACTTGGGAAGTGGCGGTCCCCTGTTGCACTTTTTGCCTTTTTTTTCTGCCGCTAGGGCGGTGAAACCTTTTTTTTTTTTTGTTTTTGGTCAAAGCATCCCCCGTTGAGATGTCTTTTGTGTCCAGCACACGACAGCTTCCAACGCTGGCAATTCACTTGTACCACTTTCTAATTATCGCACTCTCTTTTTCTGCCGCGTACTATTTTGTTGCTGCAGACTTCCCAGCTTAATAACAGCTGTCCTCGTCCCTCGATTGACGAAAAAGAAGACAACTAAAAAACCGACGACAAGGTCCTCTTTCAGTGGGCAGGCCTGACTTCTCCTTCACTCACCTCGTCGGCCACAGAAAAGTCCTCCTATGCCTGGTGGTCCTCCTGCCTGGCTTTTCTCGAGCAAACCAGCGGCGACATCCGCCTTGTCGACGACCCCGGCAGCCCAACCGACTGCTTCTACTACGACAAAGACGACCGAAACCATGGCAAAGTCTGACAAAGCGGCCAAGAAGGCCGACAAGCCCTCCAAGAAGGTCTCCAAGGTCTCCAAGAAGAACAAGGATGCTGCCACGCCCAAGAAGGGTGCTGCCGCGTCCTCTGCGGCTGCCGCTGCCTCAGCCTCTTCGCCGGCCCCCCAGCTGCTCGATCTCGTCGAGTCCTTCCTGACGCAGCACGACTTCTCCCAGGCCCGCGACGCGTTCAAGGAGCAGCGTGAGCGCAACGGCTGGCCGGCATCGCCCGCTGTCGGTTCTAGTGCTGGTGCCGGTGCCAGTGCGGCGTCCCTCGAGGGTGTCTTTGCCACCTTCCAGACGTCGACCCAAAAGAAGGCGGTCGAGGACAGCGAGGACAGCGATGGCGAGGACGACGAAGAGGCGGGCGATGTCGACATGAAGGATGCCGAGTCGGACGACGACGATGATTCGGACGCGTCGTCGAGCTCGTCTTCGTCCTCTTCGTCTTCGTCGTCTTCGGACAGCGACAGCGACAGCGACAGCGAGAGTGGTGACGGCAAAAAAGGGGCCAAGACAAAAGCCAAAAAGCCCAAGGCCAAGACGGAGGCTGTCCCTGTTGTGGTGGCGGCCAAGCCCAACCCCCTGAAGCGCAAGGCGTCGTCGAGCAGCAGCTCGTCGTCGTCGTCTTCGTCCTCGTCGTCGTCCGACTCCGACTCCGACTCCGACTCCGACTCCGATTCCGACAGCAGCTCGAGTTCGTCAGGGGCGGACCGCAAGCACAAGCTGAAGAAGGCCAAGCTCAACAAGAAGCACGACTCTTCGTCGTCGTCCTCTTCGGAGGAGGAGGATGCCAGCAGCTCGTCCAACGACGAGTCTGACTCGTCGGACTCGAGCTCCGACTCGGATGAGTCCAGCTCCGACTCCGACTCCGACTCATCGTCCGACTCCGACTCGTCCTCCTCTTCGTCTTCCTCCTCTTCGTCCGACTCGGACAGCGACAGCGACTCTGACAGCGACTCCGACAGCGACTCCGAGTCGGAGACGGAAAAGGCCGCCAACGTGCCCCTCCCCGAGTCGGGCAGCGACAGCAGCGCGTCCAGCAGCGACGCGGACAGCGACGACGAGAAACAGACCAACAAGGACCAGGCGAGCAAGAAAGAGGCCAAGGATGCCGAGAACGGCTCGAACGGCTCCGACAGCTCCGCCACCATCGTCGGCCAGTCGTCGCCCCGCCTGTCGGGCACCGACCCCAAGTTCCCGCCGTTCCCGCCCGACCCGGCTCTGAAGCAGAACAACCGCGGGCCCAAGGGCGCCAAGGCCCCGCCCAAGCAGCCCGGCGAGCGCTTCTCGCGCATCGCCTCCAACACGTACGTCGACCCCAAGTTTGCGTCCAACGCCTTCAACGCGCACGACTGGGGCCAAAAGGCGCACGAGGACCTGATTGTCACGCGCGGCAAGGGCTTCACCAAGGAGAAGAACAAGAAAAAAAAGGGCAGCTACCGGGGCGGCTTCATCGACACGAACGCGCGCAACGGCATCAAGTTTGATGACTAGTCGGGTTCGGCCAAGCTGATTTGGGAGATTGCGTTTCTCAGCCTCTTTTGTGTGCATTTACCCCTTTTTTGTTTGTTATTTTGTTATTCTTTGCCCAGGCTTCCATATATACACAGCACGGCGTTTTACACAGGAAACAAAAAGTAGAATTTTGCCAGGGAAGATAAGGCGAGATATCGATGTGTTTTCGAGGAGATCTTTTTGTTTGAAACGTGTTTTGTGTAATTTACTGTTTTACTCTACATTGCATTGCTGTTTGTTTCCAAGAATTTCGTTTGAATTTCTACATTTTCTCTAGGTGTCGTTCAATCTCACGCCTCAAAGCCATCCTTGTCTTGCGTATGAAAGCTCGTGTTGCGTGCCAAACTACGGTACATCTTGAGTCTGTCTCATGCACATCGCTCACGTCAAACCACTTGATGACCGAAAGGGGAAATTTCGAGTTTAAGGCGACCCGGCTCTGCGTTATCCCGCTTTACTTTGACCTCATCTATCTGTCGTCCCACAACCAGCAAGGCGTTTTTGTAGGTTGAATCTCCGCGTTGACTTACACCCAAAGTAGACATAGAGGGTCCACAAGGGATTGCCATTTTCCGAGTTTGTTGATCCTTACATCGACGACTTCATGACATCAACCAAAGATGATCGAATCTCGGCCCCAATGCGGCACAATAGCGAAGCTCTACATGATGAAAATCAAACCACAACGATTGTGCCCGGCCCAAGTGTCCATCTGGGGCGGAGCAAACAACATCGTGCTCTTGGACGAGATGCGGTCTGCATGCCAAAGGCATTGCGGTTTGTGATGCATCGACATCGTGTAGCCAAGACTTCCTGCCCATTTCGTAAATGTTTTGGTAAGGAGAAAACCACAATCACAACCTCCTGAAATTGAAATAAGGCGCCTTCATACGTCCGGTGAAGCTTGCCAGCCCCATCTGATGCTTCTCGATGAAAGACAATCTGGCCCACCTTAAGCACGGACTCGGGCAATGTCTTGGCTCAATATCGTGGTGTGTATTGCGTTTGAATTAGTCCTGACGTCAGCTCGGACCATCATGACCGTGGTTTACCAAAAGACGGTGAAAAGAAGTGGACAGACGACATCACTTTGCTCGATGCACTCCACCACAGCAATTCGACTACCACTCGCATGCCACAATATACTCTTTAGAGACAAATGGAGTTTGCAGCCCGGCGGAAGTGAGAGGAGAGGCACCCATGGAAGGATGTTAGCAAGCCAAATCGTGAGAGGTGCACATTTGTAGATGGTCAGATGGTAGAAGATATCCATGTTCGTCCATCACACCTATTCAAATTAGTATAGTGTGAAAATCGCATCCCAAACAACGACAGGTTTGGCCAAATTCAGGACGCAAAGGACATCGCCTTCGACTCAAAGAATTTGAACTTTGTGTTTTGCAGTCGTCTGGTGGACATGACGTTGAAGCATTTTCAAACAATAAAAAATAAAATAAAAACAAAGCATAACAATAATAACAATAAATGTTGATCTCGTTTTATCTAGCTTCCTCCCCAAACGGTGCTTTAGACCTCTTTCGTCTACAGCGTAGCAGCTACCTGCAAAAGTGTGGCTCGGCTGTGTTGGAAATTAAAAGGCGCCTTTTGTGTTGCCCTGTTCCCCCCAAACTGTTTGACGTGCGACCCCATCTTTGGGACCCAAGAACGAGCACGTTTACTTCTCCGCGGAGCCGGCCTTCCGGTACACTGTCCGAATTAAGTAAAAGTGAGGCAAAAGGCGAAGTGGATTCGAGCGGTTGACCTCCTGGTCCAGGGCCATGGTGACAATGCACGAAACAAGCCTCAGGAACGTCAACTACAAGACGAAACAGTGCCAGCTCGTATTGTCTAGCCGCCTTGAACCAGAAAGGAAATTAACCGCTCCGTGCCCGTTGGGCTTTCACAAAGGCGCTTTTTGCTGTCGTTTTGCTGTCTTTGTTGGCGATCCATCTTCCAATGGATGAGAGTTCGCGATGCTTAATTTCGTGTAGCTCCGGATGGGCATTTGTAGATTGGGCTCATCGCTGTCGTGAGCTGCACTCTGTCGCACGTCGTACACCGCGCACTGCTGTGCTGTCCGTCCCCGTTGTCTACGTCCCATGTGTCGTTGTGCTGGCAATTGTTGTCCGTCGGTTGACGACAAGACAACGCGATAAGCAGGCAAAGTCGAATCAGATAACGGTGGGAGGCAACCGGTCCGCGGCCCAGCGCCTAAGTTGCCCGTGCCTGGCAGGGCCAAACGTGCCTTCCCGGCCAGACTTCCAGGCGGCCAATCACAGGCCCGCAACACACCAAGCCTGCACTGCCACCCCTCTTGTACAGCGCGCGTGGGTTGCCCTTGCCCATATCGGCGGCACTGGACCTTCCTGGGCGCCTTTTTTTCGCTCGTGGGAGGCAGCTGTCAGAAGAAGAAGGAGCGATGAACTTGTGGGAGAAGGAGGCAGCTCGTCTTGCTTGCAGGATGCTGCGCAGCGCGGAAAGGTCTCAAGCTCGTAATAAAAAAATAAACACTCCGTCCACCTAGCCGCAACAAAACTACAACATACGTGCGCACAACATTCGCCGGCGTCAACGACACACGACACACACCCAAGCGATCGTAACTCAACCGACCGCTTGTCTCCACAATCATCCCTCCCCACCACGCGACCCGCGGAGGACATTGCTGCGACAGCCTGGCCCAAAGCCTGAGCCTGAGCCACACCTGCGTCTCGGCCTCTGCCTCCCGACCTCTCTGCCTCTGCTTCTGCCTCTTCCTCCGTCGAGGCTCGTCGCGATCACAAGCAACCGCGCGCGTCACCGCCGGTTACAGTCTTTCTGTTAGGCGAACTGGATCTGCTTGCGAGACGTCCGGAGAGACCTCCTCGGCCCCTTTGACCTGAGTATGCAAATCTGTATATAACCTCATGATGTTCGTCTCACCAGCGGCGCTTTTGTTTTCTGTCACGCATCCCACCCCTCCTGTTCAGTCTCACGAGACAATCCCCTCTCACGCCTCATCACCAACCTCATAGCTCATGCGCGGTGTATATTTAGACCAGTCCTCTTTCATCACCATCTCCGTTTGCATCGTCAAGTCCGACCTGTAAAGGATCTCGTTTCACAATTCAAGCAAGGAGTGTTTGCACTTGTACACTTCATTGTTTGCACCTGCCCCGCTCTGGTTCATTTTTCAGTCCGTTTGTAGACGAGGCTGAGAACACACTTTGCTTCTTTTAGAGTGAGACACCTTAACAAAGACGACCAGCGTCTCCTGGTCTTCCAGGGGCTCAAGCTCAAAGAACGTTGCGATCTGCACGCCGACGACACAAAGACGCCTGGATATCCTGGCAGCCCCGGCCATCGATATATTGCCGCCTCGCCTCGCTCCTATGTCTTCGTTCTTCTCGCTCGGCCGCCATAAAAACACCACGTCTCCCACCGCACAGTCGTTACAGTTCCAGACACATCCGCAACAACAGCATTCACATCCCCAACCACAGCCACAGCCACAGCCACTCCAACCAGCCAACAACCTCATCGGTCAGAAACGAAGTGGTTCGGCTCGCAGACGCCTCAGCAAGAGAGAGCGTGTATCAAGAAACAATCCAGAGCGACAAGGTCCCATTACGCGCAGCCGCGACGTCAACAAAACCATTGGCCTCGGCGCCATCTCCACAAGTCCCTTCAACATGACCTTTGGTTCAGATGCCACCGCCCCGGCTGGCAGTGGCCTCGATGCTGCGGCAGCGGCTGCCGCTGCCTCTGCTGCTGCCCCGTTGGCTACGCCCGCCAGCCCACCACCGGCAGCCGCTGTCAAGCACACCAACAATATACAGCATGCGCCCGAGATCCTGCAGCTCCGGGAGGCGTACAATGTCAAGCGCCATCGTGTGGCCGATGACGAGGCGGCCTACGCCTTTGACCACGCCTGTCGCGTCAATGCCACCCAGGCTGAACGTCTCGCAAACGACGTTTTGCTCCGCCTCAAGAAGGAGGACCAAGAGCTTGTCTTTGACGGGGCGGGTCTGCAAATGGGCTACGGCAGCCAGGAGCACGCCCACTTCGCCGGCGACCACTACTTGACCAACGTGCCCCTCATCCAAAAAACCAAGGTCCTGCAAGCCGCGCGCAAGATGCCCAAAGGCGCCCACCTGCACATCCACTACAACGCCTGCCTCGCGCCCACGGTGCTGCTCGGCCTGGCCGCGAAGATGGACCGCATGTTCATCATGAGCAGCAAGAAGCTCCTGTTTGGAAAGGAAGACCAGGAGACCGGCAAGATGGACGGCAGCATGGACGACAGCAACTTCTTTTTGAGTGCCATCTCGTTCTCCATTCTGGCACCGGAAAAGGAGAGACCGGGCAACTTGTTTTCGGACGAGTACAAAGAAAACCAGACCATGCCGTTCCGCCAGTTCCTCGCCGAGTTTCCGGCCGACAAGATTGGCAAAAGCGCCATGGACTGGCTGGCGCACAAGCTCGTGTTCAGCGCCGAGGAGACGTACGACATCCCGCAAACGGCGGCTGGCGCCTGGCAGCGGTTCAACGACCGCACGAAAATGATGAAGGGCCTGTTCAACTACGAGACCGCCTACCGCGAGTACACCAAGCTGTTCCTGCAGGACCTGCTCGACGACAACATCCAGTATGCCGAGATCCGGCCCAACTTTATGACCAACAACCAGCTGTGGAACGACGAGGGCACCAAGCAGGTCGACAACGCGGGCATCGTGACGATCATCACGGACGCCTGCGACGAATTTGTGGCGCGCAACGCCGCCAATTTCAAGGCGGGCGTTGCCGGCGCCAAGAAGAACTTTGACGGCATCAAGATCATCTACTGCACGCCGCGGTCGTTCCAGCGGACGCAAGTCCGGGCAGCGCTCGCCGAGTGCATCGAGTTCAAGAAGCGCTGGCCCCAATACATTGCGGGCTTTGACCTGGTCGGCGAGGAAGGCCAAGGCGAGAGCCTCAACTTCTTCGTCTCCGAGTTCCTCGAGTTCAAGGAGAACTGCAAGGCCGAGGGCCTCGACATTCCGTTCCTGTTCCACTGCGGCGAGACGCTCAGCATCGGCACCTCGGTCGACGGCAACGTCGTGGACGCCCTGCTGCTCGGCGCCAAGCGCATCGGCCACGGCTTTGCCCTCCCCCGCCACCCCGTCGTGCTGGAGCGGATGAAGCAGCGCAACGTCTGCGTGGAGGTGTGCCCCATCTCCAACGAGGTGCTGGGCCTGACGCCCCGCATCAGCGGCCACGCCGTGTACGATCTGCTGGCCCGCAACTTCCCCTGCACCGTCAACAGCGACAACGGCACCCTCTTCCAGTCGTCTCTCTCGCACGACTTTTACCAGGTCCTCGTCGGCAAGGCCGACATGGGCCTGTACGGCTGGCGGCAGCTCGCCGAGTGGAGCTTGACCCACGCGTGCTTCACCACGCCCGACGACCTGGCCCGCGCCCGCGCCCACTGGCTCGACGAGTGGCAGGACTTTGTTGTTTGGCTGCTCCAGGAATTTGACAGCGCGAACCCGGAGACGCAGGCCGTGCTGCGCGAGCTGGCCGGCGACAAGACGGGAGCCGCCAAGCCGGCTCCCGTTGAAGCGGACCGGAGCCGGCTATGAAGCAAATGACGATTCACGACAGTTTTGGGCGGTCTGGCCGGCCAACACGGGAGCCAGACGGTATCGATGGAAGCCAGCGGCGTTTCGGTGTGGCTATGATTTTTCCTTTGTTTATGCTTATGATCTCTTGACGCCTTTGCTACGATGGGTTCTTTTGCGGCTTTCTTTCGTGGTTTCTTAATGCTGTGGATGCGTTTGTGTGTGTGTTTTGTATTCGCATCTGCTTAACGTTTGTTTTCTATTCCCCCGCGTTGATATTCTCGAGTGCGCCTTCGTTGGCTGCCTCACGTTCTCGTGTTGTCATCCTTATTTTATGTCCCTTTCGTTCTTAGAGTCATCATCACTGTCTGCTTTTCCTCATCTCATTTCTGCAATGTATCGTGACCAAATACCAATGTCTTATAGCAGACAATATAAGTTCTCTCTCAGATGACCCTGATCTCGTTTTCCAGCTTAGGTTTTGAACATTTGTGAAGACGCCTTTCTGTTGCCGTTCCGTTACGTTGACGACATGAAAAGGATTCGTCAAGGATCCATTCTGCCGCCATTTCTCTTGCCATGTGGTACATGTTCGCCCTTTTTGTTTCCACAGACTTTTCTGTATCAAAAACCTTGTACACCGACGAGCCCGGTCCCGCGTCGCGCCTGAGCATACGAAATCCATCACGTCTGTTGACGGCAGTCGGTGATCGGTGCTCGGCATGGGGCACTATTCAGTAGTGGGGGATCGTGGAGACACGTGGACGTGGCAGGAAAATGGCCCGGCACAGTGGAGAGTGGGTTTGCATGTGAGGAAAGACGAGAAAAGTAAATAATGTGAATAACAAAAAAATCGTGACCGTACGATAGGCTCGTAGTTTCGCCCGTCTACTCGGCTGGGTGTTACGAAGTACGACGATGGACTTCAACAGACGTTAAGGGCAAAAAAAAGGACAAGAAAAAAACTCCATGTTTCGTAATATCTCCCTGAGGACTCTTTGTGACGAAATGCGAGAACCAGGAACGAAAAGGTGCACGTGCGAGTGGCACGCGAGACACGGGACAAATCTGCAAGCAGACGAGCAGACGAGCAGACGAGCAGGCGAGCAGACGAGCAAGGAACGAAGACCTCCGTCTTACCCTGCCGAGTCTCTTTTTCTCCTTTTCAATATCAAAGCGCCATACTGGAGCGTGCCCCCAACGTACCACAATTCGTCGGCTGGCAGAAAAGACCGCTTGATAATCGTACTTTGTACTTTGTAGAGCGCGACTTTCAAGTGCCAACCGGCGAACCTCTCCGAATGCAGCCAAGTCCACTACGCTGTAATTCCCTCGTGGGATCCATTCGACGATGCAACTTCTAGATTCAACATCCGCCCACGACACGCAATCCAACCGATGAGTGCATTTCCCAAGGGCAAGGAATGGCAATTTCGACGTCTAGCGGTATTTTGTTGACACCAAACACGAATGTTGTCTCGCGCGCTCTGCGAGGTTATAGCAGCATGGTTTGTCATGTCGTCTATGCCACCCTGTTCTGCTTCATCGTCCCCTCGTGTTGAGCTCGTCTCCACAGGACGGTTCTCTTGTTTTTTGTTCTGCTTCCTTCCGTCAAAATGGCCTTTAGCCTGGGGCAAAACAATTTTGCAGCCTGCGTAAGAACTGGTGCTTTTGGCCCTTGAAACGACTGGGGCAGGGGAACAATCGCCATGCAAGAAACGAAAATTCAGTCGTAACTTATCGTGGGCGTCTTGCTTTTGTCAGCAGTCCCAGCCCGCAGAGTCGACTGGCATTGTTCTGGCCAGGAATGGCAGCCAATCTCCAGGCGAAAGTACGACAATATGCCTCAGCCTTGGACATGTCAAGCCCAGTACGAGCCCTGAACGAGTGCATCGTCGTGAAGCAGCATCCTGCGACTGTGATAGTGCCAGAGGCTTGGGTTGGCTCTGGGTGTCTGTGGCTGGGACTGATGAAACGGCATGCAAAACCTTCTGCATTCTGCAGAGATCGACGCCCGGCAGCCCCTTCATCTGATCGATGCCATACGACAGGGAAGTCGTTTGTTCTCCCCGGACTGGCGATATGACTCACACGGTGGCCCAGCCGGCGAGAGGAGTATGGCAATTTCCCTTCAGACAGTGGGCAGTCTTCCACCTTTTGGGAGATTAGGAGTGTGCAAAGGTAGCGAGATGGCATGCTTGGGGGGAGGGGGTTTCGGAGTTTCAGTGTATTGTGGTAGGCGCAGTTACAGCCATTAGGGGGTTCTGGGCCGCGGTTTCAAGGCTGTCCACTCAGTAATTGATATGCCTGCAGTGCTATGTCGCCCGTCTCACCCACACAACCCTCTCCTGCTTCCAGTCTCCGCCCCGTCGACCCGCCCAGGCGCACCACCGACGTTTAGCCCTGCGCTAGCACTGCCCGTTTTGCCAGCGGCGCAATGGCTGCAATGGCTGCAATGCCACCCACGTTCTCATTCTCAGACGCTCAGTATTTCGTACACCGAGAGAAAGCGAGGCTCTGCTGACGCTCGTACTTTGCGAGATACAGGAGCCATGTCGCATGAAACTCTCACGGGCATGGGCTGCTCGAGCTCATCTCCGCCAGTCCAGTGCTATCAGCGCTGCAATTTGGGCGACTTTCAGCGCTTTGCGTCGTTGCATCTGGCGGGTTTCGCTATCTCGGCCGGGGGCTGTGTCCAGCCAGCCTAGCGGGAAAGCGCGATCCACTCTGTCTGTATACGGACTAGCGTAAAAAACTGTGACTCACACGCTCTTTCTTTGCGCCCCTTTCGCGAGTGCAAAGTACTCCCCTTGTCCTGCCACTAACACATAGTCCTCCTCGTGGGTGGCAGACGCGCACAATCTGCAGGACCCGCAGTTAGCGGCAGTACTTGCGCGCCGCGCCCTTTGACTTGTCGCGCCCCTGGTCGTCCCTTCTCTTTTCTCCCATTCGCCCACTGGCCTCTTGCTCTTGCTCTCTCGCTGTTCCTGCCTTCTTTGCCTGTTGCTGCCTGATACAAAACATCGCCCCGCCCACCTCTGCTCTCTTTCTTTTCCTCCCTCTTCTTTCTTCCTCAACCCCAAAATTTCCATCATCACCAACTTCCATTTCACACAGCCCTCAAGGCCACCGCCAAGATGCGTTAAATACCCTCTTTCCCAGCTTTCTCAAACGTCGACAAAATTCCGTCGCCAATTCACCCCCCGTTTTTAAACCCCTTGACAACCGTTTCCAACTCTCTCCCCCCTTCAGCTCTTCCTCTCCAGGTCGATCTGAACGTCAGCTTTGAGCAACCGCTTCTACGCTCTTCTCGTTCCCCAACCGCCACAATTCCCTCTCAAGACTTTTCAGTCTTCACAACGGATTCCCCACAGTCAACATGGCTTCCCTCCCGTGCTTCCCGCCTGCCGGCTCCATCCGCGCATCAACAACAACAACTGCCTCAGAACAGTTTGAACGTGCCTCAAACGGATTTTGTTCTGTTCGATTCACCTGCCAAGCCGCAACGTCAACATAATCGTCTTGTCCAGCACCCTGCCGTCAACGGAGTTGTCGCTTCACCGCAAACCCAACAGCAACCGCGTTTCGCCCAAGCCACCCACAACCTGGTTGCCTCTGCCTCGCCCTCTCTGCAGAACCCGCGTGTGGCCCACCTCCAATTCGCTGCGGGCCCTAGCATTTCGTCTACCACGGCTTTCCCTAATCGGTTTCCCTCCACTCCTTCCACGCAGAATCATTTTTACGCGTCTTCTGCGCCGTCGTCCACCGTTGCTGTCCACAAGCCCCTCTCGGCCCGGCCCCCCGTTCCGCCGTTTCCACACAGTACCGGTAGCGTCCCGCAGATTCCTACCAACAAAATGGTTCTTGAAGGTAGCTCTCCTCCTCCCTCCATGCACAGACAATCACTGCACATGCAGCATCGAACAGCAAGCTCACAGTCCATTCCGTCTTCAGACCTGCAAGGCCTCAGTGATTTCGCGGCTGTCAGCTTTGACGGTGCTTCGTTCTCGTCGCCCGCCATGGCAGCCGGCTATGATCTGACCTCGAGTGTGTCCAGCAGCTCGACGAGCAACCTGGGCACCGTGTCGCCAAACGACCTGCTCCTGCAGGAGCCGTTCATGTCGGCACCCAACTCGGCTGCGCTCACGTCCTTGACGTCTCCGTCGGACTTTGACGACTCTCCTTATGGCGACAGCTACGATGTGTCGCCCAACTTTGGTGGCAACGACTTTGAGGCGGGGACCCACGACACGTGGTTCCCCCTCTTCGCCCAGGACACCACCTCCTCGGTTGCTGCAGGCCCCGTGGCCGGCGCTGTTTCGGCATCGCCCGCATCGCGGCCTGTTGATGAGATTGACGAGTCGGAGACAACGCCCAGCCGCCGCAAGTCGTCCGGTCACGCCCGCTCCCCTTCCACCTCGCACAAGCACTCTGCCTCAGCCGGCGTCAATGCGTCCCGACGCCGGGAAAAGCCTCTGCCCCCTATCATTGTCGATGACCCGTCGGACATTGTTGCCATGAAGCGGGCGCGCAACACCCTTGCCGCACGGAAGTCCCGTGAGCGCAAGGCCATGCGCGTGGAGGAGCTTGAGGAGAAGATTGCTAAGCTGGAAGCGGAGCGCGACCACTGGAAGAAGATGGCTCTCGGTCACTAGAGAGAATCTGAACTGAATCCTGTCGTTCTCGTTTCCTATTTCTGATTTGATTGTTTTTGCTTTTGCTGTTTTTTGTCTCGTTTCGAAAAATGGAGGATGGGAGATTGTGATGTTTCAAAAAGTTTCTTGAAATTTTAGGCAGACGTATAAGTACGGGAGGGTAACACAAGCATTCTGACCGGCCTCTTCGTGACGGCTGTCGAATCCCCTCGCCGGAAACTGTGTTTTACTGTGTTTTATTTGTTTTCCTTTATTTTATTGTTTGAGTGTCGTCTGCCTCGCAGTTTGACCGCGGAATATCTCACTGTTACTATTTCAGTTTAAGTCTCCTCATTTTCCTAATTTTTTGTGCAGGTTGAAATACACTTGTCACTTATCGCAGCTATAACAATCGTTTTTATCCATAACCATTTGCCTAAAATGTGACTTTAACCCGTGCCAGATGAAACGTGCTTAACCTTTGTAGTAGTATTTTTGGAATAATTATTCAATGATTATTTGTGAGTAAACGATGTAATTTTTTTTTAAAAAAAAAAAATTAAAAAGAAGTCAACCAAAGGCACGCACATACTATTCACATAGAACTACATCAGTATCAATGTACCAGCAACTGTGTTTTATTAATCGTAGCTACTGCTGATGTTTAATGCGCTTGTACCACGCCGGCCGCGTTTGCTTGCGCAGCAATACGTTTCTTGTACTGCTGCACATCACCGGCAAACTTCTCGACGGTGCCGCCGTCGCACACCCACAAGCTCTTGCACACGGTCTGCAGCATGGTGACGTCGTGGCTGACCATGAGCACGCCGCCCTCGAACTGGTTGAGCGCGTCGGCCAGGGCATCCATGGCCTCAATGTCCAGGTGGTTGGACGGCTCGTCGAGCACGAGGATGTGGGGGTTGGTGAGGGCCAGGCAGGCAAAGGCGACGCGCGACTTTTGGCCGCCGGACAGCACCTCCATCTTTTGCAGGCCGGTGGTGCCGGTGATGCCAAAGGCGCCGAGCTGGCGGCGGTAGTCCTCGTCGGTGCTGCCGGGGTACGTCTTGGCCATGAAGGAGACGGCGGACATGGTGAGGTCGAGGGCGTCGACGTGGTGCTGCGCGAAGAAGCCGACGCGCAGGCGCGGGTGCATGGACATGATGCCGGACAGCGGCTGCAGGCGGCCGGTGAGCAGCTTGAGGACGGTGGTCTTGCCGGCGCCGTTGGGGCCGACGATGCCGATGCGCGAGTCGAGCTGGACGTCGAGGTCGACGTCGCGCAGCAGGACCTTGTCGGCGCTGTAGCCAAAGGTGACGCCGGACAGCTGGACGATGGGGGGCGACAGCTTCTCGACGTCGGGGAAGCGGAAGTGGACGCTGTACTCGGTCTCGGGCGGCTCGAGCACGGGCATGCGCTCGAGCTTCTTGATGCGCGACTGGGCCTCGGACGACTTGGCGGCGTTGTAGCGGAACTTGTCGATGAAGGCCTGGAGGTGCGCGCGGACGGCCATCTGGTTCTCGTACTCGCGGCGCGCCGTCTTCTTGCGCTCCTCGCGCGTGGCGTAAAAGGCGTCAAAGTTGGCGCCGCGGTAGTAGTCGAGGCGCTCCGCGTGCTGGTGGATGATGTCGGTGGCGACCTCGTTGAGGAACGCGCGGTCGTGGGACACGACGAGCACGGTGCTCGGGTAGCCCTGCAGGTAGTTGGACAGGAAGGTGATGGACGGCACGTCCAGCATGTTGGACGGCTCGTCGAGCAGCAGCAGGTCGGGCTCGCAGAAGAGGGCGCGCGCCAGCGCCAGGCGCATGCGCCAGCCGCCCGAGAAGGTCTTGGTGGCAAACTGCTGGCGCTCGGGCGAGAAGCCCAGGCCCGCCAGGATGCTGGCGGCGCGCGACTCGGCCTTGTCGGACTCCATCTCGGACAGCTTGCCCTGGACGTCGCCGAGGCGCTGGTCGAGCGCCTCGCGCTCGCGGTCGAGGCGCGTCGCGTCGGTGGACGTGTCGGCCAGGGACGACCGCTGGGCCTCGATGGTGGCCAGGCCGTCGGTGATGTCGGCCTGCTCCTTGAGCAGGATCTTGCGCCAGACGTCGGCGTCGAGCACGGCCTGCAGGGCCGAGGTGTCGTCGCCGGTGATTTCCTGCTCGACGTGCAGGATGGAAATGTGCGTGGGGACGGGCAGGTCGCGGCGCGACAGGGCGCGCAGCAGCGTCGATTTGCCGACGCCGTTGTTGCCGACCAGGCCGTAGCGGTGGCCGTAGGAGAGCGACAGGTTGGTGTCCGTCAGGATGCGCGTGCCCGCAATGTTGACGTCAATGTTGTCCAGCTTGATGTCCTTGGGCTTGCCGGCCGACGACTGGCCCAGCTGCAGCGGGTTGACGGCCATGTAGAACTCCTCGTACGACTGTGCGGCGTCGGGCTGGTGGAGCAGGCGCGACGCCTCGTACTCGACCGTCTTGTACGTCTTCTTGTTCTGCTTGGCCGCAATCTTGCGCTCGGCCTTTTCGAGCTTCTTCTTGTCGACCTTGGACTCGACTTTCCGCGTGTTGGCCGACTCCAGGTCGACGCCGCCCGACGCCACCGCCAGCGTCGACGACATGTTGCGCTGTGCGCTGACCTGGAAGGTCTGGTCCAGCCGGCGCACGGTCGACGCGCCCCCCAGGGCGTTGCCGCCGGCGGCCTCGGCGTACTTGTCCACCCACTTCATCACGAGCTTGTTGATGCGCTCGCGCACGGCAGCATTCTCCGGGTCGCCCGCGGCAGACAACAGCAGCTCTGTGACGGCGGCGGCGGCGTCGGCCAGCGGGGCCGATGAGCCGCCCTCACCGCCCGCTTCGTCGTCTTCGGAGCCGGAACCGGACCAGGTGGTCGAGGCATGTGTGAGGTAGCCCACAGAGTACTCGGACACGACCGGGTCGATGTTTGGGATGAGAGCCCGGATTTCGGTCTCCATGGCGGCGGGGTCGATTCGGCAGGCTGAGAGGCGTATTTGAGCGGTAGGAGGCTGCAGACGTCCAGAGGGAGGGCCAGCGAGCCGGGTAGAGAGACGGAGTGTGTGTGGGAGGCCGCACTGGGGTATCGTGCTGGTGGGGGTGGTGGTATCCGCCTCGCACAATGTGGTGATATTGTCGTCTGGTGTTGTGGTCCTTGAAGTTTTTCGATTTAGCACGTGAGCGCGATAGGTGGACGATAAGGCTGCTAGTTCGAGAGCCTTTGGGCGGTGTCTTCTAGGCTGTGCCTTCCTGCGATCACCCCGCCTTGTTCGCTACAGCCCACTGAAACGGCGCACTTGCCCCCTGTACGATGTGGCCACTTGGATGCAAGTTCGCATGTTGAGGTTAAGCAGACTGCACCACCGTCGAGGACATTCTGGCAAGGTATCGTAAAAGCCAAAGCCTTTGTGCACTGCTGCCTTGACACCTCTTCTCGGATTTGTTACTTTAGATTGTCCCTTTCGCCTCGCCTTTGGCTTTCCCTACGGCCGCTCATGCTGGGTCGCACTTGCCCCGTCCCAACACCACTTGGGACGGTCTGCTTGTCTCTGGACGAGGAAGGAACAGTGTGCAGATTTAGCCGCTCAGGAGGCCATTGGCTGTGGTTCTTCATCCCGGATTTAGGAGTCCAGGAATTCAGGAGTCCAGGAATTCAGGAGATGCAGGTCTTACTTCCAAAGGCTATTGGACCTTTGGCCCGTTGTCGTCTTCTCCGCACCCTTTCCCTCTTGTCCTCTCCTCTCGAAGACGGGACGCCCCTGCCTCAAGACCGAGAGAACGCATGCCGCCGTCTTCGTTCGCGGGCGTTTGGTGGCAAAGTTGGCCAACGGCGATTCGTGAGGGCTAAAGACATGCGACGCCAAACGAACATGCCGGGATGTGGAGTCCGTTTCTGTTAATTGACTGCAGGGCGGAGAGATGTTCGATCGAGATGAGATGAACGCGGCGGAGTCTCCGTACCTTCCCTGGATCTGGTTCGTCGCTCTTGCCGTTGCGTCTTGCCAGAGGAAATGCCATGGTAACTCGAAGTTGACCGTCGTAGGGCCATCCCGGTTTCAGAGGGAAGGAGCAACCGGCTTCTGGCTGGGCCAAAGTGCTTAGGATATGTTGCACCAGAAGCACTGAGCGCCAACGAGCAGACACAAAACGTTTCTGAAAGGGTGCACGAGATACGTAGACAGTTGGCCCTGAAAAGGGTGCACGAGATACGAGTAGACAGTTGGCACCTTTGTCCCCAGTGTCGTGGCTGTCAGACTACAATCTTGTTGACTGTACCTGCCTTGTCCCTGTCCATCAGTTCCTTCCCTTCGGAGATGAGACGACGCCAACAAGAAAAAAAGAAACGGCGTAGGGAAGGCGCCATTGTTTACCCGTCTCTTTGTGGTCTTACTGTACAGAATACTGTGCGTGCCTCTTTCCCGCTTGGTCATATATTTCCATCCATCTATTTTGAAGGGACAGGAGACAGGGTTGTAGGGTTTAATTGTGCGTCGTTTTAAGCTAGAACGTGTCGCGTGGCCAGCCAATGGACACGCGCCGTTTCCTGTAATCGTATTTTAACATTTTTCTTTTGGAAAGGCTCTACGAATTATCACGTCCAGTAACCATTCTAGCTTTTCCGCGCTGTCTTGTACCTTTCGAACGTCAACGCCAACCAATAGGCTTGCACAAGCACGCGATCCGTCGCTCGTCCTCCTCGTGGCTGTGCTGGCAATGTTCGTGCTTGTAGATGTCTTGGTCGATGCGAGCTCTCTCTGCCACGACGGCTCGCGGCGGCTTCTGCCACTGCAACTTTGCACCGCTTCCCCTCCTCGTCGAATCGATTCCACGACATTCGTTTCGGCCAAGTTTACGACTGAGACACAAGAGGCACAGCTGGGGAGAGAGACATGGAGAACGAGATATCAGAGAGACGACAATGAATCCGGCGTCGATGGGTATGCTGTCGTATCTGCGTGCTTGGCGAATACGGTTCGGACTGACAGGCTATTGTCCGACGTGGCAGGGGATGAGGTGAGCGAAGCCGAGCATCGACAAGACCATTCCGCAGATGTGTACTCAAAAGCAAAGAGACAAATGACAGCGTGCAAAAAAGGACCAACACAGCGTTGCACCTACAGGAAGAAATGGGTTGTAGGCTGTTTCCTGGGATGAAATCGACATGAAATAGGCAATTAAGCAGAGTGGATGCACGGCTGTACGACTGGCCAGTTGCCTCTCGAGGTTGACTGTTGATTGCTGTCTCTTCATTTTCGTTTTCGTATATATAAAGATATATCCAGACGTTCATGTTATTTATCCATCACAGCCATCATAGGCCGTACCCGAACGGCCGTTCTTTGGTTGCTATATCTCGGGTGGCTGGACGTACTTCTGTACAGTCATAACGGATAGGCCTTGCTTCATTCCTTCTCGTGTAGATGTAGTTTTGTTAATTGGTTTGGGTTTTATCTTTGCCCCTGTCCAACGGGACGTTAATATCGCCGTGACGGCTCCTGGCATCGCGAGGCATTCTGGCGATATGAAAGGGCTCGTATTTCGATTCCGTCCTCGAACTGCGGTGTATGATTACGAAATTAAGTCATTGAGGCGGATGCTCTTCTGCTGAGTCAGGAGATCTAGTCTACAGAACCTACAATCGTAACCGTTACTATTTGCTGCATCGTAGTAGACCCTGATCTCACCAGGATCGTAGTACTGCGGAATACACGACAGTACAGAATGCAGACGGCTGCCAACGCGGAGACTCTCCTTGTGCAACGTGTCGGAAGACGAGCAGGCACATTCCCGCCAGGAACAAGACCACGGAACAGAACAGGGGACCAGCACACGACATCCTGCGAGGCGTCTTTGTCTTTCTACTCCTTGCTCGTCTCTCACAGATCTTGATATTTGATATTCTGATATTCGTATCGCCACTCCGAAAAAGCGGGCAGCGCTATCGAAGACAAGGATGAAGGCCGGAAGGGCGGCTCCACACGTGTAAATGTACTCGTCATGTACGAAGTAAAAGGGAGACAGACGAGACAGACTCACAGAGTATCTGTTTTGTATGTCCTGCTCTCGGACTCGGCACTCTTTTCGGACATGGCCTAGCCAGCGAGCCAGGTTTGCAAACGACCCACGATCTGGCAGGGGAGGCTCGTTTTCTGTTAACTGGTCTTCCCAGCCTAGTGGGCATGGATCGGCAAAAGGTCTTTTTCTCCTCTTTTTTTTCCAGAAGCCTGAGCCTGAACGAGAAAGGCTTGCGAGTCGGAAGGATTCTGTCTTGCCCCTTCGAGAGAGGGCAAGGTCAGAAATAAGTATTAAAAAACGTACCAAGATTCTGTAGGGCGTAAAAGAGGAGAAGAGAGAGTATTGTTCTTGTCTGACATGCCTTAGTGCCATCCTGGACAATGGCCTGAACGAAGTAGGGGAATGGTGCGGCGTGTTCTGTAGAGAAACTTTGTCGTACAGAGTACAAGAACACCCTCATTTGGGAAACCAGTTCGTGTCAGCTTCTTCAGACTCACAAACGGCATCTATTGAGTAAAGGTGAGCTTCAAGACCAAACGACACGAGAGACGGGATGGCGAGAGGGACAAAGCCAGAGGGAGAGGAGGGGGGATTTAGCAGGAAGAGGGGAAACGAGAAGAGACGGACCTGCATCGGCCGCATGTCGATTGGCTTGTCGTCGAGGAAAGCACTGATGCCCTGCACGTCGGCAGGAAGCCTGGCCATGCACGAATTCGAGGTCTGCAAGCGACTGCACTTGTGGTTTGCCGTGGAGGGCCAGTCTCTTGGTTACTTGACGCACGTCATGAGCAGCTGGCACAGGTGTAGGTTGAGGGGTACTTCGTACACAAATACAACAGTATTGTTGTATGGAAGCGAATTCGAGAAGAAATATATGACCGACGGCCACAAAATAGATCCAGGTTCTAACCTGAAGCGAATTCTGTTTGCTGTTTCAGGCCCTTGGCTGTGTCTGCGTCGTGGTCTCGTGGGCCCCTCCCGTATTCATACACTGCCATTACGAGCTGCTTCTTTTGACGGTCTGGCCAGTGCTAAATTCAGGCGCTACAAGGGTCGCACTGCTGGAGGTCGGAGGTTAGATGAACTGGGCAAGAGGACAACAGTCGAAATGGGCGAAGGATGAGCTGTGGTCCTGGTCCCTAGCTGTGAAGGAATGTTGCGTGGTATTTGAGCTGCGGTTCAGGTTCATGGTCCTAACGGCAGTGAGTGAGCGTTTGGAGCCGAAGCAAGTTCCCCCAGAGCTGAAGGGGAAAGGTCCCGATGTCAAAACAAGATTATGATCCCGGTTTGTTAGATAAATGTATTGTGGTTGAACGCGTTTAGCCTGGCGAGCTTGGCTCCTGGCTAAGCCTGGCCTTTTGCTGTAGTGTTTTGACCGACGACAATTTACAGCCAGCAGTCTCCCCAGTCGGCTGGGATATCCACTGCTGACCACTAACCTGGATTTGGAAAAGATATTCGAGATTAGAGTACCAAGAGAAGCTGAAAACCGACCCTTTTGTCTTTTCCCTCATGCCATTGCGTACCTGTGGATGCGTTAATACATTATGTCTACAGCCTTTTGAAAGCGAAATGTGAGAAGCATACCTGCTGATGCCATGTTGCCGTGTGTTGTGCCCCGGTCGATGCAGTGCCCAACTTCAACCAATATTATCGGACTTGTGTAATTCGGCCAGTCGTGACACAGGCCGCGGGTGGCCAATATCCAAATCTGCAGCCTGCCTGAGTTTATCTGAAGAATCAATGAGGAAAAAAAATACCACGCCAGACATTGCGTTAAGGACCATCTGGTGTAATATATCTCTTGTACACCCGAGGCGCTAAAACGAGCCGGGACAGAGACATATTGGAGAAAAAGGTTCTCAACAGGAACAGTCACAGCCTACCGTGACGGGAAGCCAGTTTCTTTCTCCACTCTCGTGCAATGCTCGGCCCTCAACTGCAG